CCGAAGCGCCCTACGAAGTTATTTAGAATTTTCATTATTGTTGGGATATCCATGCATAATAGGATTTGCACATGTCTATACCCATCATGCTTCCACCCCCCCGGATGCACCACAACATGTATAAATCTACAAGTAGCCCCTTTCATCTGGCCAGACGCAACACATGGCATCTATCTCTAGTTCCGAGCTGGATTTCTGGATTTACAGACTAATAGTGGTCGTGTGCGTAATAGACAGTACAAGTAGTCGAGGTCTGTTTTTCTGTGTTATGGAAAATCATTACATCAACAATTAAAATGAAATTGGAAATCTGAAGAGGAGGCAGCACATCAATAAGGAGAACATCACAATAATTAGTCAATAAAACTTAACTAACTTAAACGAAGAGGAATGTTATCTAAACACATAGTTCGCGATGGATATTCAAACTTCTTCGCAGCGCTAATGCGCTAGCGAACATGACTAGTCTCACGTACGTGCAGACACTATTTAGAAGGGAAAGAACGTACTTCCCATAGGCTCAACACGCGCCATGCCCCAATCTGTGCCGCATAAAAAAATAAAGCGCCCGGGAACTGAGCGTACTTTGGGCGGCGAGTGAAATCGAGCAGGCGCCGCCCAAATTTTAACTCCGCGCTAAATCTTCAGCAGCGACCGAGCGATGCCCTCAAAATCAGCGCCTGGGCGGCCGCTGCTCGGTGCCTGGGCGAAATTGGCTCAAAACTCGCCGCCCGGCCGCCGAGCAGGCTACTTTTAGGTGATGTGACCATAGTTTACCCTCCCCCCCCCCCCGCCGTTTGGATAGATGGCAAGTCTGTCATTTGGCCCCTTCACATAATCCGGTCATAATGTTCATAAAGCAAGTACCTTTGTTTTACGCAGTGCATGCAGCAAACCTTGACATGGTTATCCCTGTAAAGCCCAAATCCAACACACATAAATAGCAACAACAGATTGCAAACACAAATGTCAAAACATTCACAATATAAAAACATTTCGCCCACAAGTTAAACAATCTGTAATAACCATGAAATGCAAAAACATGTTACCTACAAACTGTAAAATTTGTACATTGTCACCACACATGACATGGCATTGCAACGGCAATGGTTAAACTACTAATGTATACAATAATAAAATTGAACACCATACACATATCATGGTAAGTTACCGTACATCGGATATGCAAACATTGAGTTTTTACTTTTGTGGTTGAAAAATTAGACTTTTGAGGGAAAAAATGAATTATTTACATTTGTAGGCAAAAAGCTCTTAATTCATCACATGGTTAAACATATTGTTACATTTGTTGTATAAAGAAAGATATTTTGTGGTTATCTTTTTACATTTAAGGTTCAAATGTCAATGGTCATATTGACATTTGCGGGTCCTCTGTTTGTACATTTGAGGTAGTTCTTTACTTTCATGGGCTCTAATCCCACAACCCCCCCCCCCCCCAAAAAAAAAAAAAAATCTGCCTGGCACCACTGAACTTTTGGTTTGGTGTTTTGTCATTCTTTTGTTGTTGTTGGGGGAGGGGGGGGGTGCATGTCAGATAAAGTAACAAGAAAAAGAAAAATGACTGCAGCCAGGCTTTAATGAAACGGCTAAATGCTGGCACATCTGACCAAGCACTTCCAATCATAATTACAACTCATAATCATAATGACGTACACGCTACTATTATACTGACCCCCCAAAAACAATTTTCTGCCTACACCACTGAACTTTTGGTTTGGTGTTTTGTCATTCTTTTTTGTTGTTGGGGGGGGGGGGGGTGCATGTCAGATAAAGTAACAAGAAAAAAAAATGACTGCAGCCAAGCTTTAATGAAACGGCTAAATGCTGGCACATCTGACCAAGCACTTCCAATCATAATTACAACTCATAATCATAATGACGTACACGCTACTATTATACTGATCGAAAAGATCCTTTCACTATTTGATTATTGGAAGACCATTACAGTGCCATACTAAATATCACACTCTAAGCGTTTACGTGATGCATCAAGGCAATTTATTCCTCGTTGGTTAGAATGTAATCAATTAGAATATAGCTCCCCCCCCCCTCTCTCTCTCTCTCTCTCTCTCTCTCTCTCTATATATATATATATGCATATGTACACACTCTGCACAAAAAGAAAGTAGCCTAGACACTAATTTTCAAATAAATTTATAGTATAAACTTATCATCATGTTTATCCAAAAAAAAAAGAGAATATTATTCTTTAATAATATATTCAATTAGAATCATTCAATTCTTGCATGACTAAATATGTAGTTCTTTGTAAGTGTTGATATGTTTGTTATTGATGTTATTGTAATGCCTAACGCGTTCATTTTATTAAGTTTCTGTTTCCACACACAGTTGAAAAACTGTATTGCAACACTTTATAACACAAACTCCCACACACACAACAAAAAAGCCTACAGTGCTGGACTACTACAAAGTATTCTCGCTCCCACTGAGAACCCCATTGTACTATTTACAATAGGCTATTGACATGATAACTATGTTGTCATATCTACCTCGCAATAAACACTCATTTCATTTGTGTAATAGGGCAGTCATTCGTGGGCAGAGAATCGGTAAAATACCCACATCAACATGCAATGATGAAGTTATAAAAAATTGACTGCGAAGAGGGCCACATACAAAGGGACATAGTGCATTCTCGAGATCACCGAGGAACTTTAGTTTTAACCCTGACCCGAAAACTAAACAGTCAATATTTGTTTCATATACTGCATTTCTGGTGACATATCTCAAAAAGATATATTTTAACAAAATATGCATGTAAAAGTGATTTTTTTTTTGGTCGACTCGAAGGACGTTACCCGTCTAAGAGCATTCATTGAGCGTGTGATGATCAATAACATGAAAAATTGTTAACTTTCTTTTCATTGTATATTCTTTTCATATGATGTAAATAAAAATAAACAAACAAACAAACAATAAGCACACTCTTCTGGTATCGTTCGTTAATTCTATAACTGGAAGGATTGACATTGTGCAACCCTTATATAGAACAGTATATAGGAACATGGAAGAAAAGTACACACTCATCAAAGTTATTTAGCATAACCCACCACTGAATAATTATTTGATCAATACAGTCTTTATCCCGGATTCTCAGGAGTTATCTTACATACTTAATTTAGTAGTTGTTAATGGTAATGAGTTTTCTTCTAAAGTTGCCATGATTTACATTCATTATTGCACTTTTATGTTTTCTCTTGCTTTCGTATTCCATCACTGTGCTAACCTGCCTTGGGGGAGGCTGCTTTTTACCAGGTAAATTTCTGTTGTAATGATTCGATTATTTCTATGAGGTATACATGGTATATATATATACTGTCAAGCCATTACGGTACGTAAGGCTAATTGCCCTTTTTGTTAACCCCACATTCCCTTGAAATTTAGTTTGCTCCTTCCCTTTGTATTTTTCTTGTAATCAACCTTTTATCTGTATACCATGCTGATATGTTTTAATGTGTTTTATGGAGAATGAAATAAATGAAATGAAATGAAATGAAATGAAATGAAACTTCATATACTTATATACAGTATATAGGTCTAATACATCCGAATGCAAATATTTGTTTAATCAAAATTTCTTATGGTGGAGTTATCTTCATAATTTGTATGTCGTCACTTCCACCTCACAATAAACATTCTATTTCATTCTTGTAATGGGCAGGGAACAAACACAATCTACCAGACACAATTCAGTTTCATGTTTCTCCCTCATGGATCGTTTTTGTTTAAAGCAGGAACTGATTTGCTGCTCGTAACCAAATATATTAGGTTTAAATATGCTATTTAGCCCTTTTAAGCAGATATCTAAAAAGTCAGTTCAAAAGGTAGTGGTAAAGCAAGATTATAATGGTGGTTAGAATTGTATGTAGTAATTCGTAATTACTCGTCTCGTCTCGCACATTAGATAATTATATTCGCATCACAATACACATATAAAGTCATACCAGTCGAATTGATGACATATTTTTCTTTCCATTAGAAAATGCTGGTTTCTCAGAACATCTATTTACTTTGTCTTTTACATATTGACACACTTTAACAATAATTGTAGATTCAGCTTCTTTCTCGGCCATGTACAAATATTTGAGCAGAAATTTTCTTTCAACACTGCGAGTTCCTTCATGGCTGAACATATTTCTTGTTTAGATATTGGAACTTGCTGTATTTCATCAAAACTCTGTCGGCCGGGTCACCGAAATGCATCACTTTGGACAGCAATTTTCCAACTACTACACGTGATTGTAAATTTTCCAATGGTTGTTGGAGAAGTTTGAATCATACTCGATTATACATCATAACATATTCATGGAATTGAATGGATTTTTTGGTTTTTTTTGGGGGGGGGGGGAGGGTGGAGGATGGAGGGGAGGGGGTCATTTTCGCTGTTGTTCTTGGTTTAATTTTGTATTAAATTTTGATATCGAGTCCTTTACGGTATTGAATTCTGTACGAGGCGATGATTCAGAATTAACTTGATTAATGTGTTATTCTTCGAAAATAACCAATGATATTTGGATTTATGTAGAATCGTGCACATAAATGTTTTAGGGAATACGATCAATAAATTATAGATATAAATGATTTCATTCACCTGTTATGAATAAATATTTTTTAATAGTCAAAATGCAAATTGCATACATTAATATTGTTGCTAACTTCCAAGGTAGGACAAAGTTCATGGCTTGTCCTACCCGGCATCACGTAATGTATGCAATTCGCATTCTGAATATTGAAATACAGTTATTCGAAAAAAGATTGAAATAATTTGTAACGAGGCACTTAACAAAGATTTTGTGCATTAAATTTGATTACATGACGAAAATTACGTCTTAAATGTTGTAGTTCGTAACCATGACGTCAACTCCTGGTAGCCAGAGAAAAATGCATGAACTGAAATTAATCAGCCAACAGGTATATATTCACCACCCCTCAATCTTAGACATTGAATTGAGACTTACCGCATCGTATGAAGTTTGGAAAGAACAAAACGAAGAAACACGACATCCATAGTTTTCCACTCCACACCAGTTTCCCAAGAGCAGGTGACGCCATATTTCACGTCCAATACCAATGGCGCACCTGGTTAATATGTATTCGTGAACGGCCCTATGAAATATAAATGAACCGCTGTAAACGTTCACGCGAACAATACAAAACTAGAAATGCAATCGTATCTCAACGATGTGCGTGCAATGACGCCATGTTTCTACGTGTCAAACGAAAGAGCTTTTCTTGGACTATCCAGAGCAATTTGTACGAAGTCTGTAGCTTCTGTGTTACTTGAGATAGGTGGGGCGAAAGAAAGGCCACACCAGTGACCTTGATGGGATGGTATTGACTACACCTACGAAGTTTGAAAGAAATTGGGATAGGGGAAAGAACATAGAAAGGGCTCACAAGCACTGCGTGCAAAAACCAATGGGATTTGGTGCATGTTCGTCATTGCAACAAAGATCGTTCTGGGGGTCACTAAGCGTGAACCCGATTTGCCCCATAGACAATGCGTGTAATGCATGGGCGGAAAACGTACAGGATCTGTATTATGACGGGAGTTAAATTGTTTTTTCTCTCTCTCTTTATGTCTCTTTATGGGCCGTATTTGGTATCATTGGAAAGAGAATTTCATGGTTGCTATTGTGAACCACTCTTTTTTCTGTCTATGATGATCCTATCGAAACACGTGATGTAAAAGAGATTTATAGGACAAAATGGCGTCTTAAATGGCCCCCTTGACCAATTTCAAAAATCTGGCCACGAGGTGCCCTGCGTATTGCAACTCGGAATGTCACTGCAAATTTTCAAGGAAAGAAAAGGACGTTTAGGGGGCGAAAAGTAGTCTGAAAAAAATGACATTATAGCCGATATGTGTTATAATTGGGTGAAAACTCGGGGGAATTCGTATAGGTACCCTTGTTCAAATGTGATTTACTCAAAATTGTCTGTGTGAACATATACCATACTTGGTATCATTCGAAAGGGCACTTCATTGCGGTCAGTTTGACACCATCGTCATCTGCGCGCAATGTACTGCACGTATTCAACGCGCTATTACGTAATGCATAGCAAATTCATCATTTTTGGCGATAACTTTGCGAAGAGGGCATTAAAATTTATTCAACTTTGCAGACAGTTGTCACGTATATGGATACATGTGTCTGCCAAGTTTCATTGATGTAGGTATAAAGATCGCTAATTTAGAGCAATTTGAAGTTATTTCTCAATTTTCTTGAAAATGGCGAATTTGGAGGGCATTTTTCGCAAAGTCGGTCAGTGTTAGGGTATATAATTTTGTATATGGCTGGAAAGGGCATATGTTCAGGTATCTAAATCCAAAAAAGGGTACGGGTCTGCCAAGCCAAAATGGAGATAGGGCCACAGAAAGAAATCCCATTCCCAGAAGTTTAGAGGGCGCTATTTATATTTTGCATAGACATTGGAGCGTGAAATTTGGCATGGCTATGTGCAATCATGAGATAAAGATACTGTGAGATTTAAATACAAAACGGAATTTATATGAGAAAGTTATGGCAGTTTTAGATTATTTAGTGGTCCATTTTTCAAGAACTTGAGAGATTTTTGACGGAGTCGGTTTTAGATTTGAATTTCGAGTATGAAGATGGCATTTTGAAGGTCAAGTTATACGTCGCAGATGAAAGAACATCTCTCAGCTTATCTAGAGGAATTTGTTAGAAGTTTGTAGGATCTAGGATAGTGAGATAGGAAGTAAGGTATAAAGGCCTTAAAATGGACCAGAAACGGACAAAATGGCGCCTGGACGGTCATGCATGAGTGATTTCCAAAATCGAAGAATGTAGTGACCTTGATGGGATGTTAGAGACTATGCCTATGAAATTTGAAAGGAAAAGGACATGAGGAAAGCACCTAACTAGGAATCACAAACACTACGTGCAAAACGAATGCGATTTCCTGACGATAAGGATAAGGATAAGGACTAGAAATGCAATCGTGTCACAACGATGTGCGTGCAATGACGCCGTGTTTCTACGTGTCGAACGAAAGAGCTTCTCTCGGACTATCCAGAGCAATTTGTACGAAGTCTTTAGCTTCTGTAATATTGGAGACAGGTAGGGCGAAAGAAAGGCCTCAATAGTGACCTTGATGGGATGGTAGTGACTATGCCTACGATGTTTGAAAGAAATTGGGATAGGGGAAAGAACCTAGAAAGGGCTCGCAAGCACTACGTGCAAAAACAAATGGGATTAGTTGCATGTTCGTCATTGCAATCAAGATCGTTCTAGGGGTCAAAAGCGTGAACCCGATTTGCCCCATAGACAATGCGTGTAATGCATGGACGGAAAACGTACAGGATCTGTATTATGACCGGAGTTAAATTGTTTTTTCTCTCTCTCTTTATGTCTCTTTATGGGCCGTATATGGTATCATTGGAAAGAGAATTTCATGGTCGTTATTGTAAACTACTCTTTTTTTTTATATGATAATCCTATCGAAACATGTGATGTAAAATAGATTTAAAGGACAAAATGGCGTCTTAAATGGCCACCTTGACCAATTTCAAAAATCCGGCCAAGAGGTGCCCTGCGTATTGCATCTCGGAATGTCATTGCAAATTTTCAAGGAAAAAAAAGGATGTTTAGGGGGCGAAAAGTAGTCTGAAAAAATGACGTCATGGCCGATAAGTGTTATAATCGGGCGGAATTCGTATAGTGACCCTTGTTCAAATGCGATTTACTCACAATTTTCTGTGTAAACATATACCATACTTGGTATCATTCGAAAGGGCACTTCATTGCGGTCAGTTTGACACCATTGTCATCTGCACGCAATGTACTGCACGCATTAAAGGCGCTATTACGTAATGCATAGCAAATTCATCATTTTTGGCGATAACTTTGCGCTGACGTTATTAAAATTTACCAAACTTGACAGACAGTTGTCACGTATATGGATACATGTGTCTGCCAAGTTTCAACGACGTAGGTATAAAGATCGTCATTTTAGAGCAAGTTGAAGTTATTTCGGAATTTTCTTGAAAATGGCGAATTTGGAGGGCAATTTTCGCAAAGTTGGTCAGTGATAGGGTATATAATTTTGTATATGGCTGGAAAGGGCATATCTTCAAGTATCTAAATCCAAAAAAGGGTACGGGTTTGCCAAGCCATAATGGAGATACGGCCACAGAAAGAAAGCCAGTTCCCAGAACTTTAGAGGGCGCTATTTATGTTTTGCATAGACATTGGAGCGTGAAATTTGGCATGGCTATGTGCAATTATGAGATAAAGATACTGTGCGATTTAAATACAAAACAGAATTTATATGAGAAAGTTATGGCAGTTTTAGATTATTTAGGGGTCCATTTTTCAAGAATTTGAGAGATTGTTGACGGAGACGGTTTCAGATTTGAATTTTGAGTATGAAGATGGCATTTTGAAGGGCAAGTTATACAGCGCAGATTAAAGAACATCTCTTAGGCTATCTAGAGGAATTTGTTAGAAGTTTGTAGGATCTATGATAGTGGAGATAGGAAGGAAGAAAGAAAGGCCTTAAAATGGACCAGAAACGGACAAAATGGCGCCTGGACGGTCATGCATGAGTGATTTCGAAAATCGAAAAAGTAGGTGACCTTGATGAGATGCTAGAGATGATGCCTACGAAATTTCAGAGGAAAAGGACATGAGGAAAGCACCTAACTAGGAATCACAAGCACTACGTGCAAAACGAATGTGATTTCTGGACGATAAGGAGAATATTAATGGGGCAGAATGTGAACGAAAACAAGGCAATGACGAAGGTTCGTCATTGCAAAAAGGAGGAAAAGGAGAATATTAATGGGGCAGAATGTGAACGAAAACAAGGCAATGACGAAGGTCGTCATTGCAAAGAGGGTACCAATGAATAGAAAAGAGGGAGAGGGAGTATGACTATGATTCACGTTCTCACTGCTATTTTCCTCGCTCTCTCTCTCTCTCTCTATATATATATTATATATATATCTCAATGTCTCTCTTTGTTTCTTTATTTGTTCTCTCCCCCCTCTCTCTCTCTCTCTCTCTTACATATTTAACATGTTTTTCTTTGACGTCATATCAACTCAAATATATTCCTGCTTTTAATTAAGAAATTATTGCTCTATCTGAAAATAATTTTTTAAGCAATTTAGCTAGGAGGTGCATGGTAACCAAAGTTACCTTAGGAGCAATCATTCTTCATACCTGAAAAGAAACAATTAAGCATAATAATCCAGCAAAGATCATCATACCAAAATAACCATTCCGCCTTGACTGTTGTGTATAAAAGAGACTTAACTGTACCCGTGAAAATGTCGCTTCATTAAAAAAAAAACCGTCAGCAAACGTTCGCATTTTTTCAGTTTTCCCGGCAGAATGATATTCCACTCCATATGATGGTTTATCACTCGTTAAAAATGCAACGAGACAGCACGTTTACATATAAATAGATAATGAGGGCGATATATACAAAAAAAAAAAATAATAATAAAATCTAGCTGAAAGTAGGGGTGAACGGAAAGAAATGGGACATGGAACAAGTGGGCCACCCCATTTAACTCGAAAGATAATTAAGCTTTTGTAAATGTTTAAAATTCTACAGAAGGTCTGAATTATGTTTGTTCACAAATGCATCTATGTATAACTGTACCGCAATTTTGCTCGTAGATTTGATTATCGCTTCTTTTGGTCATTTTTTCTCCTGTTTTTCGGCATGAATTGTCAAAGGTTTTACCAGTTTTTAGAAGATCTGAATACAGTTAGAGGTCTGATACAACCCAATAAATTTTAATAACACTTTTAATGAATCTTTACAATTATTTGTTGGTATTCCATTTAATCCAAGCTACATTTTGTGTATAACAGGAATGTCAATTTTAACCAATCATAATCCATAGACATTTAAAATAAAAAAATATATCAATTATACCTCTAATAACATTATAAGCATATGTCAAGTAATACCTGTTAATAGTGATCTATTACCCTTAATCTCTCCAGCGATTAATTTGGGACAATCATCTGTAAAATTGTTATATTTTTTTCATTTTCACCTCCATCATTGCAGGTGATGTCTTTCCAGCACGGATCATCTGCATCAATAACCATTTTTGTTTTAATAGGTCAGGAAGAGATCCTCACGTTTACATGTTTTCTTCTTTAAAGACCGTCAACACTACTGAGCCAGAAGGGATTAGACCACTCAGCGAGGTCACTGACAGGTGGCTATCTCATTAACTCAGCTCTCAACTAACATAAGAAAAAGAGGATCATGGGGGACCAACAGGCACCGATTGGGGAAGTTTTCTATAAAGAGGGAGCAAGTAGCTACAAGTAGGACAGTGTGGCTTTAAATTCATAATTCATCTTTATTTTTTAAGAACCCATAAACAAGGTATTGCAAGGTAAATTAGAAATTTAGGAATTTTCAAAGAAAACACATTTATTGAAAAAGATAATGCTTTGTTTTCTTCAATTAAACATGGATGTGAAAGATATCGGCATGCCTTACGCTGCATATTTTCCACACGATTCAGACAGCAACAAATGGAAGAGATGTGGCAATCAAAGGAAACAAAGTAATTGTTAAAACAAAAATAATTAATATCTCTTTTAAGAAAATGTGTGTAAAAAAATTCTTTAAAAAAAAAAAAATCGAATGTTAGAGCAGAAAATGCACTAATCTGCAATGTTATGTGCGTGTGTGTGATGTATGTGCGGGTATGGGGGAGGGGGTAGGAGGGTGGTGTACGACTGTAATGTGATGGGCGTGGGCGCCACGCGCGCGTCTGTGTGTGTGTGTGTGTGTGTGTGTGTGTATGGGGGGGGGGGTTAGTGGTGCACGTCTGCAATGCGATGGGCGTGGGCGTTACGCGTGAGTTTGTGTGTGTGTGTATGTGTGTGTGTGTATGGGGGTCATCTGTAAGATCATCTGTTGGTTCAAATCAATTGCAATAGATACCCGATATGCACTTTGCTCCTTTTCAAGACTGAAACATTTTTGCGCGAACCATCTTTCGCAACATTTTTGAAATTAGGCAGTGCTCACTCAAGCATAATATGTTGTCAACGGTTTTGATGCCATCCGAATGAAAAGACCCTCAAACATACATTCATAGATAGACAAAAATGTAGATATCGTTAAATTATAATTTCACGAAAATATTTTCAAAATGTTCCAAAGTGTTAAATTTGAAGGAAAACAAAATATAGTACACTATATAAAAGCCAGTTTTTTTTCATTTGATGACGTTGCCGCAGCCAGGCAAGTTGAATGGGGAATAATTATTTTGGTGGATTTCCCCCCCCCCCCCGATTGTTTTATATCAAATATTCCCGTGGAATAAACCTTTTGTATTTTTTTGTCTTGTTGCTCGTTCATAAAATTGTATACGGTCATAATAAGGAAATATAACATTTGCTTACTATTCAAATTCATACGTCTAATTTTTATCCAAAAAACAGTAACAAAAGAAAGAAATCAAAGAACCGTCAATTTGAAAATATTTAACAGACACTTGTTATCTTTTTATTTGTTATTCAATCAGAAAATAGCAAACACGTTTATTTATCCTTACACATTCGCGTATTATACACAGCAATTCGATATACAAAAATAACACAGTTTCGCATCGTTGAAAGACTGATACATTTTTTGTGGATAGGCCTATCATTTGTTTTACCCTCCAACGTCAATCTTGACATGCATGGCGAAATTTCAAACACAGGCATGAAAGACTTAACATTCATCAGCTGAAGATAGATGGTGTGTGCCCATGCCTTGAGCCATAATGCATGGCCGTCCAGAGGATTTTTTATGTTGGGGGCCGGGATAAAATGCAATAAATTATTGACAATTTATTGCATTTTCTTTGTTTTTTTTAATTTATGGAAACTGCCCCTACCCTAGCCCCCGCTGCGTACAGTTATGGTTCAGTGACAAAGCAATGGCCTCGTAACTGTGAGGCCCCAGGATCAAAACCGTGTCGATGTGCTATATTAGTGCCCTTTTGTGGGGCATACACATGCTTTAGCAGTCACGCAAAACACACATTGGCAAATAATTATTCAATATTCTGAGAATGTATACTATTATCTAGATCTATTATTTTTAAATTATTTTTTAAATAATTCCATAAATTGGGGTAAAACAAAAATATTCCACCTATATGAGCGACAGTGTATTATCATACCTAGGAAGGACTGGGCCAATTAACAAATGGCTCTGACTAGAGCAATCCAGCCGCTTTTTTTTAATAGATAATTATCATTATTTTTTGTTAATATGAACAGTGTATGTATATATGCTTTTAGTACTGCAAAAATATAAAATACCACACCAAACCTAACCAATCGTTATCTTCGTTATTATTATTACTATCATTATTATTACTCAAATTACTATCATTATCGTCATTGCTATTAATACATTTGTTGCTACTATTTTATCACCAGCGTCATCATCATCATCATCAATTTATCTTTAATCGACAACAAGAAACTGAACGAATAGTAACATAAAGCTTTCCTTGCAAGTTTTTTTTCAATTCTAAGGATGCTTATTTGCATTATTATTCATCAATAAAACTTCACGACAACGCATTTAAAAGTGATAACATTTGGTCCTAATTTTCCTTGATAAATTATACATATACATAACGAATAAAAGTCTCACCGTAAATATTTTTTCATGTCTTATTCACGATATTATATATATTTTTTGTCTACGTTTGTTTACGATAAACTTTTAAAATAAGCACATTTACAAAAGTAATATGTTGTAGAAAAAAATCAGCGCGTAATAGGTAAGAAATAAACATCCCACACGAAAACCATATGTAAGCATGTTCTTAGATAGTCTGTGTATATACGAATATCATCATAAAGATATCATTCTGACAAAGTTCAAAGTTTTTCAATCTTTCAAATTTGCGAATACGCCATTTTTTAATAAGATCACAGCACGAGATATACATTTATCTCCACAAACTATAACGAAAAACCAAACGAATACGCTGTGCCTAAAGTACGCCTAAAGTCTGAGTAATTAATTTGAAATATAGTTCAATGATATAGTCATTAGAAGCAGTACATAGAAGTGATAGAGTTATGTTGAAATGTATATATAATTATTTGGCTCGTTTTGGATAAAAAATAATATAATAAATCTATGTTTCTATATGATTAGTCTTTTTGTAAAAATTTGAACAGGACAGCATGTACGTAAATTATTTAACGTGTATCGAGACCTTGATAACCACGTTATGTAATATGAAATCGCATTTCAAAAAGCAGCAAAAGCATTACTTCAATTTAATCTAATCTTATAAGTTATTGTTTTTGAATGTCTTTTCGAGTAATCATAACGGAATTTTGTCTATGTATAGTATACTTTGGGGAAATATATTTCAGGCGTTAATTGATGCTGAAAGGGAGAAATATAATTGCCAGCCAAAGCGCATACAAGGTTAACAAAATTTGTCAGATTTCGAAACGACGACATTTGCTCCGTGCTTTATTTAACCCAAAATACAACGTTAGGATTAATTTTAAAAGCTGGTTGAAGGTTAAAATTAAATTAAGTACATTTAGCACATATTTTCAAGGGCCAAGGAGCAACATGCCCACTTCCTGACAAATTTCCATCAATCAAACATAGACAATAGTTACGACTCACATTTCATTTAATAAGGAAATAATAGGAAGGTCTGTCATCAAGTGCGTTTTCAACCTCATGAATTATAATCCTGTCAAATAACTGTTCTACTTGGTTGCAAATCAGTCTCACACAACGGTAATGTAGAGTATCGGTCATTGGTTATACCTATCCAGATAAACCACTGGGTGGGGGTTGGTGTCGATTAGAATGTTTGGTCCAGGGCTAAAGTTAGGAATTCGGTTAATGTTGGAAACTAAGCAATTATTGACGGAGCTTTTACCGTAGAACCCTTAATCCTACTGCTAAAATGACTCCGTACTAACTCAAATCCGATAGATTCTCGGTTATAGGGCTAATTATGGAATGCGGATATTTTATTTTTATTTTTGAATTATTATTATTCTTTTTTTTGGGGGGGGGGGGCGGGGGTGGGGGGTATGTTTTTGTTTTGGTCTGCATGGTGCTGGTCTTGTCGGTGTGACTGGAATATTAGTGTGTTGTTCAATAAGACGGTGGCAGAGGGTTTAAGTTTGCATCGTGTGGGTATATAGTTTGTTGAAACGCCACACCAGAGTTTAAATTCGATGCAGTGGCTGTTTGGATGTCGGTGCCTGCAGGGTGAGCACTCAGGGTATTGAGAGGAATCGCTGGTTCCGATGGCATGGGTGTAACGGCCGTCTTCGATGAACTGCAGGTCCAATATACGGCTACAATGGCTAGCATTGTCAGCAAGGACAAGCACGCACCTACAGATGCCATGACGCTCACGACACGTGGAGATGTTTTCATCGTAGGCTGAGTTGTAGTCTGAGTTGGAGAATCTGCAAGACGAAGAATAAAATAAGCAATTGGAGAAACTTCAAAAAAAGAAGTTCGTTATTGAAAGGATATCATGCTATTTGTTCTCGTTTTGATTTATGGAATTGTACTCATGTTGTTCGAGAGGAAACAGAAGAGAATTAAACTGTACATAGTTCTTCCATATTACGCATTATGAAAATTTCTTCGACCTAACAGACAGATGCACGAACAGGACATAAAGGCACATGTTCACCAGAACTATCACTGATCAAGAAGAGGGGTTAGAACTAAAATAGACAAGGAGCTTCATTCTCTATCTCAAACTCGATCAGAAAAATAGAAGATGTTATGGGAGAGATTATATAAACTGATTATAAACTGGCATCTCTTTAAAGCAATTGCTCTCAACCTACATTCACACTGTACCCCAGCATCTTCAGAATGTCCGCAGTCGTGGTTGCCCCATCCGGTATTACTGCAATCGGTCAACCTGGATTCATATCCCGAACAGTCGACATCGTCAAGGTATATGGGGTCAGATCCTTGTTCGTATGTACCACCACTCCTGGCTACACCAACATTGCCTGAGTATCCAAGCTGTCGACAAACTACCCTCGCGTCATCGTCATCCCAACCGTCATCACAGACTGTCCCCCATTGGCCATTGTAAAAGATCTCAACCCTGCCATCAAGTTCATTTGCACTGTACCCATCAACCAGGCGGATTTCTCCCTCTCTTTCGTCTTTCAAAATAAATGAAACGAAGGTATAGGACTTCTAGTATTTGATTTGATTTGATATGATTGTTTCACATTCCACAAAATAACAGTTTACATATATATATTATTAAAGGTCAGCAAGATAAAGCATAATGACGAAAAACAACGATGGCAGTAAATATGCAGTAACGTGAAATATGAGGAACCTATTCAAAGGCAATGCGTGTATAACATAGGTTCCCATTTTACCGTAAAATTTGGACCCTCATTGCCAAAAAGATTATAAGCTCGCCGTGGTCGTCGGGTGCAGCCCCCGAGAGTCCCCCAAAGAAACCCCACAGCCGGGTCGGCTTCATGCCACGTACCTCAATCACCAAACTTTGTCAGTAGAAAATAATAGGTATGAAAATTACTAAACACACCCGAAAAAAAACAGACAAAATTGTCTTAGTTGTGGGATGTCCGATGCCCCCTAAAAACTGGTATCAATTTTATTTTTAGGCCCAAGGACCACATTTTGTCATGAGAAAAGTTGTAACTATACACATTACATAAAAACTTAAAAATAAATCACGCTTTACTGCCCTCAAATGCTCTGGTTTGGGTTCAGAAAGAATGTGTGATTAAGTCAAAGAAGAAGTTTCCCATGAAGATATTTAGAGCTCTGTGCAACAGGTCTGCAGATATTTTCAAATAATATTTTAAACACTAATTATTTCGCCTATACTAACAGTGAAAAGATATACATTAATCTTCCGTTTGGGGTTTATTATTTCTATTAGAAAAGGCGCCTTTATTAAGTATGAGTGCTCGCGACCTACCTCCGCAGTAAACTCCAGCATCTTCAGAATGTCCACAGTTGTGGTTGCCCCATCCGCGATTACTGCAATCAGTTAACCCGGATTCATATCCCAAGCAGCCCACATCATCAAGATATATCGGGCCAGATCCTTGTCCGTATGTACCACCACTCCTGGCTCCACCAACATTGCCCGAGTATCCAAGCTGTCGACAAACTACACTCGCGTCCAGGTCATCCCAACTGTCATCACAGACTGTCCCCCATTGGCCACTGTGGTAGATCTCAACCCTGCCGTCATTTGAATTGTACCCGTCAACCAGGCGGATTCCCCCCTCTATTTCATCTATCAGAACAAATAAAACAAAGGTATAAGACCTCTAGTATGAGGCTTTCACGGAATATTAATATATTTTAGCCGTAAGATTTGATCCCCCAATGCCAAAAAGGTTAAAAGCTCGAGCGTAGTCGTCGGATTCAGCCCAGACAGTCCCCAAAACAAACCCCAAAGCCAGGTGGACTAAATTTCATGTACCTCGATCACTAAATTTTGTCAGTAGAAGGTAATAGGAATGAACAATCTTAACACATACACACAAAAAAACAGACAAAATTTTCTTCGGAATTGGATGTCAGATTCTCCCTACAAACCACATTTTGTCCTGAGAATAGTTTCCGACTATATATAACACCCCCCCCCCTCAAAAAAAAAAACTGACATTTTTTTTTGTTCACGATTTGCTGCCCTCAAAGGTTGTGGTTTAGCTTTAGATAGAGTGTGTGATTAAGTCGAAGAAGAAATTCCCCGTGAAGATATTTGGAACTCTCTGCAACAGTTTTGAAGATATTTTCAAAGAATATTATAAACACTAGATATTTCGCCTATACTAACAGTGAAAAGATATACATTTATCTTTAGTTGGGGGTTCATTATTTCTTTTAGAAAAGGCGCCTTAATTAAGTATGAGTGCTCGCGACCTACCTCCACAGTAAACTCCAGCATCTTCAGAATGTCCACAGTTGTGGTTGCCCCATCCGCGATTACTGCAATCAGTCAACCCGGATTCATATCCCAAACAGCCCACATCATCAAGATATATCGGGCCAGATCCTTGTCCGTATGTACCACCACTCCTGGCTCCACCAACATTGCCCGAGTATCCAAGCTGTCGACAAACTACACTCGCGTCCAGGTCATCCCAACTGTCATCACAGACTGTCCCCCATTGGCCACTGTGGTAGATCTCAACCCTGCCGTCATTTGAATTGTACCCGTCAACCAGGCGGATTCCCCCCTCTATTTCATCTATCAGAACAAATAAAACAAAGGTATAAGACCTCTAGTATGAGGCTGTCACGGAATATTCACCATATTTTAGCCGTAAGATTTGATCCCCCAATGCCAAAAAGGTTATAAGCTCGACCGTAGTCGTCGGATTTAGCCTAGACAGTCCCCAGAACAAACCCCAAAGCCAGGTGGACTAAATGTCATGTACCTCAATCACTAAACTTTGTCAGAAGAAGGTAAAAGGAATGAACAATCTTAACACATGCACACACAAAAAAACGGACAAAATTTTCTTCGGAATTGCATCCCAGTTTCTCCCTAAAAACCACATTCTGTCCTGAGAATAGTTTGCGACTGCATATTACACCCCCCCCCCCCAAAAAAAAAAAACTGATTTTTTTTTTCTCACGATTTGCTGCCCTCAAAGGTTGTGGTTTAGCTTTAGATAGAGTGTGTGATTAAGTCGAAGAAGAAATTCCCCTTGAAGATATTTTGAGCTCTCTGCAACAGTTTTGAAGATATTTTCAAAAAATATTTTAAACACTAATTACTTCGCCTATACAGTGGAAAGATATACATTTATCTTCAGTTGGGGGTTCATTATTTCTTTTAGAAAAGGCACTTTTATTGAGTATGAGTGCTCGAGATTTACCTCCACAATAAACTCCAGCATCTTCAGAATGTCCGCAGTTGTGGTTGCCCCATCCGCCATTACCGCAATCAGTCAACCTGGATTCATATCCGGAGCAGGCGACATTATCAAGGTATATCGGGTCAGATCCTTGTCCGTATGTACCACCACTCCTGGCTACACCAACATTGCCCGAGTATCCAAGCTGTCGACAAACTACCCTCGCATCAGAGTCACCCCAACTGTCATCACATACTGTCCCCCACAAACCATTGTGGAAGATCTCAACCCGACCTTCGTTTGCAGTGGGACCGTCAACAAGGCGGACTTCTCCCTCTGTTTCATCTTTCAAAAGAAACAAAACGAAGATACAAGACTACTTTTCTCAGAACTATAGTCACCCCGTTTTACCCGTAAGATTTGACCTCTCATTGCCAAAAGGTTATAGCTCAACCGTATTCGTCGGGTTTAGCCACCGAAAGTCCCCCAAATAAGCCCCCAGACCTAGTAGACTTCATTCCATGTATACGTCAACCACCAAACTTTTTCATTAGACAGTGATAGGACTGAACATTACTTAACACAAACACACAAAGGAAAAAGATATTTTTTCTTCGGTATGGGATTTCCGATGCCCCTTAGAAACTGGTATGAACATTTGCTTTTTTTGCCCAAATTAAGGACAACATTTGGTTATGGGAAAAGTTGCGACTGTACATTAATAAAAACATAAGAACTAAAAAATAAATTACGCTTTGCTGTCCCCTAATGCTCTGGTTGAAGGATTAGATAGAGAGTGTGATTAAGTCGAAGAAGAAGTTAACATGAAGATATTTGGAGCTCTCTGCAACAGCTTTGAAGATATTTATAAAGAATATTGGAATAACAAGTTCGCCTATACATTGGACAAATGTACATATATTTTTAAACGAGGGTTCTTTGTATCTACAAGAAAGGGCGCTGTAAATAAGTATGAGTGCTTTCAACCTACCTTCACAGTAAACTCCAGCATCTTCAGAGTGTACGCAGTTGTGGTTGCCCCATCCGCCATTACTGCAATCAGTCAACCTGGATTCATATCCGGAGCAGGCGACATTATCAAGGTATATCGGGTCAGATCCTTGTCCGTATGTACCACCACCCCTTGCTTCACCAACATTTCCCGAGTATCCAAGCTGTCGACAAACTACCCTCGCATCAGAGTCATCCCAAAAGTCATCACATACTGTCCCCCATATACCATTGTGGTAGATCTCAACCCGACCTTCGTTTGCAGTGGGACCTGCAACAAGGCGGACTTCTCCCTCTGTTCCAGCATTTAAAAGAAAAAGCAACGGGTGTAGAGCTCTACATGATTATTTGATTATCTGAATGCTTATTACATAATCCACACAGCCAACCCTAAACCGAAGCGGCTGGCGATGTGCCGAAAACTCGGCCATTTTAAATGATTTTGATTAATTGTCTTTCTGATGCCACCTGTGCATCAAAATCCCTTTTCACGTAATGCAATAATTCATGAATTCGATCTGGTTTGTATATTGACCTTACGATTTTAATACGGGGTTATCATCAACAACACACCACCCCCCCCCCCCCGTAGTTTGACCAATTTCGCGAGTCTGTCCTTTGGTCCTGTTTAGACAGCATGTATCTTTACGTTACACGGTGCAAGGCTAGCTTTATGAATCTTAATGATTAAACAAAAATGAAAACGATACGTATGAATTGACTACTACAAAATTACAACAATCATAAAAAATTACAACCGCAAATGTCAAAATATCCACAAATATAAAAACATTACGCCAACAAGTTTTAACATCTGTAATAAACATAAATGCAAATACATTTCGCCTCCAAATGTGAAAATGTACATTGTCACCATAGCATGGCAACGGCAATGGTAAAAGTAGTAATGTATAAAATAATTGAATAGAACACCCATACACATCTGATAATAAGCTACTGTACATCGAATATGCAAACAATAAATCTTACCTTTGTGATTGAAGTTTTGACTTTTGCGTTAAACATTGAATTATTTACATTTGTAAGTGAAAGGCTGTTAAATTCATCAAATGATTAATGATTCGTCAAATGGTGTTGTAGAACATAATACAATGTGTAGTACTTCTTTACATTTGAGGTTGACATGTAATTACATCTGTGATTATTTTGACATTTGCGGGTCCTATGTACATTTTAGGTGGATTTTTACATTCATGAGCTCTAACGTACACCTACCACCAAAAAAAATCCTATTTCCTTCCTTTACCACAGAACTTTGGGTTTGGGTGTTTTTTCCTTGGGGGGGGGGGATGGTGGTTGCATGTCAGATAAAGTGATCAAGAAAAATAAAAATTATTTCAGAACAATTTGCGTCCATGCATACGCTGAACATGCTAAATGCTGGCACATCTGAACGAGTACTTCCATTCATAATTACAACTCATAATCATGATGACTTACACGCTACTATTATACTGATCGAAACGATCCTTTCACTATTTGATTATTGGAAGGTCATTACAGTGCCATTCCAAATATCACACTCTAAGCGTTTACGAAACGCATCAAGGTAATTTATTCCTCGTCGGTTAAAATGTAATTAATTAGTATATAGCCTCTCTCTCTTTCTCTCTCTCTCCCCCTCTCTCTCTCTCTCTCTCTCTCTCTCTTTATATATATATATATATATATATATATATACACGCTCTGCACAAAAAGAAAGTAGACACCATTTTCCAAATAAATATTTAGTATAAACTTGTTATCTTGTTGATCAAGATGAAAATAAATTAATCATCTTTCATATTATATTCAATTTGAAGCATACCATTCATTCATGAGTGAATAAAGCTAATTAACTATAAACGAGTCTCTGAAAGGAAGTTGCAAAAATGGGGCATCTGGCCATTCGTATGTTGATGGGATTTTGAAGGTATCCTATGGCTTGTCTACATGCTTGGCTGGAGGGGCGAGGCATCATGATCGTGCTTGTCAAAACCATGTAGTCCTGAGACTACAGTTGACATCCAGAGCTCAATCCTCCTCGCTGGATCCCATTCTTTGTTTTCATTGTTGAGCTAGAATGTCTTAAAGATGCACATGTTCTTTAACGCTCTATTTTTGCATTTTTTCTTAATCAGACCTTCTAACGGTTAAATGAATGACCTAATCCCAGCGTAAAAGTTCAAATCTTTATCGTAATTGATGTTGGTAGAGTATAAATTTCTTTTAATATATTTCATTGTATTTCACTGACGGTTTATATAGAAATTTGGAACAGTGAAGAGTGTCCACTATTTTGTTTTGACCGAGTGTATAAATTATTCACATAATACAATATATACTTTTAAGTCTTGGTATTTTTGTTATTGATGTCATCGTAATGCCTAACGCGTTCATTTTATTAAGTTTCTGTTTCCACACACAGTTAAAAAACTGTATTGCAACACTTTATAACACACACACACACACACACACACACACAACAAAAAAGCCTACAGTGCTGGACTACTACAAAGCATTCTCGCTCCCGCTGAGAATCCAATTTGTACTTTTTCCAATTAGTTATTTCCATAATAATTATGTCGTCATATCTACCTCGCAATAAACACTCATTTCATTTGTGTAATGAGGCAGTCATCCGCGGGCAGAGAATAGGTAAGATAACACACATCGACATGCAATGATGATATTATACAAATAATGACTTCTTTAAAGGGCATTGTTCAAACTATTGCCCAAGGTGATTCAGAAACTGTACCGTTTCCCGAAACAAAGCTGAAGGGCATAGTGCAATCGAGGAACTTTAGTTTTAACCCTTACCCGAAACTAAACAGTCGATATATACCTCATTCCTGGTGTCATATCTCAACAAGATATATTTTAACAAAATGTGCATGTAAAAGTGTATAATATTTTGAAGAGGCGAAGGAAGTTACCCGTGTAGGAGCATTGCGCGCGTCTCATTGCACGTGTGATGATCAACAACATAAACATGGTTTTACTTTCTTGTCATTGTATATTCTTTTCATATGACGGAAATAAAAAAAAATTAAAAAACAATAAGCATAATCTTCTGGTATCTGTCGCTAAATTCTATAACTAGAAGGATCAACATTGTGCTATCCTTATATAGAACAGTAAATAGGAATATGAAAGAAAAGGCTTATCAAAGTTAATAAGCATAACCCACTACCGAACAATTATTTGATCAATACAGTCTTTATCCCAGATTTTAAGGAGTTATCTTACATACTTAATTTAGTAGTTGTTAATGGTGATGAGTTTTCTCCTTAAGTTGCCATGATTTAAATTTATTATTGCATATTTGTGTTTTCTCTCGCTTTTCGTATTCCATCACTGTGCTAACCTGCCATGGGGGAGGCTGCTATTTACCACTATAAATTTCTGTTGTAATGATTCGATTGTTTCTATGAGGTATACATGGTATATATACTGTCAAGCCATTAAGGTACGTTTTAAAGTCCTGGCTTCTTTAATGTAAAGAATTCATAAAGTATGTATATAAAGTTACCCTAGAAAATGCATTTTCGTTATTATAGGAGGCAACATTTCCAAAACATCGAAATGGCTAAATATCTTAATTAAACTCCATTCCTATGTACATTATATAGGTCTAATTCATCCGAATGCAAATATTTGTTTAATCAAAATTTTCCTATGGTGGAGTTATCTTCATAATTATTATGTCGTCACTTCTACCTCGCGATAAACATTCCATTTCATTCTTGTTATGGGGCAGAAACAAACACAATCTACCAGACACAATTCAATTTTATGTTTCACCCCTCATGGATCGCTTTTTTTTAAAGCAGGAACTGATTTGCTGCTCGAAACCAATTATGTTAGGTTTAAATATGCTATTTAGCCTTTTTAAGCAGATATTTTAAAAGTCAGTTCAAAAGGTAGTGGTAAAACAAGATTATAATGGTGGTTAGAATTGTATGTAACAATTCGCAATTACTCGTCTCGTCTTGCACATTAGATAATTATATTCGCACCATAATACACATATAAAGTCATACCAGTCGGGTTGATGACATATTTTTTCTTTCCATTAGCAAATGCTGGTTAATGTTTCTCAGAACATCTATTTACGTTGTCTTTTACATATTGACACACTTTAACAATAATTGTAGATTCAGCTTCTTTCTCGGCCATGTACAAATATTTGAGCAGAAATTTTCTTTCAACATTGCGAGTTCCTTCATGGCTGAACATATTTCTTGTTTAGATATTGGAACTTGCTATATTTCATCAAAACTCTGTCGGCCGGGTCACTGAAATGCATCACTTTGGACAGCAATTTTCCAACTACTACACGTGATTGTAAATTTTCCAATGGTTGTTGGAGAAGTTTGAATCATACTCGATTATACATCATAACATATTCATGGAATTGAATTATTATTATTATTATTATTATTATTATTATTTATTTTTATTTTTATTTTTTTTTTGGGGGGGGGGAGGGGGGTCGTTTTCGCTGTTGTTCTTGGTTTAATTTTGTATCAAATTTTGATATCGAGACCTTTTACGGTATTCAATTCTGTACGAGGCAATGATTCAGAATTAACATGATTCATGTGTTATTCTTCGAAAATAATCAATGATATTTGGATTTATGTAGAATCACATAAATGTTTTAGGGAATACGATCAATAAATTATAGATATAAATGATTTCATTCACCTGTTATGAATAAATATATTATAATAGTCAAAATGCAAATTGCATACATTAATATTGTTGCTAGCCTCCAAGGTAGGACAAAGTTTATGGCTTGTCCTACCCAGCACCACGTAGTGTATGCAATTCGCATTCTGAATATTGAAATACAATTATTCGAAACAAGATTGAAATAATTTGTAACGAGGCACTCAACAAAGATTGTGTGCATTAAATTGTATTACATAACGAAAATTGCGTTTTAAATGTTGTAGTTGGTAACCAAGGATTTGGTAACCATGACGTCAACTCCTGGTAGCCAGAGAAAAATGCATGAACTGAAATTAATCAGCCAACAGGTATATATTCACCACCCCTCAATCTAAGACATTGAATTGAGACTTACCGCATCGTATGAAGTTTGGAAAGAACAAAACGAAGAAACACGACATCCATAGTTTTCCACTCCAGACCAGTTTCCCCAAAGCAGGTGACGCCATATTTCACGTGCAATACCAATGGCGCACCTGGTTAATATGTATTCGTGAATGGCCTTATGAAATATAAATGAACCGCTGTAAACGTACACGCGTACAATACAAAAAGAGGGAGAGGGAGTATGACTATGATTCACGTTCTCACTGCTTTTTTCCTCGCTCTCTCTCTCTCTCTCTATATATATATATATCTCAACGTCTCTCTCTGTTTCTTTATCTTTTTTTCTCTCTCTGTTTCTGTATCTTTTTTTCTCTCCCCCTCTCTCTCTCTCTTACATATTTTACATTTTTTTTCTTTGATGTCATATCAACTCAAACATATTCCTGCTTTTAATTAAGAAATTATTGCTCTATCTGAAAATAAATTTTTAAGCAATTTAGCTAGGAGGTGCATGGTAACCAAAGTTACCTTAGGAGCAATCATTCTTCATACCTGAAAAAGAAACAATTAGGCATAATAATCCAGCCAAGATCACCATACCAATGTTAACATTTCCGTTTCATCTCCGCCTTGACTGTTGTGTATAAAAGAGACTTAACTGTACCCGTGAAAATGTCGCTTCATTAAAAAAAACGTCAGCAACGTTCGCATTTTTTGAGTTTTCCCGGCAGAATGATATTCCACTCCATATGATGGTTTATCAATCGTTACAAAATGCAACGAGACAGCACGTTTAATTATTGTATGAGATTACTTTTTTTCCATTAAAAACATATAAATAGATGATGAGGGCGATTAACTGAATACTGCGGTATAAAAATGATATCATCTGCATATCAATATTTAAAATTATTACAATCTTAAGGTACTACATTGCTATAATTACTTTATTTCTGTGTGCCCTTTTTTATCTCTGATTTTTATGAAGTGAATGAAGAGGGCCATTGACTAGGGGGCCTGTGTAGGATGTGGTCCTATACAGTCATTTATAACAAGCCTCTTTTCGTAATAGTGTTTACCCCCCCCCCCCCCCCCCAAAAAAAAAAAAAAAAAAAAAAAAAAAAAAAATATCTAGCTGACAGTAGGGGTGAACGAAAAGAAATGTCTACAGCTGTACCACAATTTTGCTCGTAGATGTGATTATCACTTCTTTTTGATCATTTTTTTCGGCATTCATTGTCGAAGGTCTTACCAGTATACAACTTAGCTGTTTTTGGAAGATCTGAATACAGTTAGAGGTCTGATACAACCCAATAATTTTTAATAACACTTTTAATGAATCTTTAAAATCATATGTTGGTGTCCCATTTAATCCAAGCTACATTTTGTGTATAACAGGAACGTCAATTTTAACCAATCATAATCCATAGACATTTAAAATAAAAAAAATATATCAATTATACCTCTAATAACACTATTAAGCATATGTCAAGTAATACCTGTTAATATATTGTTCAAAATCTTTCATTTATATTACAAATCGGAGTCATTGTTGAAATTTACATTTGACTTGACAAAACAGCTCATCAGTTCATTCAATAGTTTTAGGACAGTTTAGCGATCAACTGTAAAATTGTCTTACTTTAATGTGATCTATTACCCTTAATCTCTCCAGCACTTAATTTGGGACAATCATCTGTAATTTTTTATATTCTGTTCATTTATGACTGCCCCACTTCACCCGGGGGATGGTCCCCTTCTCCCCTTTTAACAGCTCCTTTGAATGAGTATTGCATAAAAACTTAACATGTAGGGAGAGTATTTTATGGATCAATATGTATATAGCTTATTATGAGTATTACATACCATATGAAAATGGAGAGGATAAAATAACTACTCAAGAAGTTATAAAGTAAAAAGTCCCGCGTCATGATCATGTCCCACTTAAATCTTAAATTCATACCTAGCTGTGTATACCCCAGTGGCGTACCCATAAATTAATAAAAGAGGAGGGCGGCTGCCTCCAAGAAAAGTCAATGTTTCTGGTCAACCCCTTTTTTGCACCCCCAGCCTTCAACCTTGGATTGAATCATTGTGCAAATCAGGCAGTCATTGCATAAGTTGTGTTAACTCTCAATAATTGATTTGAACTATCATTTGATCTTAAATCATATATACCTAGCTGTACATACCCCCGTGGCGTAACCAAAAACTGATAAAATAGAGGGGCGGAATCCTCCCAAGACAGCCAATGTTTCAATGGCCCTTCAAAGAGTATCCACACCAGCTTCACTGTCAGTGTCAACTCACCATCAACATCTCCATCATTGGAAAGACATCATCTGCAATGATGTCTTTCCAGCACGGATCATCTGCATCAATATCCATTTTTGTTTTAATAGGTTAGGATGAGATCCTTACGTTTACATGTTTTCTTCTTTGAATTCATGATTCATCTTTATTTCATAAGACCCTATAGACAAGGTGTTGCATGGTGAATTAGTAATTTAGGAAAGAGAACACATTTATTGACAAAGACATTGCTTTGTTTTATTCAATTAAACATGGGTGCGAAAGATATCGGCATGCCTTACACTGCATGTCTTCCACATGCTTCAGACAGGAACAGATAGAGAAGTTGTTTCAAACAAATTATTTGTTTAAACATGAGATTTCATCTCTCTTTTAAGGAAATTGAACAAATTATGTATATCACTATTTAGTACAGAAATGGAAAGTCAGAGCATAAAATACATTAATCTGCAATGTTATGTGCGTGTGTGCATAGGCCCCGGAAGTTGGGGGGGGGGGGGCAGTTCCCTGCTGGAAAGAACACACTCATTCACACTCATTCACAGTGTGGATCACAATGTGTTTCACACTGTGAATCACACTGTGCTCCACAATGTTAAATTGGGCGCTTCACACTGTGCTCCACAATGTTAAATTGGGCCGTTTCACACTGTGCTCCACACTGTTAAATTGGGCGCTTCACACTGTGCTCCACAATGTTAAATTGGGCGCTTCACACTGTGCTCCACAATGTTAAATTGGGCGCTTCACACTGTGCTCCACAATGTTAAATTGGGCCGTTTTATCACTGTGCTCCACAATGTTAAATTTGGCGCTTCACACTGTGCTCCATAATGTTAAATTGGACCGTTTTCACACTGTGCTCTACAATGTTAAATCGGGCGCTTCACACTGTGCTCCACAATGTTAAATTGGACCGTTTTCACACTGTGCTCCACAATGTTAAATCGGGCGCTTTCAGATCACACTGTGCTCCACAATGTTAAATTGGGCACTTCACACTGTGCTCCACAATGTTAAATTGAACCGTTTTCACACTGTGCTCCACAATGTTAAATTAGACCGGTTTCACACTGTGCTCCACAATGTTAAATTGGGCGCTTCACACTGTGCTCCACAATGTTAAATTGGGCCGCTTTCACACTGTGCTCCACAATGTTAAATTGGGCCGTTTTCACACTGTGCTCCACAATGTTAAATTGGGCGCTTCAGATCACACTGTGCTCCACAATGTTAAATTGGGCACTTCACACTGTGCTCCACAATGTTAAATTGGGCGCTTCACACTGTGCTCCACAATGTTAAATTGGGCCGTTTCACACTGTGCTCCACAATGTTAAATTGAACCGTTTTCACACTGTGCTCCACAATGTTAAATTAGACCGTTTTCAAACTGTGCTTCACAGTGTTAAATTGGGCGCTTCACACTGTGCTCCACAATGTTAAATTGGGCCGCTTTCACACTGTGCTCCACAATGTTAAATTGGGCCGTTTCACACTGTGCTCCACAATGTTAAATTAGACCGGTTTCACACTGTGCTCCACAATGTTAAATTGGGCCGTTTCACACTGTGCTCCACAATGTTAAATTGGGCGCTTCACACTGTGCTCCACAATGTTAAATTGGGCCGTTTCACACTGTGCTCCACAATGTTAAATTGGGCGCTTCACACTGTGCTCCATAATGTTAAATTGGACCGTTTTCACACTGTGCTCCACAATGTTAAATTGGGCGCTTCACACTGTGCTCCACAATGTTAAATTGGGCGCTTCACACTGTGCTCCACAATGTTAAATTGGGCGCTTCATCACACTGTGCTCCACAATGTTAAATTGGGCCGTTTTCACACTGTGCTCCACAATGTTAAATTGGGCGCTCCAGATCACACTGTGCTCCACAATGTTAAATTTGGCACTTCACACTGTGCTCCACAATGTTAAATTGGACCGTTTTCACACTGTGCTCCACAATGTTAAATTGGGCCGTTTTTGTAGGTATATTAAATTTATGAACATACATTTTATGGCTAGTCACATTTTCCAAGTATAAAATATCCACACATGATAATGTAACTTTGGCAATTGCAACGTATCAGAAAATCTTTGGCACATACCGGTTCCTTATAAACCTATTAAGATGATAAAAAGTTTCAAAATATTTCTGTCAATACATCTTGAAAAAGTTGAAAACATATCTAATTTAGGCAGACACGTTTTACTTTTATGGCTACATAAATCTCTACAACTAATACTAATAAATACCTGAAGATGAGAAAAAAATAGCTTTTGCTCATTTTTTTTACAAATAAATAACCATACACTCTATATACGGTATCAAAGAAAAAAGCAGAATGGCATATATGTACTTCCTAATAACTTCCTAGACTACGTAAGTAACTTTTTTTGTTTTGTTCTAGCGATACTATACTGATGTTAGGATATTATAACTAGATGGAACTTCCGACTGTGTAGTCAAAAATAGTACCTCCACTATCATGCAATTTGTTAAAGCCCGAATTGTCATCCCCCAGATCTTGAGATATCACTTCAGTCCACCGTATGGTGTATCACGTACGTCAGGTCTTGTGTCGCGAATATACAGTGCAAATTTAAAACTTTCTATAATATTCTATGTGCAGTTAAAAATTCTTCTTCCCCTTCTAATGGAGATGGACATTTTGTACATCTTGCTTAAAAGCTTTAGCGGAGGTACAGTTGACAAATCCAGCAGGTAGCAAGTTCCAAAGCATGATGAAATCAGGAAGTCCTTGTAAATTGTATTTGGAATTGCTGCGTATGACCATGGTTGGATGTTAACACCGATAGAAGGTAGATTTTGAGAAACTCTGAGTGCAGGTTGACAGTCCCGTACACCATCACCATCTTAAACCATGCCCTGCGTTCTCGGAGAGATGGCCATTTGAGATGTTGCAGCATTGGTGCGATGCTGCTGAGGATCCCACACTGTGCACGCATACTCCAGGATTAGGCGAACAAGAGCAAAGAAGCACAACGTTTTTGTTTTTCTTAGGCAAGGCCTAATGTTCCACTGCAAAAATGCACCGACAGAGCTGGCTTTATTTGTTGTTGTCTTTATGTGATCTGTCCAATTCAGGTTGCTCTTGAGGTGAACATCAAGATATTTAGCAGTTTCCAGTCTCAAGAAGTTGCCCTTGGATGCTGTATGACCATTTGACAGGCTTTCTCCTGCGTGCTACCCTGGTGTCCTTCAGTTTTTGGCCCATCTTCCTCTTATTTCTGCGGAGGTCACTCCTAGCAATCTTCCCATAGCATATTCTATCATGAAGGAAAAAAATAATAATAAATGAGAGAAATGTTACAACTTCTAATTCAATGATAACAAAACAACAACACAACAAAACAATGATAGGTGATAAATACAAAATATGTAAAAATCTGCATATCTACCCTACATTACCTGAAAAGAAATATCATAAAGTAAATGTTTTCCTAAATGACACTTTGCCCTCCCAGACATTACAAATTATTCGTTTTTTGTTAACAAGATGCCACGTAAACTAACGTACATTGTAAACAGTTGTTAAAGATATGCTTGAGTAAAAGTATAGGTTCGTAAATCATAAATTTGCAAATAAACATGCTGTTTAGCATCGAATATGAGAAAATATTGCTTAGATACCAGATTAAAGGTTATAGTTTCATATTTTGGTCTACATATAATTAGTCAAAGTCTGAAATCAACTGAATTTCCCATTAGCATTGTTAGTACTATGAGCCAAGGGGCACTGTCAGTATATTTTATAGTAAAATGCCTCACCAATGATGGCATCCACCTTGTCTTGGTCAAGCAACTGCTTGCCTTATTCTCCTCCTTTAATCTAAATGCTGAAACTATGCTGTCTGCCATCTCCGCATAGGTCAAGAGCATACCCATTAGTGAAAGAACAGCACATGACCAGGATTGCTTGTGTAGCTCCAGCATTCCCAGCTGCACTTGGGTCAAGTATGTCCGAACCTCATGTATGGAACTGTGGAACTGAAAAGAAATGTCAAGTATTACTGTAAAGAAAAGCATGTTTACAGATTTAAATTTAATCAGACATACGCAGCCTAAATTTGACATACTCGGTATGCCACACTTCGCAACCCTACGCAGATCGAGTGTGAAAGTTGTAGTACGACACAGTTCACAACCAAACATTATTCATACTACTCCTAGCTCAAGGAAACGCTACGAAGACACATTTTCATACATTTTTTGGACATTATTATTGAACATAAGTCATTTCTAGTGAGCTAGGCCTATATCTTATTTTTTCGTCCGACTATTTTTTGCCGACAGAAAGCATGTAATAAATTGTAGCAAAATTTGTTTCTTACCTGAATTTTTACATGACTCGGAATATGGGATCATTCTCTTTAGAATCTAGGGTTGATTTGGTTCAGATATGCAAACAAATTGGAAATATCTGCACTTTTCTCGGCAGAGTATTGTGATATAGGGTCTAGTCCAGAGCCTAAATGCCGACATGGGTCCCCTTTTCATAAAAAAAATCCTTAGACATGGGTCCTCTTTTTCATTTATTCCTTTCCCCTCTTTTCTCCCTCATTTTCTCTGGGATTTTGGGATTTGCTCCTAAATACTAGAGCCTACATTGTAAATGCCTAAATCTCTCCCATCTCTAAATAAATCCGGGGCCTAAACAATGCCGGGGAATCCTTCTGTGATTGCATTTCCAGTGTGTACGTAGCTCGTAAACTCAACTAGACCCCGGGGTACCACATATATCAGGACCCCGTTCGCCCTATGGCGGGTACTCATATGGCACAATGCGCGCTAGGTATATGGTATCCGCCCGTATAGGGGTCGTACCCCCGGGAACTTGTAGCGCTTCGCGCGCTGAAAATGATATGATCGGCAGCTATACCCTGCGTACCCTCTGCCCAGCAGCCGGGCAGCAGCGGGGCTCAAGCGGGGCTCAAGCAGGGAGCTATATAGCCGATGCTTGAGAGCTCGTGTACGGGTACGTTAATTAAAACAGGAAAAGTCCTTCAATTAAAACAGATGCTAGAGGTGCCAGCGCAGTATAATTATGTTGCATGGTGTTTTCATCTTTAATATGTGTAGCCTACTTGTAAACTACATGTAGTATGGTATAGTTTACTAATAAAGAATTTTATCGAGAAACTGCAAAATGATTGGCCATTGTATTATTACACACATAGGTGCATTACTATCCTGGCTGTGTATTAAAAGCTGTGCTATTGATTCTCAACATTTCAAACACCACTGTACAAAACTCAACCGATTTCTCTCAAAATTGGTACTTTAGTGACGATTGAGGACACCTAAATAGCAGTAAGATACATTTGTCAACTTTCTGATGGTAGAAGGAATAATTTTAAAAAAAAAATCAAATTGTGAGTCCACTGTCAAACTTGCCGATCAGCTGCATCGGCATAATTGTGTGAATCTGTGTGTTATGAGTGTGTTGACTATTCATGTATTTAAATGCTGCCTATTAACGCGTAAAGCAGTGCTAAAGGTAAAAACGCATTAGCGTTAACTCTCTATATGCTTTGCTGGAGAGTTTTATTACACATGGGTCCATTTTTCACCAAAAAAATCCTTAGACATGGGTACCTATTTACAGCAAAAGGACCCTTGGATGTGGGTATGGGTTCGGAGGTCTCAGCCGCACACCTCCGTCCGACTATAATCTGAGTACCCCCCCCCCCCCCCCGGGCCTAAAATGACCGATATACACTACTTAAAGCTATGGTCACAAATCTGAGCAGCGACCGACCGATCAGTAGCCTGCTCGGTCGCTGCTGGAATTTAGGCATCGCCCAGCAATTAGGTCGGTGTCCGGGCGGCGACCGCCCAGGCACCGAGCGTATTTTGGGCGGCGAGTGAAAAGTGAGCAGGCGCCGCCCAAATTTTAACTCCGCGCTAAAACTTCAGCGGCGACCGAGCGATGCCCTAAAAACGAGCGGTGCCTGGGCGGGCGCCGCTCGGTGGCCGGGCACCCGCCGGGCAGAATTGGTTAAAAACTCGCCGCTCGGCCGCCGAGCAGGCTACTTTTGGGTAATGTGACCATAGCATAACAGTTTGTGTGTTTAACAAGCTCAATTATAATGTCAAAAATGTTTGAAAAAGGGTCTTCCTAGCGTTCCCCTGAGCGAAGTACGTACAGCAAAAATGATACTCACCATTCAATGACAGCCACACAGCAGCTCGGCAGCAGCCCGTCAGCACCCTCGCATGATAGCTATCCTAGCCGTTGGGAAACTTCACCATGCAGGCCATGTCCGCCATTCCAATTATGTTCTCATCCGTCAACATGTCTTTGTAGTTGTACATATTCGTCTGATATCACGGAAACTTGTTTGCCGGCCTCGATCCAATACACGAGTATTCGATTTTTTTCTTCAGTTGTTGTCATCTTATTTAAAACTATACCGAAACAAGACAAATTACGAGCACAATCGAGGACCACATTCCTGCCACATTCTTGAAAACGAAGAGCGCTGCATGCACGCGCACGTGGTATGCATTTTACGCTATACGGGTAGAGGTCAGTGTATACGTACACAACAGTATGCTACGCGTGGTACGGTATGGTCTTTGAGCAAATACATATGCAAAACAAAACTGTTAATGATCAGGATTCACAATGTGAATGAGGAAATTCATTATGTGTACTGTATTTATAACACTGACCACACTATGTAAATCTACTGTTTCACACTGTGAAATATTTGTCACAGCTAGAGTGGCCATACTGTGAAATTTGTACAAGGCGGCCACACTGTGAATTTTACTTTTCACACTGTGAAATATTGTCCTCAGGGTGGCCACAATGTGAATTCTATTTTTCACATTGTGAAATATTTTTCACAGAGCGGCCACATTGTGTATTTTATAGTTCACACTGTGAAATATTTTCCAAAGGGCGGCCACACTGTGAATTCTATTTTTCACAGAGTGGCCACACTGTGAAATTTACTGTTCACACTGTGAAATGTATGTCGTAAGGTATTCACACTGTGAAAATCTATTTATCACTGTGTGAAATATTTGTCACAGTTTGGTCACACTGTGAAATAATTTTCACACTGTGAGCGGGTACATTCACACTGTGAAATCGAATTTCACAATGTGAATACTGTGTGGTTTACCACATTGTGACAGTGTCCACACTGTGAAAACACTCCGTTCACAGTGTGAACTGTGTGTTCACACAGTGTTCACAGTGTGAGCTACGTTTTCACACTGTGTTTCACACTGTGAATGAGTGTGAATGAGTGTGTTCTTTCCAGCAGGGTTGCCACCCAACCAAAAAAATGGGGGGCAAAACGCATTTTTGCCCCCCCCAAAACCACCCCCCCCCCCTCTCCAAAAAAAAAAAGCAGTAAAGTGGTAAACATGGATTGTATTTTTAACCCAAAAGAACATAACAATAATAAAAACCTGAATTAAATTTACATATACAATTCCATTCAAAGGAAAGGAAAGTTCACAGGAAATAAATTTCATAAACATTGCGTATGCCACCTATACGGTATTTATCAATGGAGGTATATATAACAGCGATACGTGTATAGCGTGGACATATTGTGCGAGGATGGGAAAGCGTGTCTGTTTTTTTGTTATAGGGGTGAGACTGAAAAGACATGAGCCCCTGAACGCTGGCGTACTGATGGGGGGGGGGGGGGGAAGGTGTATTTCTTATTCGATACCAGTGATTTACAAATGTTGCTGTTATGACATGATTTTCCGGTATTTTTTCTCCATTTTTTCGTAAGTCTTACCTTTTGATGCGTTTGTACGAAAATAAGAAATTCCTAAATTACAGTCGGGCGAAAAATACGCTAATTTAGAAGCCTTTATGTCATGGTCTGCAAAGTAGCTAGGCTCGAGCCCCCCCCCCCCCCCCCCCTCACTTTTTGAAAAAGTATGTTAAAGAGAAAAATAAAGAAAGACGAAGAGAAAAAATAAGTGACCTGCCAATGTCACAAATAAGTCATAACAAATGCTCATCTGACCGTAATTAAATGCCCAAAGCCCCAGAGCTTACGGGGGCTCCGCCCCCGTACCCCACCAAAGGCCTTAAGGCGGTCCCCTGGATGCTCATCGGGCCGTAATTAAATACCTAAAACCCCTGAGCTTCCGGGGGCTCTGCCCCCTGGATGCTCCTCTGACCGTAATTAAATACCTAAAAAACCCGAGCTTCCGGGGGTTATGCCCCCTAACTCCCTTCAAGGGCCCTAAGGCGGGCCCTTGGATGCTCATCTGACCGTAATCAAATACCTAAAACCCCCGAGCTTCCAGGGGCTTTGCCCCCTGGACCCCATCAAGGGCCCTAGGGCGGGCCCCTGGATGCTCGTCTGAACGTAGTTAAATATTAAAACCTCTGAGCTTCTGGGGGCTCTACCCTCCCCCTGGAACACGTCAATGGCCTTAAAGAGGGCCCCTGGATGCCCATCTAACCGTCATTAAATACCTAAAACCCCTGAGCTTCCGGGGGCTCAGCCCCTTGACCCCCTGCCGAGGCTCATGCCCTGGACCCCACGCCAATTTACGCTCTACCTGATCGTTAATACTCCACTTTGAAAAACGTTCAGCGGGACCTGCATGTAACGTTTAAGACTGGTGGTGATGCAGATTTTTCGTCTGCCCCCCCCCTACCGAACGTTTTTTTCTCATAACGTCACTGCCCCTGGAAGGTGAGCCCCCTGGAATGTTTGCCCCCCCCCCCCTCCCAATCCCAAACTGCTTCCGGCGCGCCTGCGTGTGTGTCACGCGTGAGTGTGGATGTATGCCACTATGTGTGCGTATGGGGGGGGGGGGGGGCGTTAATCGTGTTTGACTCCAGATGTAAGGTCAAAGATCATCTGATGGTTCAAATCAATTGTTGATAATTAATAGAAAAACTGGAATTGATACCCAATATGCACTTTGCTCAACAAATTTTTTTGCGCAAACTATCTTTCGCAAGATTTTCGAAATTAGACAGTGCGTACTCAAGCGTATTATATTGTTAACGGTTTTTAATGCCATCCGATTGAATAGACCTTCAAACATACTTTCGTAGAAGAAAATCATATAGATATCGTGAAATGATATTTTCGGAAAATATTGTCAAAGTGTTTACTTTTTTGTATATTCAGTGTTATCTTCCTTGCTGAAAATGTTTTTCCTCCACATCACTCAGTCTTATAACGTTATATTTTATGGCCTAAAAGAAGAACAAAATAGTGCCCTATATATAGCCAGTTTTTGTTTGTTTAATGGCATTGCTTCAGCCAAGTGGGTTGAATGGGGAATAATTATTTTGGTGAACATTTTGATTCCAATTGTTTTATATCAAAGATTATAGTGGACTAAACCTTTTATTATTTGTCTTATTGCTCGTTAATAAAATTTGATTCAGTCATAAGGAGATATAACATTTGCTTACTATTCAAATAACAATCATCCACACGTCTAAATTTTTCAAAAAAGAATGACAAAAGAAAAAAATTAAAGACCCATGTATTTGAAAATGATTTACATACACCTTTAAACGTTTTATTTCTTTTACAATCAGAAAATAGAAAAAATACAAAGACTTATTTATCATAGTACAATATTTGCGTATTACACACAGGAACTCGATACATCGAAATAAAAGAATTTTTCATCGTTGAAAGACTGATACGTTTTTTGTTTGTTTCACATCCAGTTTCATATTATTAGATCAGTACATAGGTCTGTCCTTTGTATTACCTCTAAGTCAATCTTAACATGCATGAGAAATTTAAAACACAGGCTTGACAGACTTTACATTCGTCAGTTGTAGATAGATGGAAGTCACATGATCCTTTGCCAAATCCATGAAATCCATAAAAGACCCAATAATTATAACATTAGTACTCTCTGAATGTACAGCTCTGGAAATCTCGTTCAACCACTCGCTTGGAGTGGATTCTAGTATAATTTTGAAGTGGATTTCACTCTAAAACGAAGTGAACGCTGATATGACTCCTGAAAGAGTGGATTTCCACTCCTCTACATGAAGAGAATAAGAGCAGAATCAGAATTAAATCTAATGATAGGGATAATTACACACTTGCAAAGCAAACTGTTCTGTCAATTTTCTCTGGAAAATTGCTGTTAAATTACATGTTTCAAAAGGGTTGTTATTATTATTATTATAATCATTAATATTATTTTATTATCATGATTATTATAAACATTATTATTATTATTAATAGTAGTAGTATTATCATCCCTAGAGCTATCCAGTCGATTTCCTTTGAGATAATTATCATTATTTTCTATGTTGATATGTATATATGCTTTTAATACGGAAAAAAATATAACATACCAAACCGAACCAATCATTATGTTTGTTATTATTATTACTATGTCATCATACTATAAGTATTTGGTGTTACTATCTTATCACCGTCGTCATCATCATCATCATCATCATCAACATATCTGAAATCTAAAAAAAAAAATGTGTATGATTATATATTATTAAAAAAAAAGATTCCCTTATAATTTTGTTTAATTTTAAGGATGCTTAAATTGCATTATAAAACACTGATTGTTAACCATAAAACCATAAAAATTCACTGCAACACATTTAAAAGTGATAACATTTAGTACTAACTTTCCTTGATACACATAAACATAACGAATGAAAGTCATACCGTAAGTATTATTTCATATCTTATTCACAATATTTTGCTTGAATATATTCCAAGCAATTATTGCGCATTTTTTCCTACGTTTTTCTACGTCAAATAAGCACATTTTACAAAAGTAATATGTTGTAGGAAAAAACATCGTAAGAGCAGGTAATCAAGAAACATCACACACGGAAACAATATGTAATCATGTTCTAAGGGTAGTGTCTGTGTACCATTTGAATATATATGAATATCTTCGTTCGTAAAGATATCATTGTGCCAATATTTCAAGGTTTTTGAAACTTTCACATTTTCGAATACTAATTTTTGTATAATATCAGTGCAAGAGATATATATTTATCTTCACAATCTGTACCACCAAGTGAATACTCTGTTTCAAAAGTAGTCCTCAAGTCTGAGTAAATAATTAGAAATATAATTAGTTAAAGAAGACGATTAGTTGTATCGTCTACTTTGACGTTTCATTTGATTATTACTCTTAATCCACGTCTGAATTCAGTTGTCCCCCTAACAGCTTTGCCCTGTTCGCTAAATTATTAGAGAAAGAGGACGATTCGTTGTACTGTTCTCTATATTAATCCTTGTCTGAATTCAGTTTCCCCACTGAAAATAAGTTGTGTCACAAATTAGTTGTGACATAATAATCTTTCTCCAAAAATGAAAAATGTTTTAAGAAATATCAGGAAATAAAATGAGTGAAAAAAATAAAATAAAGATACAATGACGTGAATTTTAAAAAGGGTGAACGGAAACAACATAACAACTAGTGAACTATTTTATAAGTCATACTAATGTCCGAAAATCTTTCTCCTTGTCTCCGATCTCATCACGAAATCGTCACAGAGTTCATCTATGTTTACACTGTCCAGGATTTTCTGATGTGCATTGCAGATTGCTACTTTTGTGCTTCGCGCTTAACATTTAGCTCGTTGCTTTTGATGCTGCGTCTTTGCATTTGGCGCACTGCATTTCTATGATGCTGTTGATTGAACAAATTGAATAAATTCATCAATTCCTGATGAAGCCGTATGAGCGAGAATTCAATTTATTCTTGTGTCATATACGGTTGTATTATTTACTTCGTATATATGTATGTATTATGAAAATGAGATAGCAAAATGTGTATATTGATGGTCATCTTGCGAGTAATAACCATTAACTACTCTCATCGGATTCTCATCATTAATTTTTCTCTTCATTTTTTTTTTTTTTTTGGTGAATTATTGGGGGGGATGATTGTACAGGCCATCCCCCCCCCACCTGAAATATTGGGGGGGGGGGGATATATCCCCCCATCCCCCCGGGATCGACACCCATGATCCTGGTTAGTAATTACATATATAAATATATCTAATTTTACGTCTTAAATTAGATGAAAAACATGATCAGACATGTGTAATATATTTGTCAATATTTAACTAAGAAAATATAAATCACAAAATTTATGTGCATTGTCACATTTGGTTGACAGATCATGATAGTTATATTCTTTGTGCAAAAATACAAATTAATCATTAATATGCATAACATACATTGAAATGGTTTTTCAACTGGTATATCAACTGGTATTCTACTGATTTTCAACTGGTAAATCAACTGGTAATCATTTACTGGTTTTCAACTGGGAAATCAACTGGTAATCATCTACTGGTTTTCAACTGGTAAATCAACTGGTAAATCAACTGGTAAATAAACTGGTCTCAGATTTCAATTTCGAACTCGAGAGCCTCTCTCACACGAATGACTCGTCTCGATGACGGGCTCGTTTTTGACCGTCGTGCAAAGCAGTACCCGCATACGAGGATGAAGAATAACGCACCTACAGATCCCGCGATGATCTTGAAACGTAAATATTTGTCCACCTTAGACCGATCTGCAAGGCAAACAATAAGATAAGCAATTAGAGAAAACAAATAAAAAATCGTTAATGAAGGTATAATGTACTATTTGTTCTTGTTTGAATTTAGGGAAGTGTACTCGTGTTGTTGAAAGGAAACATAAGAGAGTTAAACATGACATAGTTCTTTCATATCACGCAATATCAAGTATCTTAGACTTAATAAACCGATGTACGAACAGGACATAAAGGCACATGTAAAACTGCCAGAACTATATCAATGGTCAAGAGGAGGGATATTGACAGGAAAACACGAAGAGGGGTTGGAACCAAACTAGACAAGGAGCTTCATTCTCTATTTCAAACTCGATCAGAAAATTGAAAGACGTTATGGGAGAGATTTTATGCTGGCATCTCTCTGAAGACATTGCTCTCAACTTATCTTCACACTGTACCGCAGCATCGTCAGAATGTCCGCAGTTGTGGTTGCCCCATCCGCCATTACTGCAATCAGTCAACCTTGATTCATTTCCCGAACAGCCGACATCATCAAGGTATATCGGGTCAGATCCTTGTCCGTATGTACCACCACTCCTGGCTACAACAACAATGTCTGAGTATCCAAGCTGTCGACAAACCACCATCGCGTCAAGGTCATCCCAACTGTCATCACATATTGTCCCCCACAAGCCATTGTAGAAGATCTCGACCCGACCTTCATTTGAACTGTTCCCGTCAACCAGCCGGATGTCTCCTTCTCTTTCATCTTTCAAAATAAATGAAACGAAGGTATAATTAAGACCTCTAGCTGTCCCGAAACTGTCACCCCATTTTACCTGTAGGATTTGACCCCTCCGATTGCCAAAAAGTTTATAAGCTCGACCGTAGTCGTCGTCGGGTTTAGCCGCGAGAGTCCCTAAAACAAAATCCCACGCCGACCCGTACATGGCATCAAGAGGACACTTTTTTTTTGGTCTCGAAATTTGAAAATTTGACATTTTGCTCCGTTGGGGGGGGGGAGGTCACCTGTTTTAGGTCAGCCATGGGAATATTTTTATTTTTATTTTTTTATTTTTATTTTTTTTTAATAATAAAAAAAAAAAAAAAAAAAAAAAAAAAAAATCCAAAGGGGGGGGGTTAGTTTTTTTTTTTTTTTTTTTTTTTTTTTTTTTTGGGGGGGGGGGGGGGGGATTTTTTACACGCATAAAAATACCAAAGGAGGGGGGTTTTACCCCCCAACCCCCCCCCCCATGTGTACGTGCCTGTATATATATATATATATATATATATTGTCAAGCCATTAAGGTACGTTTTGTAGGGTCTGTCATGATTTGTCTTTCGGGAGTCCTGATTCTTACCAAATGTAAAGAGGCTAACAAAAAGTTAAACACATGAATTTAACTTGCCATATTACTCATAGCACACACACATAACAAAAAGCTGTATACAGTGTAAATGAAAACTGCAGAAACTGCCTAAGATTTGTGGTCGAAATTTGTGTGAAGTGTCATATCCCTGGATACAAAATGACACTCGGTTACTTTTTCCCTTTCAACTCAATTAAAGATTGTAAAAATATCACACTTTTCGTGGCATGTTCAAAATATATATATAAATAAACGTACCAAGATGTGCCTATAAGATAAGAAAATGTCTAAAGTTTTGTTTATTTTGTGGTGGACTCGGTGTTATGTGTGAGTATTGTGAAATTGTGTATGCTGATCTGAGGATAGGTGAAGTATACTAATTATTGTAGGGGGTGTTATCCGTGTTTAATAATGCGTGATTTCATGAGCAAAGTTTATCTTTATAGGAAGTGTCTTTGTTCTTTGGATCCATAGGTGACGGGTATTCCGCTTATCATATCTGATTAGGCCTACACAAAAGAGGTAAGAGTTGAGGGAGAGAGATTGGAGAGAGACAGAGAGCGATAAAGAGAGAAGAACAAATACAGATAACTGGTATATATACATCAGAACACTTTCTTTGAAAAAATCTTTTCATTCAAGTTTGTGGAAATGCATTTAAAAGTAATTGACTTTTTAAAAAATTGATAGAAAATGCATTTCCGCAGTACTATTTTTTATGTTCTAAACTCTACTAATGTTTCCAATTATGTAGAACATGTATACATATATATTGAAAGAACGGTGCAGTACAGGATATTCATGTATATACATACAATTATCGATATGATTATCAAATACATGATCAAAAGGCAACAATTATTGTCAGATAAACAATGAACATTAACTAAAATGTGGAGATTTCATTGTGTAACAGTGATTAACAATAAATTCAAGTAATCAATTTAAAGAAATCAAAGTTTCCCTCTCATCTGGAATCCCTCTCAATAATATACACTAAATTGAAAGCACGTAGTAGGAAATTGATCACCCAAAAATGAAATTGAATGCCCAAAACCGGCTTATCGCGAGCGCCGCGTTAATTTGAATGCAGGAAGTAGGAAATTGTATGCACATTCTCGAATTTGATTTAACTGAACATGCATAAGAGTGCTGATAAATGATTTTTTTGCCCGGATTTTTAATTTGAATGCCCGAATTCACCTGCGAGCGACCTCTATGTGAATTTGAATGCACGTTCATAAATTTGAATGGAAAAATTGCGAAATTGGCCGCAAAAACCTATATTTGTTTAGTTAAAATTTTCCCCGTGGTGGAGTTATCTCCCTCATTATTATGCCGTCATGTCTAATTCGCAATAAATATTCCTTTTATTCTTGTAATGGAGCATTCAATAGACACAAATCGATTTTATATTTTATCCTTCATGGATCGATTTTTTAATATTTTTTTTAGCGGGACCTGATTTACTGCTCGAAATCAATTCTGTTAGGATTTAAAGATGCTATTTAGCTTTCTTAAGCAGATATTTAAAAAGTCAGTTCCAAAAGGTAGTGGAAAAAAAGATTATAATGGTGGTTAGAATCTCGTCTCGTCTAGCACATTAGATATATTCGCACTACATTACACATATAACATCATATTATTCGAATTGATGACATTTTTTTTTCATAAGCAAATGTTGTTCAATGTTTCTCAGAATATCTATTTACGTTTTCTTTTCCATATCGACACATTTTAATACTTATTTGTAAATTCAATTTTTTTTTCTCGACCATGTAAAAACATCCAATATTTCAGCAGAATTTTTCTCTCAACATTGCCAGTTCCTTCATGACTGAGCATATTTCTTGTTTAGATATGGGAACTTGCTGTATTTCACCAAAACTCTGTCGGCCGGGAAAGTGAAATGTATTACTTTGGATAGCAATTTTCCAACTATTACACATGACTGTAAATTTCCCAAAGATTGTAGGAGAAGTTTGATTCATACTCAATTACACATCATAAACATATGCATGGAATCGAATGGATCTTTTGGGCTTCGTTTTCGCTGTTGTTCTTGGTTTAAATATTTCTCACATTAATGTTGAGTCCTTTTAAGGTATTAAATTCTCAATGATCCAGAATTAACATGATCAATAATTTATCCTTCGAAAATAACAAATAATATTTTGGATTTATGTAGAGACTTATAAGTGCTTTAAGGAGTACGATTATCTTAATCAATAAATTATATATAAAAATCATTTCATTCACGTGTTATGATATTTGTATTTCAATAGTCAGAATGCAAATTGCATACGTTAATATTGTTGCTAGCCTGCTAGGTAGGACAAAGTTTATGGCTTGTTTCACCCAGCAACACGTCATGTATGCGATTTGCATTCTGAATATCGAAATGCAATTACTAGGAATGAAATAATTTGTAACGAGGCACTTCACAAAGATTTGTGCATTAAATATGATTACATTACGAAAATTGAATATTTAGTTTGTAACCTATGGTTTGTTAAAGGCTAAGTCCACTCCAAAAATAATTTACTTTTCATCGATGCAAAAAAAAAAAAGAAGAGAAACAGAGCAAAAGAAATTTGAGTAAAATCGGATAATTAATAAGGAAGTTATGAATTTTTGTTTAAAGTATGAAAAACTATGGAACTCAGAAAATCACTACACAAATTGCCGATTTGGTTATCAGTTTGTGACGTCATTGCCTCACTATTTGTCAACTGCTTTATATATTTTTATCCCATTCATTTCCCTTTTTATCCCTAAAAATGATTTCCCCATGCCTTTGCCCAGGTTATATGATTTCACAAAATCTGTTATGAAGTTTGAAGAATTGATACAATTTTCTTGATATTGTATATTCATAATCACTGATTTTTATATAAATAGTTTATCAAAATTCACATTTTACATGATTTAATTTAAACAAAATTACTTAATATTAATGCATCCACACAAAAACCTATTACCATCAATATAACCTGAATGCTGGTGTGATGAAATATGATTTTAAGAGGGAAAAATTGAAAATCCATATTATCAATATAAAGAAAACAATAAATTAGTGGATAGCAATGACGTCACAGACTCATGAGTGAGTTGCCAATTAATATTGTGATTTTTAAAGTTTTTCATGTCATTAAACAATCATAACTTTGTTATTAGTATCAGATTTAGCTCAAACTTTTTTTTATTGATTTTTCTGATTTGTATGCCTCTATTGAAATTAAGTTATTTTTGGAGTGGAATTACCCTTTAAAGAAACATGCATGAATTGAAATCAATCAGTCAACAGGTATATATTTACCAGCCCTGAATCTAAGACATTGAATTGAGACTTACCGCATCGTATGAAGTTTGGAAAGAACAAAACGAAGAGACACGATATCCATAGTTTTCTGCTCCACACCAGTTTCCCAAGACCAAGTGTCGCCATATTTCACGTGCAATACCAAAGGCGCACCTGGATAATTATGTACTCGTGAATGGCCCTATAAAATATGGAAAAACCCACTTTAAGTGCACGCGTACAATACAGGAAGAGGAAGTCAATGAATAAAAGAGAGGAAGGGGAGTATAACTATAATTGATGTGTAAACGTCGAAGAAGAGGAAAAAACACTGTTCAAGCGATTTCTAAACACGGCATGTCACGATCCATTGCTAAAGATTCCGGAAGTTGGAGGCACTGGAAATTTGTTAATAATCACAAGATGTAGAAACATAATGTTAAAAGGCGAAATTTTCTCAGTTATACAAATATGCCCTGATATATGTTTTCGGTTATCTTTAATGAAAATGTGAAATTAGATACTACACGCTATTTTAAATTTCATGATCTTGACAAATGCAGATTACATTTTAGAATCGAATAGGCCTACTAATTTTACATTTACGCATTTTCCACGCATGCCGGTTTTGAATTAAAACGTATTGATAATGTGTGCATGATCAAGAACATATCAACTTTTTTAATGTAAGTCTGATATACTTTATTTCGTGTACACAATCAAATGGATAATGACAGATTTTGCCGAACATTTCAAATATAACGATGCATGTTGAAACAAAAAATTAGTTGATTTATGTATAGATAATAATGAGGCTACACCTGTTTTGACACTTTTAAACGAATGCATCGCAGAGATATTAGGTCAATAAATATTATTGTTAAAAATATATGCTACGTTTGTTTTGTTTTATCTCTCCCAAAAAGTAAATAACAGTCCCAAACCAGAAATATATGTTGATTAAAAATAATCTATATATACTTAATTATATCGTTGTCACTGCGCTTTAACTGCTATTTTTCCTCTTTCTGCAATTCTCTCTCTCTCTCTCTCTCTCTCTCTCTCTCAACGTCTCTCTCTATTTCTTTATCTATTTTTCTCTCTCCCTCTCTCTTTTACATATCTTGTTTTTGTTGTTGTTGTCAAATCAACAAAAAATATTTCTGCTTTAACTCAGAAATTATCGCTCTACTTAAAACACTTTACCTATAGTATAGGAAGTGCATGGTTATCAAAAAGAGTATTGACTCTGTTGACTTTGGTAGAAATTCTAGGTCAAATGTTTATATAATCATGACATTTTATTCTCATGAAAAATATATCAAAATTTCACCCCCCCCCCCCCCCCTCTCCCCGATGCGCCTCGAAAACCATTTTGTAAGATTAACCCAATATTTTGTAAAGGACGCAATAAATAGCATAGAATACGCTGAATCGAAATCAGGATTTTAGACTAGTAAGGATGAAGCAGGCGCGGATCAATGATTTCTTAGGGGAGGGGGGGGGGTCCAAATTTGAAATTATGCGAGCCAAATATTGGTCCGTAATGATGACCAGGAGTGACAAAATGAGCAAAAACGTTTGGGAGGCAGACAAAAAAAAAAATCCGCATCACCCCATTCTCTTAAATTGGCGTGGGGTCTAGGGGCAAAGCCCCGGCCGGGGTCAAGGAGCGGAGCCCCCGGATGCTCAGGGGGTAGGGCATTTAATTACGGTCAGATGAGCATATTTTGATACCTTATTTATGACACTGGCAGGTTACTAATTGGCGTGGGGTGATGGGCGCTGAACTATTAATGATTTTAGTCATTTTATAACGGTCAGATAAGCATTCAGGGGCCCGCCTTAGGCCCGGCTAATGGGGTCCAGGGGGCAGGGCCCCCGGAAGCTCAGGGGTTTTAGGCATTTAATAACGGTAAGATGAGCTTATGTTGATACCTTCTTTGTGACACTGGCATGTCACTAATTGGCGTGGGGTCCAGGGGACGGAACCCCCGGAAGCTCAGGGGTTTTAGGCGTTTAATTACGGTCAGACAAGCGCGTAGTTAGGATTTTATTTTAGGAGGGGTGGAGCGTGTGAATCACTTACAGAGCGCGCATAGCGCGCTCCCTAGAAGGGGGTGGTGCAGGGAGGGACGAGTTTCCCTCCCTCCTACGCAAGGCGCGGAAGCTTTGACGTTTCATTAAATTATTAGAGAAAGAAGACTATTCGTTGTACCGTTCTCGACTCTTTATCCTTGTCTTAACTCAGTCGACCCCCCCCCCTTACTGCGTGAAAACTGCGCGAAGCGCGGAAGCTTTGACGTTTAATTGAATTATCAGAGAAAGAAGACGATTCGTTGTACCGTTCTCGACTCTTAATCTTTGTCTGAATTCAGGCCCCCCCCCCCTCCAGCGCGAAGCGCGGAACCTTTGACGTTTCATTAAATTATTAGAGAGAGAAGACGATGCGTTGTTTCGTTCTCGACTCTTAATCCTTGTCTTAACTCAGTCGACACCCCCCCCCCCCATCCTGTGCGAAAACTGCGCGAAGCGCGGAAGCTTTTACGTTTAATTGAATTATTAGAGAAAGAAGACGATTCGTTATACCGTTCTCGACTCTTAATCCTTGTCTGAATTTCAAAATTGTTTTTTGTCTGCTCATTTTTCTTTCTACGTCCTTTTCCTTTTTCCCCCTTTTTTTTTTTTTTTTTTTTTTTTTAGGGGGGGGGGGCGTTTTTGGAGAGGCCACCGACCCCACCGACCCCTCCCCCCCCCTGGCTACGCGCCTGCGGTCAGATTAGCATATTTTGATGCCTTGTCCGCCCCCGAAACCTCAGCGTTTTAAGGCATTGAATTACGGTCAGATAAGCATATTTAGATACCTTATATGTGACACTGGCAGGTCACTAATTTGCGGGGGGTACATGGACAGAGCCCCCGGAAGCTCAGGGGTTTGGGGTATTAAATTACGGTCAGATGAGTATCCAGGTCCCCCCTGAGAGCCCTTGGTGTAGTCCAGGGGGCAGAGCCCCTGGAACCTCAGGGGTTTTAGGTATTTAATTACGGTCAGATAAGCATATTTTGATACCTCATTTGTGACATTGACGGGTCACTTATTTTTTTTCTCTCTCTCTTTCTGTCTTTTTCTCTGTAACATACTTTTTCAAAAAGTGAGGGGGGCTTGAGCCCCCGAGCCCAGCCGTCTGCAGGCCCTGGTAACTAAATTACCAAGGCTTCTAAATAAGCATATTTTTCGCCCGACTGTTTATTTGGGAATTTCTAGTTTTCCAACAACAATAAACGCATAAAAAAGTATGACTTTAAATATTTCAGAAAATCAAGTAATTTCAGCAACATTTGTAAATTACTGGTCTCGAATTAGAAATACCCCCCCCCCCCCATCAGTACGCCAGCGTTCAGAGGCTCATGTCTTCTCACCCCTATAATAAAAAACACACACGCTTTCCGATTCTCTCACAATATTTTCACGATATGCGCGTATCGCTATAAAAAGCTCCATTGATAAATATAGGTGGCGTGCGGAATGTTAAGGAAATTTAATTCCCGTTAACTTTGCTTCTCTTTGAATGGAATATAACATTATATATGATTTAGTTAGGGGTTTTATTATTTTTATGTTCTTTTTGGTTAAAAATACAAACCATCTTTACTTTTTTTTTTTTTGGAAGGGGGGGGGGGGCGTTCTTTTTTTTTTTTGGGGGGGGGGGCAAAAATGCGTTTTGTCCCCCCCCCCCCCACTTTTTTTTGTCAGATGAACATATTTTGATATCTTATTTATGACACTGGCAGGACACTAATTGGCGTAAGGTCCAGCCGGCGGAGCACCCAGAAGCTTAGAGGTTTTAGGCATTAAATTACCGTCAGATTATCATCCAGGGTTCCGCCTTAGAGCCCTTGGTTGGGTCCAGGGGGAGAGCCCCCGGAAGCTCAGGTGTTTTAGGCATTTAATCACGGTCAGATGAGCATATTTTGATACTTATTATTTTGTGTCACTGGTAGTTCACTATTTTTTCTTTCTTGCTCTCTTTTTTTCTATTTCTCTTTGATATACTTTTTTCAAAAAAAGTGAGGAATTTGTCATTTTCTAACAAACGCATAAAAAAGTATAATTTACTAAAGAGTGAGGAAAAATCTCGAAAAATTATGTCATTTCAGCACCATTCACCGTTATGGAATTAGAAATAAACCAGGTTTGAACGTTATTCCCCCAAGCCCCCCTCCCTAACAGCACTATCAGTGCCCCCCCCGATCTACACCTTGTTGACTTCCCCTACCTTTCTTCTTTCTCTTTTTGTTCCTTTATTCCCCTTTCTCTCCTCTTTCCCTTTCCCTTCCATTCATTCTCTCTCTCTCTTTTAGGTTTGCTGTGATGGGGGGGGGGGGGGGCAAGGGCCTTTCGGTACCCCCGATCTACACGTTGTTGGCGGGATAAACCGCAACTGATCTTTCCTTCTTTCTTCTTTTTACCCTTTTCTTTTCTTCTTCCTCTTTTTTGTTCCCTTTTAGATATCCTCTTCCCCTTTCCCTTCATTCTCTCTTTTTTTAAGCGGGGCGGGGCGGGGGGGGGGGGGGAGGCAAGGGCCTTTTGCACCCTCCTCCGATCCACAACTTGTTGGCGGGAAAATTGCAACTGATATTCCCCTTCTTTTCTTTTCTTCTACCTCTTCTTTCTTTCCTTTCTCTCCTCTTTCCCTTTTCCTTATTTTCCTTCTCCCTCTCTCTTTTTTTGCGGGGGGGGGGGGGGAGGGGGGCAAGGCCAGCTCGGCCCCCTGGATTCGCGCCTGGGATGAAGTATTGGACAGTTGTTATTATCCGGCTGCCTAAGAAGATTATTTTATCTAATTAGATAAATAAACTTATTCCTTCTCACCCCCCCCCCTTTCTTCACCGTGGCCGCCCAAGGGGGGGGGGGGGTTAAACCGCCGACCCCCCCCCCCCCCGGCCCCGTAGATCCGCCCCTGAGGATGACATTGGAATGCAGTGAATGAACAATGCCATCGACTATATGGGCCCGGTGTAGGAGGTGTTCCAATCCAGAAATTGATATTGGCAATTTCGTAATATCCGTACTTATGCCATATGAGTATGGCATGCCGCCCCGATAGGTTAGGCATATATAGTTTGTCTCCGATTTACATATTTGGAGGAGAGGAAAAGAGAGAAAGGAGATGGACATATGGACTGATCGAATTGTTTTTAAAGCAGAAAATTGTGGGGCGGAAGTGGGGGGGGGGGGGGTCATATTATCAGCTTTGAAAACTGCCCCCAACTCTCTCTCTCTCTCTATATATAGAATTGCCCCCACTTTATAAATACGTCATTTGCGTGGGCTGTACATGCATGGTGTCTAGACTTTAGTGATAGTTTGCCAATACAAACCCTATTCAGTTCCTCCTAAAATATAGCGTATCATTATCTTTATTTGTTAGTTTATGATCATATACAAATAAATTTGTATTTTTAAAAATTGTATAATTAAATCTAATTCAGGTTGAAAAAGGCCTAATTAGGCCTACATCTGTTATTATGCCTATTCGTTTTATTTACAGAGTTTGTATTTCCAGACTACTAGCAAACGATAATGCACGTATTTTGCAGTTTTATGTTGCATGGAGAATTGTAACTTCAACTAGGCTACAACTGAAACGGAGTTAGAAAGAACAGACGGCCTGTTTGATATTGGTTTTTGACGAGATATTGGAAGGTACTGTTTTTCTAATTTTGTAGTTGATACAAATCTAATATCTTCTCTACTCTGTACAATTGGCATGAGTGGTGTAGGCCTATGTCGTAAGTGTGTATTCAGTAAATTTTCCTTTTGTTTTTGTTGCGGGTCGCGTCCTCGTTTGTGTAGGTGGCAATGCATGTAGCTGCAGCTGCAGTGCAGTGCAGTGTGTGATTGTCATGGGCATGATTGTGTGAATGATGAATGTGGTTCGAGAAAATCCCTTTTACAGTCATCAATTCAATATGAATTCCCAGTTTGTCTCCGCAGTCCTACAGTATAGCGCTAGCAGTATTTAGTATTTATTTATTGGGCAATTGCGTTTCCATATGGTGTTGCATGATTGATAGAATGAATTTATAATGTCTGATTGTCATCGTGACGTTGGAAATGAAATGATCTTGCAAATAATCATATTCTGTCATAGACCCTTACCTGATTACCACCTGAGTTGCGAACATATTAAGTGACTTAATGAAGTGTGAATTCACAATATGAAAATCCTGGCGCTAGTTCAGAACTGTTATTCGTTCAGGTAGAGTCTAGACAGTCTATGTTATTGTTATTATTTTGTTTGGTTGGGGGAAGGGATCTTTAAGACTTTATTTAATAAAAAAGCAAACAAACTAAAATTTGAGCCGGACGTATCATGGTAAGAAAGAGTAAGGAAGCTGTATTAAGCAAGCCCCCCCCCCCCTTCCCCCATGGCTACGCCAATCTCATTTACTCTTCTTCTTCTTCCTCGGTAAATGCTACTTCATACAACGAAGATTATGCACTGCAGTGTGGTGTGTGCCATTTCCAAAATGTGTGTAGGCCTCAATCCAGGTGCAAAGTGAAAGGGTGACCAAAGTTCATGGACATTTTAGAATACATTACAAAATATGATATTTGATCTATGAATTCTCATATTCTACACAAATTTATTTATTTCAATTATTACCAAATGGACGGCAAAGTTTTTTACTACAGATTGGTTCAACTAGAAAAAATTTTGTGGAAGGATTTCGGAGATATCGCGATCTAAAAATTTGATGTCCGATCGTGCATGTGTGCTGCATCTAAAAAAATCATAAAACAACGAGACCTAACTTCATGCACGGCGGTTTACAGTTGATTTATCAAAAATGTGATCCATCAAAAATAGGTAATATCATAATTTGCAAGGCAAGATAACATACAATCAGTTGCTACCACTTTTTACTTACAATTTTGAGGAAATCTGCTCTCTAATTGAAGATTTTCAGACCCTCAACGGTATGTTCATAATCTTTTGTCAATTTTTTCACAATTTCGTACCCAATTCCAAAGAAAACTTCATCTCGGGGTGATTTTATGTTCCTCTTTCCATTGGTGATATCAGATTTTCGAAATCTTACTGATTTTTTTGAGATAGCGAACTTAGGTCATGTGTGAACTTTGGTCACACCACCATATACAGTGATGTGCTGTTAAAAACGTGGACAGCGATGTGCTGCCATCAGTTGGACGCTTCCTTCAATGCCTTTTACTCTTTCTCGATATGTACATTGTACGTCGGGCGCTCCACTTACCGGTGCCGGTACCGCTTCTAAACAGAGACTGAAATGATGTACATTATATGGGTTAGTGAGGTGAGATTACACAACAGTGACTGTTGTAAAGTGGCTTCTGTTGGCAAAAGAGGACAAACCATCTCTTTTAAGAATGCCTTCAGGAATGCCTTGATTTGTATTGGTAGGAGTCTAGAGATCTATGTGTACATGTAGCTAGTATGATAGTATCAGTTACTTATTCTTTTCATTGATTGTTATTTTCTAGATTATGTGAACAACAGCAAGAATATGACTTTCAGCAGAGAGAAAGTATTTGTGGGCATCAGTAGAAGATGTGGCTTGTTAAAGATGAATTAGTACTAATACAATCATTTAATTTGTTGCTATTATTCTAGATTTCCTGGACCAAAGAATTTTAGAAGCTTGACTGTCAGCCGAGATTCAATTTGTGTTTAATACTTGGTAGAAGACATGGCCAGTGAAAGCTTCATCGGTAACTACCTGTCCCTAGACTGCGGGCCAGCCCTAGGGACATTCCAAGGTGAAGTGTCTTCTGTGTGCAAAACAGGACAAACGATCTCTCTCAGAAATGCCTTCAGGAATGGTGTCAAGTATGGTGTCCCTGAAGTAACAATGAGGTCAGTTGTAATCTAGTTTTCCATTTATTTCTCTCCATTTTGAAGTTGAACTAAAATTATTATAACTTTGTTTAATTTTTTAATTTTTTAATTTTTTAGAATTTAGAATTTCCATAAATATATTATACGGGTAGAGGCGTGAAACTGAAATGTGCCATTTTAAATTTGCAAATGTGACGTGCAATCTAAAAATGCTCATATTTGTTCGAAACACTAATTGACAACACAGTCACAGAAATAATTATGAATTTGTGGCTTCAAAGTCTTATTTTGGTGTGTAAGTTGTTAGAGGTTCAGTAGAAGTTATTAGACCTTTATGCTTGAATTTCTCGGATATCAAGTCATTAAAAAACCTACACAGGTATGTAAACAACAAATTCACAACAAATTCAATTTGGAAAAAGGTACTTAACATGTAGATTTTAATGGTTCTTTTACCCAACCAATAATAAAAGCTCAATTAGATCTCCAGTTTGTGAACGAGTGTTGCTCATGCAAATAGTAACCAAGTTTGATGATGCCTTTTTAATCCAGAGCTTCAGACATCAAAGACCTGAAAATCCTGAAAACCAGTGCAGATTTGAAGGCGGAGGCGGAAAAGAACAGAGCGATTATCAAAGCTGTCAACAGTAAAGGAAAGTCAGAGGCAGTGAATGGAGATGCCGTCTCTAACAAAGGTACATGTAGGTTTAATATCACATGCTACAAGTTTGGCCAGGGGGATTAGACCACCCTGCAAGGTTGCTGACAGGTGGTTATCTCATCTAGTCAGCTCTCAGTTAACATAAGAAAAAGAGGATAATGGGGACCAGCATTGTTTGCTATATGGCGCAAGTAGTGTAGTGTGCCTTTAATATCACATGCTACAAGTTTTTGTCAGTATAGAAGGCAATCATTGTGCAAAGTTTAATAAAGACAACAAATGTGTAAAAAAGGGCTTTCTTGTATGAATTGATTTAGCCTCCCTCAAGTTCAGATCAATTTGAATCATTCTAATTTGAATCTTTATTCAACCTTTATAAAACAATTTACAATGACAGTAATCAATATAATGGTTAGGATCTCATAAGAAGCAGAAATCTGCTTGTACATGTAATTGGGGCCCTGTAACAAAACAATAACAAGATAATGAACATAAATATTAAAAAGTAAAAGACTGGCATAATACAAGCACGCCCATACATTCCAACAACACATACACACACACACACATTCATAAAGAAAGTTTCACAGAAAGAATAGAAGGGAGCGAAAAATAGGAAAGAAAGAAATAAAAGTCGAAGAAAGAAGGAAAAGACAAAAATGTAAAAGAGGGATTCCTGTTGTTGTTGTTTTACTGTTTACTGGCGTGTATCATTCATTTATGAGTATTTACGCCTTTCTTGTAAGAAATGATATATAGCCTCCCTCAGAAGTTCAGAAATACATGCACTTTCCAGATATCAGACTTCCTCTGTATCATCTGTATTGTATGGTATGCAAGATAACAAATTTGGAAGCTTTCTATTTTGGATTCATTGGTATCCTTGTGTTCACATTCCCAGTGAAAAGTTTCTATGTTAAGTATTTTATTTATCAGAGCATGAGTGCACCCTTTCCAGGGCCAAGTAATCCTGTCAAAAGAATATGTGGTGTAAAGGCAAGTTTCGCCAAAAAAAAGGGGACCATGGGGGATCAACGGGTACCGCTTAAGCATTGTTGGCTGTATAGAGGGCGCAAGTAGCTTCAAGTAGTAAAGTCCTGCTTTAATAGTGTTAGACTTCGATAAGAGTTATGTTGGACAAGAAATACATTGTATCCACCTCAAGCCATGTGTAAATATATATATAAAGTACCAGTATTAAATTACCTTTGATCCTGTTTGTACAGAAACTTCCAACAACAAGGTAAATGGGGAGCTGAGTAAAAGCAGCCTAACTGCTGTCAGGAGATCAGGAAACACAGAACGAGCTCACAGCAAGTCACCGCACAGAAAGGCCCCAACAGGAGACAATAGAACAACCAATGAAACTAGCGCAGAAGGAGGACCACATAAGAACAAGCACCAGAACAACCTCAATCACAGCCAGCGGTCCGCCTTTCACTCGCCCAACCGGAATGAGAACGGAGGAGTAACGGACTCGCAGGCGGGTTCGGAGAAAGCGAGGGTTGGGTTCAAAGCGAAGCGCTCTGCGTCGTTCACGATGCCCCAGGGGAAGGGGGATGACGGTGGGAGCGGGAAGTCTTCTGGTAGACCGGGGTTTCAGAGGGTGCACAGCATGGATGGACTGAGCAGACAGGGTGGCAATGAGAATGGTGGAAGAGACGAGGAAGAAGGCAGGCAAGGAGGAGGAGGAGGAGAGAAGGGAAGGAGAAGAACTACTTCTGGTAAGAATACACCTTTTGCTTGTCAAGACTCTGTTGTACCTAAAATGTTAGATGAATAATCTTTCATATTTATCATCTCACTTTCAAATTTTCAGGGATCTCGTTGAGTTTCTTCTATGATTATTGTACTGGCATTTGGCAATGATAATGATTTATCTGCGACGAAACCATAGATGTGCTGCAAACTTACTGTACATATATGTAAATGTCTAACATTGGTACAGGCATCAATTTCCTTGTATGTTTTTTGCATTCGTGGTTATGTACTGTATATGTAAGAGGGGTCGCTGCATCAAGTGACAATAAGAGGAAAATAACCTAACTCAGGGATAGAATTTTCAACACAGTCTTTGCTGAAGAAAACAAAAGAGAGCATGGGAAAAACACATTGAAAGTTGATTATCATGCTTAAAATTTTCTCAAACAATATTACAGAGTTTAGTATTGATTATGTTTGAAGTAAAATTTGAGGTTTATTCAAGCAAATATCAAGGGATAACGTAACATTCAATTAAATATAGCATCATCATTTGCATTATTTTGCTCTATACCTCTTCCCCTGCTCTTCGATGTAGGAAACCACGAGAGCAACCACACACGATCCTCGCCCGTCAAGATCAGCGGAGGCAACACGCGCAAGCACAACCGCGGAGGATTCAACTCCCGCAACGTTGAGTGCTTCAGTGCCCCTGTGGATACCTTCCTCAACGATGACTTTGACTTTGATTCAAACTTTGCCTTGTTCGACAAGGACAATTTTTACGAGGAGTTGGACGCCATGGGGGATAATCGACCTACATGTAAGAGGCAGGGACCAAGGAACCTTCGCTTTGATGAGAACATTTTAGAGAGGAGAGAGTCAGAAGAAGGGAAGAGGATTACATGCCCAGATGTAACAGGCAGGTGGTATCATACAGGTAAATTTGTCTCTCATTAAAAAAATCCAAACATTTAATTAATTCCTATCAAGAGTCAATTTATAGGAAAAAAGGATGGAAAGAGAACGTGTATATTGATTCTTTAACGATGACAGTGGCAAGTCTATACAGTATGATAAAAAATATTTTACATGAAATATCCTACCCTAAAAAATATATTGATTTTGAGCATGGTGCTATTTGTCGTCCTTGCATATTGGTAATGGGCCAATGTATGTAAATTGTATGTGATATGAGATCACAAAATGTTGTCATAAATGTCTCTGTATTTACAGAAACATCTACATGAGGGATGCCACTTTTCAGGCTTTAGACCCCCCCCCTCGACATTTTTCGCGATAATTTTTTAACGCAAGAAAATCTTGCACTGAAATTTTGTGAATTTTTTCTTTCGAGTCTTGCGCATCTTTTGAAAGAAATTTTTCGAAAATCGGACCTACCATTACAAAGTCACGTGTTCTTTTGTCTTTGCATGTCAGCCCGAAAATCGCTCATTTTTGTGATTTGTGTACAAAACATATGGAAATCTCATTTTTCAAATAAAGAGATAAAGCATTGGTTATTTGGTCTTGTTTATAGTTGAGGTGTTTATTTTGGGGTCAACATAGTTGAATTATAGTTGGAAATGAAAAAAAAAACAAAAAAACAATAAAATACATAAGTTAAAAAAACAAAGAAATACATAAGAAATTATCAAAACAATAGATAACATAAGGAATAACCCTGGTTTTTCAATTTGTTGTGTTATATTATTATTCCAAATGGTCTAACAAATATATGTAGTGAGAAAGAATGCTTAAATATGAATAATGTCTGATTTATGGGCAAAAATGTGAATTTTATGACCTTATTTGCATAAATTACCATAAATATGCAAATGAGTGAATTTTTCAAAAAATTGAAATTACCATAGTATTCTATACACTTCACTTGACATGTATGCAAATTTTCGAGGCGATCGGGCGTTTCACGGCCGAGATCATACATGTAGGGGGGGGGGGCCTTAGAACCCCCCCCCCCCCCCCCCCCGGGCAATGCAGTTTCAAAATAGCCCGGGCTAAATAGGGTTAAGGCCCAAGTGCTCAGTGACACATGAACCACTTTTTCTCAAAATGCCAAAAATGGAGATACGTCTTTGTGTCACTGACCCCTCGATATCTGTAATACTAACTGTTAAAATGTATGGATTGTGTAGATACAGACATGCAGATTCCAGGGATAACACCCGAGTTGAAGGCCAGACTGATGTCATCAGCGACTAAAGCTGGTCTTACTGTAGAGAGGAGACTTGAATCAGTAGGACTGTGTGCAGCTCAAGTCGCTCTACAGCTATTAGATAAACAAAGAAGGTAAACTTATAGACTTGGTATGTAACCCCGAGCCACAATGGTTGTTCTGTTTACTATTTTTGATAAACAGGGGGGGTTTCAACATGAAGCTCTCCCAATGAACATTTCAATGAGTAGAATATGGGGTGCATCAAAGTTTACTGGTATTGTAAAAGAGTAATATGATGTAATGATGTATTCAACAGTATGTAAATTATTGTCAAAATCTGGCATGTACATCATGTAAAACGTTTGTTTATAAAGGATATAGAAGATACACAAACTGGAGACAGAGACAGAAAGAGGGGATGGGAAAGAGGGAGGACGAGGAGAGAAAGAGAGAGAGAGGGAAGGAGGGAGGGAGGGGCAGGCGAATGTAGATAAATGTCTTGCTAAAGATTGTAATAGTGCAAAACTGGTGCTTGAACCGACATAATTGTAACCCCTATGTGTATGTTTTACCTATTGGACTATGCCAGAATTGAGTAAATGGAAAATGTTCAAACACTGCCCTGATTTTGAATACATGTAAATTATGTAGGCATCTGATCATCGTTCCTCTGTTTTTTCAATCATCTCAGAATACACAGCAAGAAGAGAGCCACGGAACCATCGGTTGTAGTCCTGTGTGGTCCTCACCTACAGGGTGCCCAGGGGGTCAGCTGCGCCCGTCACCTTACCCATCACGGGTGCACAGTCACCCTCTTCGTACCAAACTTTGTCAAGATGCTGGAAGAGCTGAAGCAAGAGATTGACCTGTTTGATGTAACCGATGGAGTTAAGCTACAGAGCTACAAAGGTAATTCATACAGTATGCAAGCAATCTGTCCTTATAAGACCACCTGTATGTAAAGGATGACTTTTTGTGTATTCCCCTAATTTGGACTTTTTTCAGGTTTGACTCTGTGTATATAAAGGCCCGGTCACACAGAGAGGACGCATGGGGAACGCACGGCCAGCGCATGGGAAATTTGCAATTTTGGCCAGTGCGTTGTCGTGCGCCCAACTTTTGACACCAAATGCATAGCGTGTTGCTAGCGCGCTGAGCGCATACAGGGCGCATACAGTACGCATACAGACCGTACCCAGAGCGCACATGATAACAACTTCCACGAATGCACAGCGTGTTGCTAGCGCGCTGGACGAATGGTCCACGCATGCACCGCGTTCTACGACGCACGGCCAGCGCATTGGAAATCGGAAAAGGTCGTGTGCCTAACTTTTGTCATGATTTTGGAAAAGCTAGCGAGCTGACACAAAATGCACAGCGTGTAGCTAGCGCGCTGTGCGTATACAGGGCGTGTGCCCCGCGTATGTCTGGCGCTGGTCTAGCGCGCTCAACGCACGTCTGGCGTGCCTTTGGCGTGTACATTCATGCGTCGAGCTCCGCGCACACTTTTGAGCATGCTCAAAAAATCCTGACGCACACAGCGAATGACGACGAATGCATAGCGCTGGTCCAGCGTTGGTCCAGCGCGCTCGACGAACGAGTAACGAGTGATGACGCACGCCTAGCGAACGACAACGCACTGGCCAAAATTGGAAATTTTCCATGCGCCGGCCGTGCGTCCCGCATGCGTCCTCTCTGTGTGACCGGGCCTTAAGGAAGACATTCAAATAGGGGAAAACTTAGACCCCGTTCTCACTCACTTTGAAAGTGGTCTTAGTTAGACCGCTCCAGAGGAACGGGTCTTGAGGAACGGTTTGCGAGCGTTCACACTTCGAGCAGTTTTTTATGGCTCAAACCGCTCCACGAGTCAAAGTGGTCTTGTTGCTATGGCAGCTCAGGTCAGCAGATCAATTTTTTTGCGCGCGGAATACAAACCGTATGTACCGTACTACATGTTTCGCACGGAACGTCACTAGCTCACTTCCGTTCAAAGTACGCTTCCGTTCACATTGCACGTTAGAGCGGTCCAAACCGCTCTTAATAAGACCCGTTCCTCAAGACCACCTCGGAAGGTGGTCTTCTGGAGAGGTCCAGAATTCCACTTCCTGGACCACTTTGACCGTTCTCACTCACCTAAGAACCGCTCCTGAGGAACAGGTCTTAGTTAGACCGCTCCAACGAAGTGAATGAGAACGGGGTCTAAGTGATGCAAATGCCTTGTATTTTTTGTGTTTACGTGTTTACATGATTTTGTTGACAATTACTTATTTTTGAGAATGAACTTTAGTATTCAGATCGAATATAACACACAGGCAATCGAAGATGAATATTACTTGTTTTTGTCTCTTGTCTTAGAAAACAATTGAAAATTCAGGTTGAAATTGTCTTTTAAATTCATTACCTGGCCATTTAGAAATAAGCAAATGAATAAGTATTTAAATTCACATGCTGGTTTCATAGTTCAATGTATACCACATGCTCCTCCATGTACATTGCATGTAGATACTTTTTGTTTGTACGAAAATACTGCATGAATGTGTACAAGTGTGTCTTTCTTGGGAATCTGACGTTTAATGGAGAAGTTTTGCATTGCTAAAAGAAGTGTGTGATAAGTGGTTCACTAGGGTAAAGCAAAACTGTGTAAGCTATTCTGCGTGTCTTCCTGGATTTAATGAATGAAATCTATTTTTAGTGTAAGCTGTGTTGGTTTGGAACTTTGGATACTTCCATTAGATGTAACACTGTGTATCTCTCTTCCTCAGATCTTCCCAAGAGCACTGACCTAACCGACATCGTGATCTGCGCCTTGGACAGACCCAATGACACCATCACCCAGGACCAAGCCTGGTACCGGGGAGTCCAGCAGTGGCTCGCGGACACCAACAAGGCCCCCATCCTCTCCCTGGACCCCTCCAACACCCAGTCCTTCTCCAGCCAGTGGGGCGTTGCCGTCGGTCTCCCCCTGGACTACACCAGCAAGGTGGGTGAGTTGTACCTCTGTAGTTCAGGTATCCCCAAGAAGGTGTTCGACGAGGTCGGTATCCGCTACATGTCTCCCTTCAGTCGGGGACTTTTCGTTCTCCTGGATGTCTCTTAGCAGACGATGGTGAGGCGTGTTCAAGTGCAATGCAATGAGAGAACGAACGGATGCATCATTGATCAGGGGCCCGTTTCACCAAGCCTTTTTTCAATGACAAATGACAAAAATCAGTGACATATCTGCTTGATAACCAATCAAAAGCAAGGATTTCGGTAGCTTATAACAAAAACTGTCATTTGTCACTGATGACAAGTTTTGTGAAACTCCCCCCAGATATATCAGGGTTTCGGGTGCTGCAGTTTCTTCTGCTACTCACATGCATGTTTCTTACCAGTTAAAGTAAAAATATAATACAGAGATCCTTTAAAAAAGTTAAAGGTTGTACATTAAATCAAAAGAAGGTGTTTTGAGGGAAATGTGATATTTACATTTTGAAAAGTGACTGTTTCAGAGCAAAAATGTGCTCAGAATTGACAGATAATCCCTAAGTGTGGAAGCTATCAAATAAAGATTGTCAACTAGGGCTCCAGGCTACTCTTTGTAGGGGTACAGAGTGACGTTTTTAGGATCTGGAAGCAATGGATCCTTGACAATATGAGACATTTAAGGGGTCTGTGGTGACTTCCTGTGTTTCCATGTGTACGTGACCGCTCTTTGTGTCAGGCCTTGCATTGACATTTCAATTGGACGTTGATGATATATGCCAAATGTAGACATTAAGAATTTATCACACTTTTTCTGTGTAATGGATACATGTATATGATAGCAGAGAGAGATGGCTCTAATATTTAGATACATTGTGATCATCTTACTCCAGATGAATACATTGCATTCATTCATTACGGTCGTTTTTCTACATATTACTTTTGTCCATAATATGATCCGTGTCTATGATGTGAGTCTTGTGAGATGAAACCAATTTTATGTTTGAATATGTAACAAGCTATGCTTTTTTTTTATATTAATGTCCAAGGAAGGAGGAGGAGTGTCAGTTCAGCTTCCTAAGATTTAGTTTAAAATAGTCAATATTTTTTGCATGACAATATGAATTAAAGGCATAATGTGAAAGCTCATTTGATGATAATGATCTTTCACATAAAGACGGAAAAAAGGAGGAAGATGCGGCAAATTTGTGTTACAACTTACTGTACAAGTAAACTTTGTACATGTATGTAACCCTTTGTACTCTGTAGCTGAAATTTGGGGCATTATATTTTGTAATTTCCATTTTATAAAATGCTAAAATTTATATTTCTTGACCAAAAAAATGTATGTGATGTCTCCTTGTTGTATTCACTTGTGATTTATACATAATGGACTTCCTGAGCTATAGTGAGTATGTAGGTACTCACTGGTTCAGATATCGTCATGCTATTCAATGATTTATCTTTTTGAAAGATTTATTATTTTAATACATTGAATAGTTGTGACAATACCTCACAAGTTATTTTGTGTACCATGTAAGGAGTATTGTTGTATTTAGTTTGTTTGTTTGTTTGTTTGTTTTGTTTTGTTTTTAGGGGGAAATGGTTGTCTGTGATTTAATCTGATATAAGGAAAGTGAATTCTACGGTGCATTAAATGTAATTTTTTTTAAAGTATTTTCGCTCCATAAATTAGTTGGATTTTAGAGATAGAACATACCGTCGACAGCCTGCAAGAAGGTCATTCCTGCAGCAATTGACATTACATACCTCTAAGTTCCTTCTTCCCGGCAGCTGACGATACATAATATGAGACTGCAACAATAATCATTGACTTGCAAAATAGTTTTGAAGGTATTTGTCATCAATTGTCACATACCAAGGCTAATTTTGAGTTCTTGTCATAGAATTTTAGTTTGATGGAAAATGATCTACAGTCGTTCTAAATTGTTAATTCATGGAGCAGATGGGTCGTCGAACAACTTGTTCTGAACTGTAGACCAGCAAAAAAAGAAATGCTAGAAATCCCATCCACTGATCAGCATATTTGCAATCGCACCAATTCCATTGTGTGTTATACACTTTGTTAAGACTACTACACCTGTAACTTTAAATCTTTCTTTCTGTGCTGGTGATACATTTTATGTTATACATTTTCTACCAAAGACCCAGTATCATATCATTTATATGTAATATTTTACAATTCTCGCTTGATTCTGTAATAATTTACTTCCATCATTACAAAGACCTACCTGTACTGTACCAGAACTCAAGATTATTTCTAGTTCTACTAATTCATTCTTATACATTACTATTTTTGTTTAAAGGAGCTTGCAGATTTTGTAATGTATGAAACATATGTTTGGTATTTATCTTCTTTAATGAAGAATACATAGGAATGATGGAAGAGAATAATTTTAGTGACTATATTTGATGAAAGATTTATGCAAAACATGAGAACCAAACCTTATAATGGTCCAGTATTATAGTTATACTTAAATGCGATGGTAATATTTTGTGTCAAAGTTTAAATACTATTTTATATATGAGCTTGTTATTCTTTTTTTTCTTTGAATTTCTTTCTTGCTCATGTACCAGAATATACCTGATTAGACTCATTTTCCTTTAATCTGGTATTTTGACTTACAAATTAGAAATAACAAGTATTGTGTATCTTCTTATCATGACATATAGCCAAACAGAATATGTTTGGTCTCACATTTCAAGACATTAATGTCAACACAATATATGATATAATATATGCCAAATGTGTATTTTTGTCATGTTCCTTCTTTTTCTGGAAAGGTTATTGATTTTTTGTTTTGTGATTCATATTTTAACAAACAAAACATATTTTGGGTTTGTTTGTGTGTTCTGAGCAATTGCTCTTTTCGTGTACAGTTAACAACTAAATTATTTATACCCTTACCAAGTTTTGTAATTTGTTAAGTTTGTGAAAAATGTATTTGTTCCAGTTTATCTTTGTAGAGAATATGACATTTTGAAGCTTACATCTAAAAGTATTCAATAATCCAACCAGTCTACCTTTCATTGAAATTCATTCTTGAGTTAAAGGTAAAGACCAGTATTGGAAACGCCCCAATTTCAAAAAATGAAATGGAAGCTCTCATTACCAATCGTGTGAAAGAATATGTTTTGACTAATACATGATGATAAAAAATTTGCCGGGAAACCGCCTACTAATTCATATATTTGGTAAATTTGTTTCTCTCATGGTCTGTGAGAGATATAGGGTAGTCCCATATACATCTTTCTGTGTATAGTGCTTGTAACTTTACAAAGAATGGGCCAAATTTTTTATCATTTTGATGATTCCAGAACCTTGCAGATGCTAGATGATCAACCTTTTCTGATCGATTCCACAACTTTTCTTTCACAATGCAATCGAATGACCATAACTGGTCTTTACCTTTAAGCAAAATACAAAACATCAAATTTACGATGGGTGTAAATAATTATGTTGGTACCGGTATATGTATTTTCAGAATTAGAACATGAATTACCCAAGTCTCACTGGCGAGACTGAACCCAGACCAAAAGAAAAAAAAACTACCGGTTTATTGTCCTTGATGGTTTGTTTGAAATAAGAATTTTCGCTTTGCAATCAGTTTATCTGTGTGATTGAGGTCCACATTTGAGACCATACTTGTTTCACAGATGCACTTACATGTACCTTGTAATGCATGACTAGGGGGACGATGTTCTACAATGTTGTTATTGTGCAATTAATGTATGGGCATGGAGATAATTGCATAAAACTTGATGGTACGTTTTTAAAGGTAAAGACCAGTTATGGTCATGCGACTGCATTGTGAAAGAAACGTTGTGGAATCGATCAGAAAAGGTTGATCATCTAGCATCTAGCATCTGCAAGGTTCTGGAATCATCAAAATTATAAGAAATTTGGCCCATTCTTTGTAAAGTTACAAGCACTATACACAGAAAGATATATATGGGACTACCCTATATCTCTCACAGTCCATCAGAGAAACAAATTTACCAAATATATGAATTAGTAGGCGGTTTCTCGGCAAATTTTTTATCATCATGTATTAGTCAAAACATATTCTTTCACATGATTGGTAATGAGAGCTTCCATTTCATTTTTTGAAATTGGGGAGTTTCCAATGCTGGTCTTTACCTTTAAGTATGAAGTAGGTAATCTTGAGAACACTACCTAAAACTATGAAATACAGTGAACGTGTAGGTGACCTACATGTAGTAGGAGAGACTGGGTGGGGATTCAGGGAATATAGCTGTAAAGCTTTAGGGCAAAATAGTGTACTTCTGGTATTTATGTAATCAATCTAAATAACAGTTCGATGTAACTATTAACATTCCAGTGGTACATGAAGTTGGTGAGCTTGCAGTGCAATAAGTTACAAAAATCATTCACAATAATTTTGAGCCAGTCAGTAAATGTGTTTTGATTAAAAACTAGAGAGTAAACAACGCAATGACGCGTAAGTTAGGATGAACACAAATTTTGAATATGGTAAGCTATTGAAACCGTGGCATGTGATTGACTGAGAGCATCCTTGCCATAGAAATCTAGCATTTGTTATTGATAACAAGTTGTATGAAACGGGTCCTAGATTCTTCCAATCTTTAATAACAGGGAAATAAGCCAAAGGTTAACAGATTTATATATTTCAGGAAGTAAAGGACCATAATATGTGTTTTTATGTGTAACAACAAGCTTGGGATATAATATTGTTTCAAGTAAAAAGTAGGAATTGAATTGTGGTAAATGAAGGTAATATTGCACTGTTGGCCAAAGCCTAAAAAAACTTCTAGACATGTTTGCTAAGATGCAAATGAAGTCTAGTTGTTGTATTCAGATTTTGATCATCATTAGATAATGGACCTCCATGTATGTGTACAGTAAGCCCATATGATTTGCTACTGTCCGAAGAGGTGGAGACACGGCATGTTCATAGATATGCATGCATGTGATATAATCATGTTGTGCTAACACGCAAGAAGTTTAACATCATCTGTTATTGTTAAGGACCAAAAGGGCGTTAACTCTGTGTTATAGTATATGAGTTAACGCCCTTCTGGCTCCAAACAGATGAAATGATAGTTGTGTATGTGTATCTCCCCCAAGGCCCTAAAAGACCTAAGAGAAAACTATTGTGTGTTTATAAAAGAGTTTTCTTTGTGGTTCAAATGTGACAAATGTATGATTGACTATGGCTGCTGTGCAGAGCATGTTGTTTATTTTGTATTTCTATGTTCTTATGTTCATTGAAGCAGCCTTTAAAGTTACTAACTTTGACTGCATTGTGCAGGAGAGGAATCACTTTAATCTGCATTTAGTAGGGGTAGAATGGTGGGGAAGGGGTGGTGGGGATAGGGGAGGGGTAGCAGAGCTTTGTTTGTAAGATGCAGGGCTGTGTTAAAAGATAATGTTGTACACATTGTTCCAAGAATACGCCAAATGGACAAATGAATATAAATAGTCTAACTGGGATGATCGGTTTTATTTCATGTATTGGGGATAAAGTGGTGGTGGTGGGGGGAGATAAAAATGTATTTAAGAAGCTTGCCATAAAATTATCCATGCTGCCAATTTTCTGCAAAGGTACATGTTTACTGACTGACAAATAAGCCACTTTCAATAGATTTGTGGCAGTTTTACATGTACATTGTACATGTAGGCATTTTTTTATCCCTTTTTTTCTGAGGATTTAAAATAATATTTGTTTCGTTTAGGCAAGTACTTCTTATACATATGTATTGTCTTTGCATTGTCAATTAAACATGACGTTTTGTACCATGTAGCATTTTTTTCAATTTTTGGTTGATACCACCATGATAATTTTTGTTGATTTTGAGCCATGTATGTTCCATGCTCAAATTGCATTAGATTTGAACCTGTAATGTACATGTATGTATTGTCTGGTCAGTGCTAACATTGTTCTGAGTGACCTCTGAAAGTTGTGTTCATTGTCTAAATCATGAGTCATAACTTGTCTCTTCATATTGCCTTCCATGTACAACTGCGATATTTCCTGAATCTTTCCTGTAGCATTTTTTTTTTTTTTTTTTTTTTTTTTGAGGGGAGGGGGGGGGGGGGTCATGATTTGGATCAGTCGTGAAATGGTATTTAGAAACAAGAAACGATCAGTAATTAATTTGCCCCTCGAGTCTGAATATCGTTTAATGAAACGCCTGTTTAAAAGCATCATTTCGAATATACTGAACCTCGTATTTTATGAAAATCATATACATGTAACTGGGTGGGGCTTATCGTGAGTGTGCAAAACTGCCCGCTGATATTGACCAACTGTTGTATCAATCGACCTCTTCACAATTTGTTTCTTTATACAACATTTCTTAATCTGATGCTGCTTTTTAGTCTGCACTCTCCTTTCTTTATACGTTTCTTTATATAAGTTTTGTATAAATTTCAACAAGTTTAAACAGGGCCGCAGGCTATGAGTTATTCCACAAACCAACCTACTTACTAATGTCAAGGGCAGGTACATGTTTAAGTTGTCCTTCGCCCTTACAAAATCTCCATAGGGAGAGGAGCAAATTGTGTAAATTCAGCTGCCGGTCACATTTTGTATTAAAACATTGGTAAGGAGTGAGAAAACGTAACAGTAATCGCTCTGGTTCTGAAGATGATAATTGGAAATTATATCTTGGCTCTTCCACTATTTGTTGATTTTGTTGACAAGAAATCCTATGCCTAGGGAAATTTTGAAGGCAGCAGTTCGTCAGTGGCTCTTTCATTATTTCACGTTTTAATGTCACAACAAACTGGTGCATTGAAACCTGCTTTAGCAACCACCAGTATAGAAAACCCACCTGTATAAAGTACAGACCACCTGTCTACAAAAACCACATTTTTAGTTTCCCTTGAATACCGTTTCCCTTGAGTGATCTGTTTTAACAGGTTTCACTGTATATGAATGTTTATGAGGTCAGCCGTATCTTGCCCTTTTGATAACAATTCATATGGTACCAAAAAAAAATCAGGTAAACCAGGAAACACCTCCCTGGGTAAACCTCTATCGGTAAGTGTTTTTGTACAAGTAATATACATGTACATGTAATGTGATTCAGTCTTCGTAATGCTAATATTAGCTCGTACACACGTGGTCATTTACAGTCGTACCTCAGTACCGCATATTTCCTGTTCAGGATAGTATAAACGTGATTTTGTTTAACGATTGGGTCTATTTTTGGTTTGATGTTGGTCTCATGGGTTTAACCGGGGTAACAAAGGAGGTTAAAAAACAGTTGACTTTAATGTTATTATTGTTTAAATGTCAAATTGGAAGTCTGTATTGTATTAGGGAGATTTTTTTTTTTTTTTTTTGGGGGGGGGGAGGGGGGAGGGGGAGGGCAGGGTAGGGGGGGGGGGGGTGACAACAGACAATTTAAATGTTATTATTGTTTAAGTGTCAAAATGGAGTCTGTATTGAAGACTAGGGGGGGTGAAGGGATGATGAAAAGTATTAGCACCTGATGAATATTTGGTTTTATCATTATTGGGTGCTATCATTTTGCATTGAGTCAAAGCGTTTGTTAATCTGAACAGGTGATATAACTCAATTAATCTTGTTAATCAGTAAACAAATTAATTCAGCTACTGTGTATTCAGTTAACGTGTTTGGAAACAGTGCAAGAGGTATTATACGTAAGGATTCAAGGATTAGTATTTTTGTACTTTGAATACATGTCCACCAGTTTAATATGTTGTTATATTATGTTCGCTGTAAGAATATTGTTTGATTTTATGAAGTTATTATATGATATATGTGATGTATGACATGCACATCCGCTGCAGGTGTCATGCTGATGATAAAGAACACCTGTTCTGAATAACTTGCAATTTTTTCCCAATTTATTTTCCAAATTTTTTGAAAAAATCTTTGTTAATGGAACGGGGCATTAAGTAGAACGTGAGGAACCGTAACACTAAATAATTGTTTTCAAACTTTTAATGGGAATGGTTATTTCTTCCTTTATAAGTTATAACCATACTGCATACTCGGGTATCAACCAATTTCTCCTCAACTGATATTTTGTAATATATTATTTGTTATTACTTTTTTTGTTGCTTTTGCTAGTACGTTCTATTTCTTCCCATCGATTTATTTCTTGAAACTTTCTTCAGCGTACCTTTACTTTGAAATAAAGAGGTTAAGTTCATAAATACTGGTAAACGTTCTTAATAATATTCTGAAGGGGGGGGGGGGGGGGGTAGGGGTCATTTTCAGATATTAAGTGATTGTCAAAAGCTTGCAACTTGGATTTATCAGTGATAAGTTCATTTGCCAATTATGAAAGTTCATTGTCATTGCATGCATTGGTGACAATAAATAATGAACTCGGTTACAATCAGTTCTTTCATTTCATTTGTGTGTTTTTGTTGAAACAGAGAAGAAAACTATGTATAGATGGTTGGTAGGTGAATGAAAAATTTTGGTGAGGATTGTGATACATGGATGGTTGACGACAGGCGATGGAGGATGATGTCGAATGAGAGATAAGGAAGTGGAGGGAGGGAGAATAAAGGGATATAAAGGGGATAGAGGGAGAGGGGTGGAGTTTGATTATAGAGTGAGTGAGAGAGGGGGAGAGAAAAAAAAGATGGAGAAGAGAGGGAGGAGGGGAAAGTAATCAGAGAAGGAGGTGATGACAGAGAGAAAGAGAGAGAGAGAGAGAGAGAGAAAAAAAAAGAGACTGACAAAAGAGAGTATGAGATGGGATGGAGGAATTTATTTAAATTAACTCCTCAAAAAGTTATGCAATTCCAAGTATTAGCGTTGATATCTCTCTTGTTAGTACATTATCGTACCTTACGTTGGTATCATTGAAAAGCATGTTTATATTACCCTTTACAACGAAGCCCATTTGTAATGATTATGTAATCACGGAATATGCAGTACACCTAAATATGGGCAAAAAGTCAAAAGAGCAATGTTGCAAAATGCATAGTTGTTGTTGACGGTAAATTCTTCATTTGTTTGGAGGATGGATTGTGTTTTGAAGGAATAACAAATGCATTATGCAACATTTTTAAAAAGGAATTTATCTCTGTCTGTCTCTCTGTCTCTGCCTCTCTCTCTCTCTCTCTCTCTCTCTCTCTCTCTCTCTCTCTCTCTATATATAGAATGACCGTGACATTGCTCATTGGGAGTAAGAGAAGGGGATGGAAGGATGGATAAAAAGAAAGAGAGTAGAGGGGAGAGAAGGAGAGAGATGGAAAGTGAAGATGTGATACCGTTGGTTATTAATGTGCATATTTTTTCTTCTTTTTAACCCATGGATGGCGCACACATTGAAGGTTGTGAAATATCATCGAGTCTGACAAAAGCTGATTAACACACACATTTTGATATTTTCCCATGTTTGATTTCATTTTCATTCCTTTTCATTCGTTAAGACACAGTCATGACACAATTAACATGATTCAAATTCAACAATCATTTATAATGTCTCGAGGAGTGTGGTAACGCTCATTTTTGAAGTGTCAAAGCTAATCCTATTCTACTATATCATTTGTACAATGTCCCCAATAACGAGACTAGACTATTCTGTAATTTGCCCCGTTTGGAAATAATAACTATCAACTTGTGTCAAATTTTTTAAACACTATTTGGTGCGTCCACAAAATAGCCACAATATAGACAAAAACATTTATCTTAAACATACATCATTCCGAAAAATTATTCCCCGAGACCCCGACTTTATATATTATGTAGAACTATACAAAAAAGCATCATTTACAGAAACTCTCGCCGTTGGAGAAGAACAGTCAAAAATTCTCTCAAAGAGGGATATCGAAATTCACATTCTCGAATATCACTCTGCATGTTAACATTATATTTCTGACATAACATTGTTTAAAAATCTTGCAACAAATTTCTCCGCAACTCAAAAATAATAATAACAAATCATAAGGAAGATATAAAAAGTAATTATATTCACATTTAACTGCGCTTCATTGAATCTACTTGACCGCTGCAATTGAAGGTACTGTATATCAGCGAAATATCTCCTACTTTGTTATTAATGATATAATTCTAGTCAAAATGTTATTAGCATTATGATAATTTATAGTATTTCTGCTCCACCGCTGCGACCTAGTATTTTCATTAACATTATGCATTGAGATGGCCCATGAAAAAATAAGAATCCCTTTTCCAACAAAAGATGTTCCTTATGCTGTGGTTATATACCTTAAAAAGAGTCGTCTTATTTACATATTTTTCGTCATGATCTGTTACATTCACCTTAGTCTAAAGACAAGGGCGTCAACATGCTCTCAAACGTAATGAGGGTGTGGAAGGGGGCTGCCCCCTCCCACGGAATGAAATTTTACAATTTTGGGGTGTTACAAAAAGGCATTTAATGCATTGTAGAGTTTTTTTTAATAAAACCCACACAAATTAATTGTGTTTGTGACTGTGTGGTGTGTGTTTGTGGGGGAGGGAGGCAAATGCTATGTTGTCTTTTTTTTTTGAAGTGGGGGGGGGGGGCAATTTCCCCATGCCCCCGCCTTTTGACGCCCCTGTCCAAAGACAAATAACGAATGATGTACGTCACAAGAAGAGTCATAGCCCTACATTTCAGCCATGATAAGAAACAATCAACGGGTATAAATCATAAACGGATATTCCCGAAAGTGATATCCTCAATTACATTCATACCGGTACTCTGTACATTACAGAATTAACGAATGCATTTCATAATCCGTATGCCAACGCACTCAAAATATGCCATTCACAGATACAATATTCGACCAGCGAAACATACAGTTTTCGGAAAACGGAGAACAGTAGTGTTAAATAGAATGATAACGAAGTACACAATACAATACTCAAAGATTGAAACATCTATCTAAAATATATTATTGTATCTAATAAAATTTGCCGCTACATGTCCTTGAAGATATAACTTACACAATCGTATCAATCCAATCTAAAGATTATGTATGAACTACTGTAGAATGGCAAGGTTCTCAATTTGATATCTTTTGTAAGTTAATCTTGAAACCTAGTTGAAGAAAATAAACGCTGTAGTAGTTTATTAACTCAATATTTGATCATTAAATTTAATTTGTTAGCTCTAACAATTTTTGATCTACTTTCTTATAAGTGTAACCATATTTCTTTTTTTCAAATTGACTTCTGCTATTATTGTGACTACTTGCGAGTTGCTAAAACAATAAAAAAACAAAATTAAATGGAATTTCTAAGTAAAATGCTATTTGATGTTTTTGTTCTATTTTTTAGTAATTTTCGGTAAATATGATATATATATATATAAAACAATGCAAATTGATAACAATCAATAATTACGAGAATCAAATTATTATTTGCTTTTGGTAGAAAATGCACACATTTAACAATACGTTTCTTTTTCAACAACGTGAAATCATCACATTTCTATTCTAACTAAATTCCAAGAGAGAGCAAATCCAGCTTCTATTTTATACTCGTAATTTTTATCTCAAACTTTCCGTTATAAAAAAGACAATGCGTTAATCAATAAGCGATATGTATACATTAATTTATGATACAATACTGAAAGATTGTATAATATATCAATAAAAGTTTACAAGATACACAAAGAAAGTCTTCAAATAAACTTATGATATCCACGTAAATAATTATTATGTCTAAAATCGTACCCCACGCATTTATGATTTTTAGATAACTACATTAAGACCTGCTCAGATTCATCACTTTGGAGTATGTTTGAAAGAAGAACATGAACAATACGTACATTTTTCCCTTTTAAAAATACTTTACTCAGCAAAATACACAATTGGTGAAAAGAAGCAATCTTGTTATAATAGCTAAAGTTATATATACATCTACCACTATATCCACTGAAAAGCAATAAACACCTTTTTATCAAGTTCGCCAAGCAGAAGGTATTTCAAATCACGTTTTTCAAAAGTATGGTTATTTCCCTCAAAGTTTCCCCGTAGTCTGATGTTTGTCTCATTTTTTTAAAGGCCAACGTAATATTTGAAATATCTTTGCCTTCCATATCATTAACAATCAATCGAGTCATAACCTCTCCTTGAAAAGGCTTCAATTCGTCGATCAGAGCTGTCTGGAAGACACTTTGTTGCTGACACAAAGGTATTCCTCGACGAAGACGTGAATGAGCTCGAGCTCGAGCATGAATGACATCGAACCATGTCCGCATGGCTCGAGACGATGATGTCCAGGGATTTACTCCCCAATGAAAGTGTGCAAACGTCTTTTTGGAAACCGTTGTAATGGTTGTCGAGCTCGTAAGTGTTGAACGTTTCAGATAGTTGTGGCGACAAATATTCAAGACTTAACGATTTCCCAATGTGCTCGGATGGGGTAAGCACGACAAAGTTCCGAACGACAAAATGATGCAATCTACCGCATCTGTGTAATTTTCGACAATGGCAAGTAGAGATCAAAAAGCGCGACAACTAACGGTTCTGCCTTTCATCATAAATCTCTTGTTCAGCATGGTAACCAGTATTTCCGAGTCTTCCCCCGACATCGTCCGACTAGGGGTGGTCGGAGAGGATGACGACGGTGGCGACGACCGTGAAGATGGTTAGGAAGACCATGGCGAAGCGGTCGATGACCATGGCCGCGAACTTCCAGTCATGGATCTCGTCGTCTTCCATGTCCTTGAGTTTGTAGCGTTCGGTCAGAAAACGGACCTCCCTTATGATTAGATCCAACTGCTGACGATAAAGAGTAACATAAAAATCAAGATAAAGATGGGCACTTCAGTTTTTAAGGTCATACATGCAATATGGATACGCCTTTGATGCCCTGTGTCCCAATGGTCATGTTGGTTCTATCTTTGGGAAGGGGCAACGTTACAAAACTCCGACAGGGAGGGGGGGGGGGTCACACCCCACCTCCTCTAGCAACGACCCTGCCAGCATATATTCCTTCTTAATATTGGGCGGTAATACGACCAATGGGATGCATTTTATAAAACCTATTTTTGTGTCCAATTTGTCTATATTCCTATCATGGTTAGAATTCGAGTGATGGGACTATTATGGCTAATTGCATTTTTCTTTCTATACAGTTCTTGGTCCTTTAGCTCGATTTTTGTTTTGAATTTACTGGAGATAAGGCATTTAGACCAATGTGACATAACTATATACTCGAATACTTTTAACAGAACTTTGTTTTTCCTGTTCGTGCGCAACTGATCATACCCATGTTTTGGAATTAAACAGATATTAACAATGAGAATATCTGTTATTTAACCGATGTTACAAAATCTTTAAAAAATATATAAGAAACCTCGAAACAATTTGCGTCGCCAATCAAACTGTTTATTAAAAAAGAACGTTTCCACATACAGAAATGGTGTCAGTACAGAAGAGTTTCTCTGTCAATAGTCCATCGCACTATGATCATGATGATAAATTAATCTAACTAGTGTTTAGTCCCCGAAGGAAGAAACATAATATACAAAGTGCAAATTGAAAAACAACATCATTGAATTTATAACATTATCATGAATTAACATAGAGGCCGAAGTTATACAAATAATCAACAAATCTCACAACTATTCTTCGTTTTCAAACTGTAAATAGAGAAAATTGCATATTGAAGACAAAATTCAGATAATATGCAATATGGTAGTGATTTCCATTTTAGAAGCGTATAGATGTAAATGCTATACATGGATGTAGGCTCTACTCAGAAACAGAATAATTATGTTCCTGTTGTAGAATATATTGGCATGAAAGAGACTAAAATATGAAAAAAAATAAGTGCAACAGGCAAAATAAGATAATTTGTGATAGTTATAGATAAATTTGTTCCATCGAGGAACTTCCAATGAAAGAGAAGGAGAGAGAAAAACACCTGCCAACTAGAAATCACATGCGGTTGATGCAACGCACGACATGGTAGTATGTGCTGAAAACAAACACCGCAAAAACACACGAGTTATAAATTAAAAGTAAAATTTTATAACACTGCCAATCAGATGCAATGCATTGGCGTGTCCATAATGGTTAACGGGAGGGGGGGGGGTGAGGTCGTTTAGGCAGCGCCGCTTTCTGTTCACCCATTGGGTTGTATTTTTTTCCTTAACCTTCAAACAGAGAACGGGAGGTGAACCCCCCCCCCTCCCCATTTCACCCCGACGATGGACACGCCTCTGCTATAAAAAGATAACAAGATTCTTGGACGCGCCAGTAATACTAATATAGGTGAAGAACTCTATAGGAACAAAATTTATCATTGTATAAATTATCGTACACCCGTGCAGCGAAAGAAACGTGCGTGGGTCACATTATACTCGTAAGATAATTGAACAATTAAGAGAAGAGTTTATTCATCTTTTCCCACAAATACTCGTTTTGCATAGCCTGCCTGCCACTCCATAAAAAGAAGCAGCAACCCTTTATTTACGAACCTCATTTACCAATTAATATGTCTGATATTTTGAAATGTATCCAATTCTCGCGCGTTTTTCTATTTCCGATTTGAGTTTTAAAACTAAGCTAATACGGGAAGTCACCAATTTTTCATTTTCGTGTGAAAACAGTATAAGACCTTATTCGACATCATATCATACAAATTGTGTTATTCGGTGTCATGTAAATATAGCAGAAACTTTAGAAATCCATTATGAACAGCCACTGGGGAATTTTCCCAGAAAAAAAAATCATCTATATTGGGATAACCTGGTGTACTGGTGCCGTACGATTATATCTTATTAGTGTGTTATAGATCAACCAATGAGAGGTAAGCTTTAATGCAGTAACCATGGCAACGAGTTTGAGATATGACTGGTAGAGAGGTCACTATACGTTCAATCATGGGCTTTTGATATGCCTAAAACACCTGAAAGAGGGTGAAAATAATAACTAAACAATCTGCGCAGCACCGGTTTTCAGACACCTGATTTGGAACGAAATTGAAGGCATGCAATATATCAAAGTTCACTGCGGTTCAGAATCTGTCGTGTAATTACATATTCAGCTGTACATAAATGGGTGCATTTTGGCCGAACATGACGAGTAAGGTCGGCTGTGAAGACCTTTTTTCACCTTCTTTCTTTAAACTGTGTTAAAGCTATCAGATGACTTGATGAAAATGCTCGGTATGAGTCAGGATACTCAGGAATAACCCGAGTCTTGGTATCCATAAGTATCAATTGGTATCAACTAAACTTTCATACAATCATTGCAATGATGGAAAGTCATTAAAGGTAACTAAAAGGGGAAAATGCACTGCACTCTCTTGTTCGATTATAAACGACATTGAAGAGTTTGTCGTAATCAAGGTTTTGAGGCTTGAAATATTCAAAACCTTTGCAAATCATGCATGCTGTACAAGAAATAGTGCCTTGCAGAGAACAAGAAAGAAATGGGTATGAAAGAGTGTCGCCATAATGTGTGCAAAGTGAGGTCAATGGGCAGTCGGAGAAAAATCCGCTTTTCAAAGACAATGAATGTCCCCCATTAACGAGACAAGTTCCGCATGAGTGAACAATTGTGACGATTAGGCAACGTCGCTCGCCGCAATCTTGCGTAGAATATTTTAGCATTGACATTTCCGATTTGAAATCTGTTTCGTAATTTAAAAAAATCTCCATAGAAAGTGGGCTATCATTTTTTGTCATCGACTTCTATAATTATCGGAGATATATTTCAGGGTAATATGAAACATAGCAGGGAATTTTTACATGACTTTAAAAAAAAAAATGAAATCGGACAAGACACTGCCATAGTGCAAAGCGGCTCAATGATCGCGCGTGTTCACTGATCAGTACGGAGCTTGTACCGTAAACGGAGGACATCCGATTGTCCTCAAAAAACGACCGTCTCGCAATGACTGATGGGGGAAAGTTGTCCTTACCTCACGTGAATTACCCTCTTTGCATGCTTTGTGATCCAGCATCATGGGCTCACTTTCCTCGTGGGCATAATTAGCGTACTTGATGCCTATCGTCTTTGCGTCATTTAAATACGTGCCCTGGAAAAATTATCAAATCAGAGAGAAGGACGAGTTTTTTTCAGTCATGTACGTGTGATTGTGATTAAAGTACATACTTTTAGGACTCTTTTTTGTCTTTGTGGTTGGAGTTATGTGCATGAACTTCAAGCAAAATTGGGTATGCTTTTTATTAAATCATGCTAAACGGTAGGATCACTCCTTTTAATGTTATTGTTGCAATCGTTTTGTATGAAGCATTGCAAAACATAAAACTTATCGATGAGATAAAGGAGCTTATTATGTACCGTTTTGTATAATTTTCTTGAGAATGTTACTGTTCATCTTCCATTCTATTTTCACAATATGAAAAATGAACATGATTTGTGTTCAAGGGGGCAACTAGTTTACAATAATTTGACGCTATCTCAATTTCATTTCTTTGCTATTAATGACAATACTAAAATGATCACACGTACATTTACGGAGGTGATTTGATAATTTTCCCCAAAAACTTGACCATATTACCTATCGTAATATAGCTAATTTTTTACAAGGGCAAAATCCTTATGGTTACAGGACATAAAAGTATTACAGTCTGGTTATGCTTGTATCGTCAACCCAAATAGTCATGCCAGTTAAGGAAAGTAGTAATCAAACGACATTCAAATATAGTCTTGAAGGGTGATTTGAAAATAGTGCATTACTCTGTTATACATCATCATTTAGTAATATCATTCCAAGTGATAGTACGTGCTTGACAGCATACTGTTGTTCTCTGGGGTATATCAGTTCCCCAGGAGAGAAAGAGTATTATAATTAAATTTCCAAACGTGCATAGATTTGTTTCTTGACCAAACTCTTTATCAAAAACATTACGAGAAAAACACTTCAAAAAACACCACCTGGGGGTGGGGGGGGGGTGTTATTATGGACCAAATCACTCTGTTAACAATTTACTCAAATGCTACATCCATAGAGATGATAAGAATGTTGCAAAGTAAAAATCAAACATCTTCTTAATGGCAGCATCGGGGGGGGGGGGGGCAGTCAACTCATATGTGAGAGACGGGTGGAGATTTGTGTTCCCTTTTTTGTTTCGTTATTGTTGTTGATTTAGTATAGGTGTAGAATATAAATAGGTCGACTACAGGTGACTTTGATTTGTCCTATTACCACCGTATAAGCATCTATTAAATGACGGATCAAGAATGATCATGATCAATTCCTTGCCCTAAACTTGTCTCTCCCTCCTAAAATCCTGGAACACCGATTGACATTATTAAGTTACCTAGGGGTATTGGTGGTATGGAGAAGTATATGCCATTCGTGATCTACTTTTCTATTTGAGCTTCCTTACTGGTGTCAGTGTCAACCTGATCAATGTAAATATCAGAACGAAAATCTCACACACTCCCACCCACGGACAACTATACTCCTGTAAAAGTACCATTAAGTAAAATAACGCCTCTATCGAGATTCTCCGGGAGTATTTGTCCGGACAAATGGTTGTTTCGGGGGTAGTTGTCCTCTGAAAATTATCTGATGGGATTGTCACGGCGGTAGTTGTCCTAGACTACAAAACAAAATCTAAAAATCCTATAGTATAACGAGGAAAAAGAAAAGAGTAGCACCCACCTGAGGGACCATCCCATTGGTGCCGACTTTCCGTTTGGGCGATCTGTCCATGAGCTGAATCTCTGTACTCGGACCGACGTGGCTGAAGACTGGAGGACCCATATCGTCACGAGAGGGCTTCGGCTGACACGGCGACCATTCCCTTCCGGGTCGCTTCATGTATAGTAACCATGGCAACCATTCTAGAAGCAGGCTGCGTTGCTATAGGAGGAGTGGATAGGGAAGGGGAGTGGATGGATATACTTTAGAAATACTGTGGGAAGAAAGCAGTGTGCCATCAGCAGATAAAGACGATCGCAAAGGCTTTCGAGACATGAACTCAAGGGCAAATTCAATACCCTATACGGTATATCCCATATGGTTCTAAATCACGTTCAGATTACGTAATGTGTTTGCGCAATAGTTTGCAAATTTACTATAAGATATGAACAAGGTTATCAAAATTGCCAAAGGTCTATTTTTCTCGAAAACCTTTGCTTTCGTGTTCATTGAAATTTGAATATTATTACCTCTATCAAACTATCGTAAATACAGCTGATATACTACTAATACTATTACTACTACTACTACTACTACTACTACTACTACTACTACTACTACTACTACTACTACTACTACAACAACAACAACAACAACTACTACTACTACTACTACTACTACTACTACTACTACTACAACAACAACAACTACTACTACTACTACTACTACTACTACTACTACTACTACTACTGCTATTACTATTACTAATACACGTACTACTACTACTACTTCTACTTTACACAATCCAAGGTTTGATTTTTTTCAACTGATATTACTACTTATATGTTAACACAAAACTCAGGAATCTAACAGTTGCAACATTTTTTGATAAATGTGTTGTTGTACATGACAACGATTGTTTTAATGGAAAAGACTTACACCAAAACACAACTCTAACTATTGACTTTGAACGAGACAGAACAGAAGATAATTCAATACCTCAAACGTTCTAGAACAACCTAAGGTATATAATCCTTAATTCGATACTTGTATTGTGTTCAGTTAGCTGAATAACAAAACAATAAACAACTTATATAACCACAGACACCACATATGGATTGATAATTATAAACGGATTTTTTTTTTCTTCACACAAATTCAAGCACAATTGGTTAGTATATATCATATAATGTCGGTGAAAATAATTTGGCAATTGGCAATGGAAAAAAGGAAAACCAGTCGACATACACCAAAATTACAAAGGTCAGTATAAAAGATTAGTCTGCAAAGCATCATGAAATGTGGACGAATGATTGTTAATTTAGGGATACATTGCGAAACACACCAAAAAGCAATGAAGATGATGAACCAAAATATTAGAATGATGTAAAAAGACATCCAATGATAATCAGCTTGAAGTACTTCACCGTTTTTATACATCATAACGGAGATGCATTCTATAAATATTACCTGTATTTACATGAACATTCTAAATAGTGCACTATTTTAGCAACCGCAGACTGAATTTCGATGGGAAAAGCTCAACGGAAGCAGAAATTCAAGACAAATATATATTATTCAACTTCATAATCATGATATACTATAGTGACTTCATTCAGCTCGTAGATGTAATGGTTAATAAGATATTAAAATTGCTAAATTTCATGACATATGAATCATACGAAACATCCAGGCAAGAAACTGTACAGTCCAAAGGAAAGGCATTATTGTGACAGCCAAGAAGAAGAAATGCATAAGATTAGCAGAATTTGTGTAAACGTAATGCCAAACATGTGTAAATAAGCGTGTTAGTGCAGCTTGTGTTGCGCGAGGTATCCCCGACATGGACTATCTAGACTTATTTTTCTTCTTCTTACCCATCTGCCCATGACGTGCGTTTCTGGGTGCCTGTAGTGCACGTTCAGAGTTAGAACCGTACTCACAACTGACATGGACACCATACATAGTACTGCGGTGAAGTACTTGGCTGCAAAGTCATGAAATTTAATTTTTTTTTCTCAATTAAAAAACAAATTTGATAAACAAATAAAATGAAATCAAGGGGGGAAAAAAAGAAAGAAAGAAAGAAAATGTTATGGTGATGAAGATGTGATGATGAAAATCATAGAATGATGCAATGCAGTGTATAGTGGATGCAAAGGGAATTAATGAAGGGCTGTCCGATGCAGAAGGAATTCAAGCGAAGTTTTGAAAGAATTCATTCAAGAAACAAGCGAATCTTTCTCTCCAACTTTGCTCAAGAGTCATTCTTTTATAATTTCTTAATACCCTGACGATCATTTTGGATGTTCTTTTTTTTTGAAAAAAAAAGGGGGGGGGTCGAGGGATTACAGTGCAAACGGGCCTTGTGAGTGATTCGAGGTAAATTTCACGAGATTCCTTCGAGCAAAGTTGAAAAGGGAGATTCGCGTCCCGTTCAGACGACGATGGCGGGTTAGTAATGTGAGCAGGCGGGTTAATTAGGTCATGATGGGTGTTTACATCTCGAACTCTCTTCTTTTTTCCTTCTTATATTTCCAGTTTCTTACCCAGGACGCCATAACATGAGAGTTGGGATGCCGGTAGTGAATGTTGAGGGTTATTACTGTAAACACGACCGATACAGCCACCATCATCAGGACACAGTCGAAATATTTGGCTATAGTTGGTGTGGAAGCGACAGAACGATATATCAGAATAAAAGGGTGTTCCATAAGAACTCGTAGATCATGTAAAGATTGTGACTATACGGTAAGAATGCCCGATCAACAACAAGTTCGCTAACAAATGAATTTCGTAATGAAATATCATTCTACGAATGCGTCCATACAGAGATTTTCCCCGCGATGTAAGCTTTGAATGAAATGCATTCGTTGTGCTTAGTCGATGAGTTAACGCTGTCAGTACAGTAGAGATGTCACACCGTGTTTCTCAGCACGATGAGAAATCTTGCCCCGGAGCTTTCCATATGCTATAAATGGTTCTAGGACACCTACCCCCTGGACATCCACCCCCGGATAACCACCCCCAGTCAACTACACACTAGGATAACTACCCCCTAGGGCAACCACCCTCTAGGACGACAACCTCCCGGGACAACTACCCCCCAGACAACTACCCTCGGACAACTACCCCCTAGGACAACTACCCCAGGACAACTACCCCCGGACAACTACCTCTAGAACAACTACCCCCATGACAACTACCACCCAGACAACTACCGCCTAGGATAGTTGTCCTGGGGGTATACGTACTAGAGGATGATTGTCGTAGGGGTAGTTGTCTGGGGGTAGTTGTCCAGGGAGTAGTTGTCCTGGGGGGGGGGGGTTGTCCTAGGGGGTAGTTGTCTGGGGTAGTTGTCCTGGGTGGGGGCACTCGTCCTAGAAGGTGGTTGCCCTAAGGGGTGGATGTCCAGGGTGTAGGTGTCCGGATACTGCTATAAATATTTCAGCTTGCTAAGAAACCCCCAGGTATGATAAATCGCACTGTAATATCACCGTATGAACAGCGAATTCAGATGGAATTATGCTGTCCATGCGGTATGAGCTATGTTTGCTTGCTGCATTTAAGATCTCGTTTCTATGACAGCGCAACCCTATCGAGTGAGGCCAACCAAATCAGGAGAATAAAAACTCGTATGAACGCATTCCGTTGCAAAGCCGTCCTCAACACAAAACAAATACGTGTAGAAAGAGTGCAAGTCTTTAAACTGAAGTATAGTTAGTGTCAGAAAACAAGACGGCTCAGAATGGGGATCTGCAACATAAAAATAAGAGAAGCCTGGAGGAAGAGCTAAAAGGTCAAGTGAATAAGATGAAATGTTAGAAAATAACCAACAATTAAATTTATTGGAACATTAAATTCATTCTGCAAGAACATGCATGATGTTATGCGTCATGAAATGTCAATAGGGTAGATATTTGATCTTGTCATTAAACCATACAGGAATCATATTTCATGGCAGAATTTGGTTTGCAAATCGATTATTCACATCATTTACTTCATTGGAAAAATAATATAGCTACTTAAGTAAGCATGTAATTGCGTTGTCAAGAAATATATTTCTTCTAAATCAATCAAAGGGATACAAAAACTCCAAACTAATCCAACTACCCCCATGACAACTACCACCCAGACAACTACCGCCTAGGATAGTTGTCCTGGGGGTATACGTACTAGAGGATGATTGTCGTAGGGGTAGTTGTCTGGGGGTAGTTGTCCAGGGAGTAGTTGTCCTGGGGGGGGGGGTTGTCCTAGGGGGTAGTTGTCTGGGGTAGTTGTCCTGGGTGGGGGCACTCGTCCTAGAAGGTGGTTGCCCTAAGGGGTGGATGTCCAGGGTGTAGGTGTCCGGATACTGCTATAAATATTTCAGCTTGCTAAGAAACCCCCAGGTATGATAAATCGCACTGTAATATCACCGTATGAACAGCGAATTCAGATGGAATTATGCTGTCCATGCGGTATGAGCTATGTTTGCTTGCTGCATTGAAGATCTCGTTTCTATGACAGCGCAACCCTATCGAGTGAGGCCAACCAAATCAGGAGAATAAAAACTCGTATGAACGCATTCCATTGCAAAGCCGTCCTCAACACAAAACAAATACGTGTAGAAAGAGTGCAAGTCTTTAAACTGGAGTATAGTTAGTGTCAGGAAACAAGACGGCTCAGAATGGGGATCTGCAACATAAAAATAAGAGAAGCCTGGAGGAAGAGCTAAAAGGTCAAGTGAATAAGATGAAATGTTAGAAAATAACCAACAATTAAATTTATTGGAACATTAAATTCATTCTGCAAGAACATGCATGATGTTATGCGTCATGAAATGTCAATAGGGTAGATATTTGATCTTGTCATTAAACCATACAGGAATCATATTTCATGGCAGAACTTGGTTTGCAAATCGATTATTTACATCATTAACTTCATTGAAAAAATAATAAAGCTACTTAAGTAAGCATGTAATTGCGTTGTCAAGAAATATATTTCTTCTAAATCAATCAAAGGGATACAAAAACTCCAACTTTTACTAGTCCCACTCCTTCTAATCGATGTCTTGTAAACAGTTTTTGCATATTACATCCCAAGATTCTTTACCTTCGACTATCAAAATGGGATATGTCCCAAATAAATCGAAACAACGTATTTCAAAATTATTGTAGGCCTATGAGTCAGCTTATATAACACTTTCCAATAATTCATATATAGGAAAAGATTTTGATATGTTTACCACTTAAAATTAATCGCAACTCCTGTATCTTAAGTTCCACACTTGCGATTAATTTCAAGTTGCGATTGATTTGAATCAATCGTAGCTCTTTATAATACAGTTCGCTAACAAAATGAATTTCGTAATGAAATATCATTCTAACTACGAATGCGTCCATACAGAGATTTTCCCCGCGATGTAAGCTTTGAATGAAATGCATTCGCTGTGCTTAGTCGATGAGTTAACGCTGTCAATACAGTAGAGATGTCACACCGTGTTTCTCAGCACGATGAGAAATCTTGCCCGGAGCTTTCCATATGCTATAAATGGTTCTAGGACACCTACCCCTTGGACATCCACCCCCGGATAACCACCCCCAGTCAACTAAACACTAGGATAACTACCCCCTAGGGCAACCACACTCAAGGACGACAACCTCCTGAGACAACTACCCCCAGACAACTACCCCCGGACAACTACCCCCTAGGACAACTACCCCAGGACAACTACCCCCCGGACAACTACCTCTAGAACAACTACCCCCATGACAACTACCCCCAGACAACTACCGCCTAAGATAGTTGTCCTGGGGGTAGACGTACTAGAGGATGATTGTCGTAGGGGTAGTTTTCTGGGGGTAGTTGTCCAGGGGGTAGTTGTCCTGGGGGGGGGTTGTCCTAGGGGGTAGTTGTCCTGGGTGGGGGTAGTCGTCCTAGAAGGTGGTTGCCCGAGGGGGGATGTCCAGGGGTATAGGTGTCCGGATACTGCTATAAATATCTCAGCTTGCTAAGAAACCCCCAGGTATGATAAATCACACTGTAATATCACCGTATGAACAGCGAATTCGGATGGAATTATGCTGTCCATACGGTATGAGCTATGTTTGCTTGCTGCATTTGAAATCTCGTTTCTATGACAGCGCAACCCTATCGAGTGAGGCCAACCAAATCAGGAGAATAAAAACTCGTATGAACGCATTCCATTGCAAAGCCGTCCTCAACACAAAACAAATACGTATAGAAAGAGTGCAAGTCTTTAAACTGGAGCATAGTTAGTGTCAGAAAACAAGACGGCTCAGAATGGGGATCTGCAACAAAAAAATAAGAGAAGCCTGGAGGAAGAGCTAAAAGGTCAAGTGAATAAGATGAAATGTTAGAAAATAACTAACAATTAAATTTATTGGAACATTAAATTCATTCTGCTAAGAACATGCATGATGTTATGCGTTATGAAATGTCAATAGGGTAGATATTTGATCTTGTCATTAAACCATACAGGAATCATATTTCATGGCAGAACTTGGTTTGCAAATCGATTATTTACATCATTAACTTCATTGAAAAAATAATAAAGCTACTTAAGTAAGCATGTAATTGCGTTGTCAAGAAATATATTTCTTCTAAATCAATCAAAGGGATACAAAACCTCCAAATTTTACTAGTCCCACTCCTTCTAATCGATGTCTTGTAAACAGTTTTTGCATATTACATCCCAAGATTCTTTACCTTCGACTATCAAAATGGGATATGTCCCAAATAAATCGAAACAACGTATTTCAAAATTATTGTAGGCCTATGAGTCAGCTTATATAACACTTTCTAATAATTTATATATAGGAAAATATTTTGATATGTTTACCACTTAAAATTAATCGCAACTCCTGTATCTTAAGTTCCACACTTGCGATTAATTTCAAGTTGCGATTGATTTTAATCAATCGTAGCTCTTTATAATACAGGGCTCTGATCGTAGAACCGATAGGTTCCGGGTTCGAAACGTAGTCGGTGCTCCAATGCAATTTTAAGTCACTCGTTCTCAATAACTAATTAAACGTTATCTAATCAGTTCATGAAAAATCACAATAAAAAATATTTAAAAAAAAACACATTTATTTTACTATCCCATTAAGAAAGTCCCTAGGACAACTACCCCAGGACAACTAACCCCGGACAACTACCTCTAGAACAACTACCCCCATGACAACTACCACCCAGACAACTACCGCCTAGGATAGTTGTCCTGGGGGTATACGTACTAGAGGATGATTGTCGTAGGGGTAGTTGTCCAGGGAGTAGTTGTCCTGGGGGGGGGGGGTTGTCCTAGGGGGTAGTTGTCCTGGGTGGGGGTAGTCGTCCTTGAAGGTGGTTGCCCTAGGGGGTGGATGTCCAGGGGGTAGGTGTCCGGATACTGCTATAAATATCTCAGCTTGCTAAGAAACCCCCAGGTATGATAAATCACACTGTAATATCACCGTATGAACAGCGGATTCAGATGGAGTTATGCTGTCCATACGGTATGAGCTATGTTTGCTTGCTGCATTTAAGATCTCGTTTCTATGACAGCGCAACCCTATCGAGTGAGGCCAACCAAATCAGGAGAATAAAAACTCGTATGAACGCATTCCATTGCAAAGCCGTCCTCAACACAAAACAAATACGTGTAGAAAGAGTGCAAGTCTTTAAACTGGAGTATAGTTAGTGTCAGAAAACAAGACGGCTCAGAATGGGGATCTGCAACATAAAAATAAGAGAAGCCTGGAGGAAGAGCTAAAAGGTCAAGTGAATAAGATGAAATGTTAGAAAATAACCAACAATTAAATTTATTGGAACATTAAATTCATTCTGCAAGAACATGCATGATGTTATGCGTCATGAAATGTCAATAGGGTAGATATTTGATCTTGTCATTAAACCATACAGGAATCATATTTCATGGCAGAATTTGGTTTGCAAATCGATTATTCACATCATTTACTTCATTGGAAAAATAATATAGCTACTTAAGTAAGCATGTAATTGCGTTGTCAAGAAATATATTTCTTCTAAATCAATCAAAGGGATACAAAAACTCCAACTTTTACTAGTCCCACTCCTTCTAATCGATGTCTTGTAAACAGTTTTTGCATATTACATCCCAAGATTCTTTACCTTCGACTATCAAAATGGGATATGTCCCAAATAAATCGAAACAACGTATTTCAAAATTATTGTAGGCCTATGAGTCAGCTTATATAACACTTTCTAATAATTTATATATAGGAAAATATTTTGATATGTTTACCACTTAAAATTAATCGCAACTCCTGTATCTTAAGTTCCACACTTGCGATTAATTTCAAGTTGCGATTGATTTGAATCAATCGTAGCTCTTTATAATACAGGACCCTGATCTTAGAACCGATAGGTTCCGGGTTCGAAACGTAGTCGGTGCTCCAATGCAATTTTAAGTCACTCGTTCTCAATTACTAATTAAACGTTATCTAATCAGTTCATGAAAAATCACAATAAAAACAATTATTAAAAAAAAAAACATTTATTTTACTATCCCATTAAGAAAGCCCCTAGGACAACTACCCCAGGACAACTAACCCCGGACAACTACCTCTAGAACAACTACCCCCATGACAACTACCACCCAGACAACTACCACCTAGGATAGTTGTCCTGGGGGTATACGTACTAGAGGATGATTGTCGTAGGGGTAGTTGTCCAGGGAGTAGTTGTCCTGGGGGGGGGGGGGGGGTTGTCCTAGGGGGTAGTTGTCTGGGGTAGTTGTCCTGGGTGGGGGTAGTCGTCCTTGAAGGTGGTTGCCCTAGGGGGTGGATGTCCAGGGGGTAGGTGTCCGGATACTGCTATAAATATCTCAGCTTGCTAAGAAACCCCCAGGTATGATAAATCACACTGTAATATCACCGTATGAACAGCGGATTCAGATGGAGTTATGCTGTCCATACGGTATGAGCTATGTTTGCTTGCTGCATTTAAGATCTCGTTTCTATGACAGCGCAACCCTATCGAGTGAGGCCAACCAAATCAGGAGAATAAAAACTCGTATGAACGCATTCCATTGCAAAGCCGTCCATAACACAAAACAAATACGTATAGAAAGAGTGCAAGTCTTTAAACTGGAGTATAGTTAGTGTCAGAAAACAAGACGGCTCAGAATGCGGATCTGCAACATAAAAATAAGAGAAGCCTGGAGGAAGAGCTAAAAGGTCAAGTAAATAAGATGAAATGTTAGAAAATAACTAACAATTAAATTTATTGGAACATTAAATTCATTCTGCTAAGAACATGCATGATGTTATGCGTCATGGAATGTCAATAGGGTAGATATTTGATCTTGTCATTAAACCATACAGGAATCATATTTCATGGCAGAACTTGGTTTGCAAATCGATTATTTACATCATTAACTTCATTGAAAAAATAATAAAGCTACTTAAGTAAGCATGTAATTGCGTTGTCAAGAAATATATTTCTTCTAAATCAATCAAAGGGATACAAAACCTCCAACTTTTACTAGTCCCACTCCTTCTAATCGATGTCTTATAAACAGTTTTTGCATATTACATCCCAAGATTCTTTACCTTCGACTATCAAAATGGGATATGTCCCAAATAAATCGAAACAACGTATTTCAAAATTATTGTAGGCCTATGAGTCAGCTTATATAACACTTTCTAATAATTTATATATAGGAAAAGAGTTTGATATGTTTACCACTTAAAATTAATCGCAACTCCTGTATCTTAAGTTCCACACTTGCGATTAATTTCAAGTTGCGATTGATTTTAATCAATCGTAGCTCTTTATAATACAGGGCTCTGATCGTAGAACCGATAGGTTCCGGGTTCGAAACGTAGTCGGTGCTCCAATGCAATTTTAAGTCACTCGTTCTCAATAACTAATTAAACGTTATCTAATCAGTTCATGAAAAATCACAATAAAAAATATTTAAAAAAAAACACATTTATTTTACTATCCCATTAAGAAAGGAAGTCTTACCTATCAGCGGGACGGAAACCGAAGTAGCAGGCATAGCTTCGGCAACGAGCAACATAAACACAGTCAATGACAGTAAAATGGTAATTCCTGTTGAAGAAAAACAAACCCATTAATACAACATGATCTTATACAACTTAGATATGTAATGACTCGCATCGCATACTTCCTCTGTTTCTGGGTAATTGGTAACACAAAATGCCCTACAACCCATAATATCAAGTTGTTATTGTCGTTGATTGCCCATCAAAAGTTCAACATTTTGTAAAAACCTAGAGGATCATTAGAGTGTTTTGAATGGGGGCAGAATCGTCAGACGAAATAGTCAGCTAGCAAGGGGATCTAGGATTAAAGAGAAGGTTGAGTTCTGGGAAGAGGTGAAAAATAATTTGTGAGCATTACTCATTCTTATTATGCAAGTATGGAAGAACATCAGTTAAGACATGTTCCCTGAAAAGCATGGCTCTTCAAATGCCTTCATATTTTAAATATGCATGTAACATCGTAAAAATCGGGGGGGGGGGGCGGCTTTTTACGCCACGTGTTCGTGTAGTCCCATATACATCTTTCTGTGCAAGTGTTTGTAACTTTACCAAGACTTGGCCAAATTTCTTATCATTTTGATGATTCCAGAACCTTGCAATACACACAAATTCTTATTGTTTGTTTGTTTTATTTCCACTTTTTCATATCAATACAAAGAAACATACAAATGAATATAATGAATAACATGTAAGTTTGACAAAGTTTGTTTCTAGTTTAAATAAAAGTTTCATACTGTTACAAAAGGAAAAAGCAGGAGACCACATGTCGTAAGCGTAAATGCTTGAACATGACCGTGGCCTCTGCCGAGTTAACAAAATAAAAGAACAACCCATGCAACTGCATTGTATTCAATGTTAAATAAGATATAAGTGAAGTGATTAAAAGTGAGCATGGCTGATTTAATTTTGAGTGAAAATAACAAAACAAATTTAGTGAAATATTTCGTGTTGAGAAGTGCATTTGTGCAAGGTGCAAAAAATTTAGCTTGGTGGAACAAAAAGAGACTAATACCGTGATATTTAATTGTGTGTTGGTTTCAGTTACGGGTGATAATATTAAAATGTATGCAGGGTCCATTTCTGTTGACAAAGACAGAACAATTCAAGACATAACAAACTAGATAATTTTTAAATTTCTATGTTATAAGATCTAGTAAACTATACTGAGTTAACAAATATGCTTTCATATAAGCTTTAAAAGAATAAAGGGAGGTCCTAGTTTTAATATGGTTCGGTAAGTTATTCCAAATATCTGGTCCATGGTGTCTAATTGATCGTAGGGCTAAACTAAGTTTGGGATTATTAAGATGGTAATCATGAGCATGTCGAGTTAAATATGAGTGTACGTTTACATTTAATAAATAAAAGTTTAAGAAAGATGCTGGAAGAGTTTTGGAAGTGTACTTATACATAAAAATGGCAGTTTGGAGCGTATGTATATCATAAACCTTTAATGTTTTTAATTGACTAAATAACGGGTTCGAATTTGCAAGATAGTTAGAGTGTGTACAAATACGAATTGCTCTCTTCTGCAAAAGAAATATTGAGTTTATTTTAGTTTTACTACAGTTTGCCCATATAATATTACAATATGTTATATATGGTAAAATTAAAGTATTATAAAGCATAAACAAAGATCTATCATTTATCAAACATTTCATTTTATACAAAATACCAATATTCCGGGATATCAAAATATTTATGTTATGAATGTGTTCGTTCCAAGACAAATTTGAGTCAATAATAACTCCTAAAAATTTCGTTGATTGTTTTTCTACCAGGGATAAACCATCTATAAACAAATTACATTGTGGTTGGTCTTGGGAGTTAATAGTTCTAAAACGGATAAAATTAGTTTTACTTATATTTAAGGATAATTTATTACATTTAAACCATATTGAAATATTACACAAATCATGATTTACAGTATCAACGAGTGTATCAATATTTTTGTGTGAGTAAAGTATATTTGTATCGTCGGCAAAAAGAATGTAAGTTAGAATATTTGATGATTTTATTATATCATTTACATAAATCAAAAATAAGAGCGGGCCTAAGATGGAGCCTTGAGGAACTCCACATGTGAGGTTCAATTTTGAGGAACTATTAGAATGATAATAAACATACTGTGTTCTATTTTTAAGATAGTCCTCAAACCAGGATAGAGCAAGGCCTCTGATACCATAGTGTTCTAGTTTATGAAGTAAGATTGTATGATCAATGGTATCAAAGGCCTTACTCAGATCCATAAAAACACCTATAACATGCTTCTTATTTGCGAGAGATTCAATTATTTTATCACAAAGTTTAATTAAAGCAAAATCAGTTGAATGATTTTTCCTAAATCCAAACTGGTTAGGAATCAAAATATCGTGCTTATTCAAAAAAGAAATCAATCTTTTATATACCAATTTCTCAAAAACCTTTGAAATACTTGATAATAATGATATGGGACGATAATTTTGAAGTTTAGATGGGTCATCTTTTTTATGAATCGGTATAACCTTAGCAATTTTTAATAAGTTAGGACAGGAACCAGTAGAAAGAGAAATGTTACATATATGAACCAATGGAGAAACAATAAAGTGTATTATTTGCTTAATGAGATTCATACTTAACCCATCTGGTCCTGATGACTTGCTTGATTTCAGTGATTGAACTATACTAACTACCTCATGAATTGTTGTGGGAGTAAAGAATAATGAATTTTCAGAGGGTTCTAAAAGATATTGAGAAAAATGATTGTTGCCAGCATCTATCTTAGAGGCTAATGTGGGACCTACATTAACAAAGTACTCATTAAAATAATTAGCACATTCATTCAAATTATTAATGTCTTGTCCATTAACATTAATGGTTGTATTAATATGTTTTTTCTTACCAGTAAGATCTTTGATAATATTCCAAAGAGAATTATTGTTTTGAGTACTCGCAATTTTATTTGAGTAATATAATTTGCGGGATAGCCGAATAATAGATGTTAACTTATTTCTATATTTTTTATATTTATGTAAATCAATATGATCTTTACTTCTTAACGCTTTCTTATATAATCGATTGCGAGTCGCAATCGATCGTAAAATGCCCCTCGTTGTCCATGGTTTCTTAGCCTTTTTTTTATTTAACTTAATTCGAACCAAAGGTATATTTTTGTTGTAATAATACATTAATTTATTCAAAAATATATCGTAAGCATCATTTGCAACTACTAAATTAAATACATCAACCCAAGATTCTGATGCTAAGTCCGCCCGAAAGCTCTGAATGTTAGCATCCGTTTCTTTCCGAACGTATATATACTTCATGGACTCATGTTTAAATAACTGAATTGTAGGGGAAATAACAAATATGGGGAGGTGATCAGAAATATCAGAATACAATATTCCATTCTGACTGTTTTCATTAAAAATATTCGAAAATATATTGTCTATTAAAGTTTCAGTTATACTAGTTATTCGGGTAGCTTTGTTAATATGTGGATGGAGGGAATAAGAAGAGAGTGTAGTTAGTAACCTAAGTCCAATATTATTCAATGCAGGTGGTAGAAGATTAATATTATAATCCCCCATAAGATATATGATTTTATTTTCACGCGATATTAAAGAAAGACTTTCTTCTAATCTATCTACAAACGTATCAATATTACTATGAGGAGGTCTATACATTACTCCAACAAGTATATTTTTAGCTTGTTTATTTATAATTTCAATAAAAATATATTCGGAGCCATCTACACTTAAGTCAGGTCTCTCTTTAAATGTTAAGGAATCATGAATGTACAAGGCTACTCCACCCCCTCGTCCATAATTACGATCAGCTCTAATTAGTTTATAATTTTCAATATTAAATATATATGCTAGATGATCAACCTTTTCTGGTCGGTTCCACACCGTTTCTTTCACAATGCAATCGCATGATCAGAACTCAACTTCATCTTTAAGCTGGTCAGAAGACAAAAATTTGCTCGATTTCCCGTCCCCATCTTCATTTTCTCACTTATTAGTTACAATCACTTGCTAGGCATATATTAAAGTCATTCAGGATCTAGGATTTATTCGTTAGTCTTGGACGTTCAGTGTAAGTTCTGCTGGACCTTTATAAAATCAGGATACTGAAAACGCCTAGAGCGTCACGGCGTGCGCACGTGAGCGCTATACAAGAAGTCTATATCATCAACCATTATCAACATTACCACCTTTAAAGCCTCACTGCACTTCTTACAGCTACTTGCGCCCTCTATATAGCAAACAATGCCTAATCGGTGCCTGTTGGTCCCCCATGATCCCCTTTTTCTTATGTAAATTTAGAGCTGATTTGATTAGATAACCACCTGTCAGTGACCTTGCAGGGAGGTCTAATCCCCTGGCCAAACTAATGCAGACGGGCTTTAAGTAGAAATAAAAATTAGTTTAATTACCAAAGGACAACTTTTCGCCGCTCTCTACGGGTAGTGTAAATCCAACCAAGGCCAGAGAAGAGATAACCAAACATGGCACCAAAATATTAAGCGTATAGTATAGCGCCCTCCTGCGGATGGTGATATAGAAATGCAGGGATGGGTATGTTTCTGGGCAGCATGTGTAGTTCTTGATCTTTTTCTCGGCTGGCATGCCTAAGAAATTAACAAAAAGAAAAGAAGAATTAACAAATATAAAGTCAATGAAAAAAGAATGAATAACATAAGTATCAACTTTTAGCCATTACTGGTAAAGGTAATAAAATAATAATGCTTTTAGTCATCAATCCATTGTGTTACGTTTCGTAATTAGGAATTCACGATGTATCCATAAAATCGTGAGGAGGCTTCACATTTACTTTGGCTTGTATTTGTTCAAATATGGCAAAAGATCATTTCTGATTCGGAATAATAAAAGTAGTCTAAGTTGTAAGATGAATTATTTCTCTAGTGAGATCCTTGCTTCTGATTGGTTATCAGCAGATTTGTCTCTGATTTTTGTCATTTGCCATTGAAAAAATGCTTTGAGACCGGGTCCCTGAAAAGTAATTTTGAAACAGAATTCCAAACTACAGTATTCTTTCGTGTAACCTAAAGACGCGTTTCGAAAAGTGCACTCTGTTCATCGTCAGAGTACAATCTTTAAGGAGGCGCGATAGCTCAGTTGGTAAGGCATTAATCCTTATTACCAGGTCTTTCGGAGAGGACCTAAAGCCGTCGGTCCTCTGGTTGCTTACTAGTCTTAGCAGTCAGGTAATACAGTCAAACCTGCTTAGTGACCACCTGTATATAAAGACCACAGTTCTGTCTACAGAGACCACATTTTCTGTTTCCCTTGAAAATGGTTTCTCATTGGAACATGTACTAAAGGAATCCGTACATAATGAGCACCTGTCTATAAAGACCACTTTTCATGTCTCCCTTGGATGGTCGTTATAGGCAGGTTTCACTGTATAACCACGACTATTACTTACCAATCAGGTTCCATTCTCCATTCTTGACGAACTCGCTGGTATCATTCATGGCTACCTCATCAGACAGGAGCTCAAGGTCGACGGTGAACCCGCCGTAGGTCCAGGACCCAAACTTAATCTCGCACTCCTGGATGTCGAAAGGGAAGTACGTGACATCGATGGGGCAGGAGGTCTTGAAGATACCCGGTGGGATCCACTCACAGAGCCCCTCGCTCGTCACCGTAACCTTGGTGTGGAATGTCGGGTCGAACTTGGGGGCGGCACTAAAAAACAAATGGTCATTGTTCTCATTAAAAGGGTACAATGTTTAACAACATAAATTAATACAGTAATCATTATAGACGTCGCGAACGCCAGAGTTCTATTTAGTCACACTGACGAACCGACTCCAAACCGGCTATTCCGTTTAATGTAATAGTTGATTGGTTCGTCTGGTGTCGGTGTCAATCGTGTGACTTAATTGGGTATAAGATCTCAAATCTCCATATTGACACCTTATAGCAATGCATAACTTCCACAATACTCCAAAAACAATTACGACAAAAATTCTTCTAAATATGGGTGAGGTCCTTAAACCTTGAAATTTATGCCAGAAAATTTAAATGGGGAGAATGGAGCCATGCATGTTCATTGTATGTCCAATTTACCAGGAGCAGTATGGTGCGTCATATTGTCACCCACATATCACCTTACCCTTTATCTACACTACGACACTCTTTCCATGCCAATAACAAGCGACAGCGACTAACAAAATTAACATTTAAATTTGTGTAAACTTCTGAAAGACATGCAAAAAATAGCCCTTGATACATATCAGTTTACACTACTTAAGGCCATTTTGACTCTCAGCAGATAAAAGTTAAATTCATCTAATGCGATGCATGTAAAAGGCCCTTGATTCTTATCACATTACATGGAGTTAATGTCCTTCTGGGTCTCAGCAGTAAGTTCAATTTGTCCCCTGAAGGCCATGGAGAAGGTCCTTAACTAAAATCACTTTGCATCGAGTTAACGCCCTTCTGGCTGTCAACAGATGAAAGTCACATTTTGTCTACTGAAAGCCCGGATGGAGAAGGTCCTAACCCATATCACTTAACATTGAGTTAACGCCCTTTTGATTTTTAGTGGATAAAAGTTAAATTCGTCGACTGAAAGCCATGCAAAAAGGCCCTTACCCGTATCAATTAAAGGTATAGGCCAGTTTTTGAAACACCCCCCTCTCACAAAAATAAAATGGAAGCTCTTATTACCAATCATGTGAAAGAATATGTTTTGACTAATACGTGATGATACAAATTTTGCCGGGAAACCGCCTACTAATTGATATATTTGGTAAATTATCATATCGATCCGGCCTGGATAGTTATCGCGAAAGCACTTAAACATTGAACATTATTTTGGTATATATTTCTGCTTTTTTGCGAATTTAGGTTGAAGTATTGCCATCTTAACCTCTGAAGGCAATATTTAAACAATACTGAATGGATATTTTGCACCCAAAACCGTTGAACCGCAATTTTACCACTACCGGTCTATATCTTTAACATTGAGTTAACGTCCTCCTGGGTCTCAAGAGCTGTAATTTCATCTAATTATCTGAAGGAGAACCTGGCGCAACCTTTACCTGTTGTACACCAATATGTCTGGTCGCCATATCATGTCCGGTAAAACACGAATCTTATCCAATCCTCCGTACTCTGATTTGTTCCACGCTAACGTCGGATCAGTCCATCTCTGTCTCATCCAAGATGAGGTAAGAAAGGAAAGGAAACCAACAAAACATAAATGGATAAACTCAACGGATGGGTAACAGAGTTTGCCTGTATTCGAAAATAGTAATTCAAGACAATTAAATGATAATCATATGAACAAACGTTTAAACGTTAGCTACAAATGTGATTATCATTATTATTGTTGTTATTGTAACCATTTTACCTATAGAGTGGGTCTATTATATACTAGGCATAATTGACACCTATTCTTTACAGTGATTTAAATGCAATTTACAGTTATATTAAATAGAAAACATGGCGTGGTCATATTTATCAAAAGAGTAGGTCTACTATGATTGTGGCCGTATTGAGTATATTAACACTATTAAAAAGAAGTAGAGAAACGGTCTATACTTCTTTTTCCTCTTCCTCTTCTTTCGTTTTGGGGCAACGGACTATTAGCTAATGAAATTAAATTATCATGTGCATTTCAAACAATAATTAACATATGTTATCTGATAACTCCGATGGAATGCAATAAAATCAAACCCCTATATAAGAAATATTAAGAAAGAAAAAGGAAAAACGAAGAATAAATCTTCGCATAAAATACTATGCCAATTATTCAATCTGGTATTAACTCACCACTGTCATCCACAGATTCGAAATAATTTGTTGATTCTTTTCATCCTGTTATAAAAAGAAAAAAGAAAAAAAAAAGAAACATCAATATCAAACACAACAAACAATTTTAAAATAAAAACTGTCAAACTCGAAAGAAAGAAAAACAGAGGTGGCTTGATTGTCAAGAACAAGAAGTTGTATTAAGTACAGGCAATTTATTTGTGAACGACAAACTGCAAAATTAAATGTTTCAGTATTTAACTCCACTTTCACACTTCATGCACATGGATTGCTTTTCATTCAATATTCCTTTCACATCGTGACGATAATAAAAAAATCCATCGCAAATCTATAAAGCAGAAATTGTGGGCTTGAAAAGAGAAGGAGAAAAGAGAAAAACCGAACAAAATGACCTTCAAAAATATGATGCACTTCTCTCATATTTTTATCACGTTGAGTACTTACAAAATTAATGTAGTATAATAAATTTCAATAAATCCTGGTTTGTTTTTTAGTATTTGTGAAACAACAAGCAGAATCGTTCCTGGAAACAGGAGGTCTTTTTTGCCTAGAGTAATCTCCGAGTCGAAAGAAAGTTCATCATCAGAATGATAGAGCTAATTTACAGAGTAGCGGCACGTCAACTTGTGAGCGAGTCCTGAATATTAAATAATGCACATGAAAGGGTGATCACCGACAAACTTGAAGACGGCTCAGCTTTATATTTCGGAAAGAAAAAGTCCCGCGAAACACTTTAATCTCTCAACCATCTACCGGTTCAAGACATACACACAACCTCCGCGCGCTCTTTCTAATCGAGTCTTTTGTTTTTTATTACAGAAAAATGTTTGACGCAGATCATTTGATTCTTGTTTAAATCCTGTCTGTACTAGTTTGGCCAGGAGGGATTAGACTACCCAGGGGGGCCACTGATAGGTGGTTATCTCATCGACTCAGGTCTCAATTAACATAAGAAAAAGAGGATCATTCATGGGGGACCAACTGTCACCGATTAGGCATTGTTTTCTATATAGAGGGAGCAAGTAGTCCAAGTAGTACAAGTTGGGCTTTAAACTATATTCAAGGAGAGCTCTCTGCTATAAAAGGAAAATATGGACATTTCGTTAAAAATGCGTCTAGTGCAAAGATCGAGCAGGTATTCAATAGCAAGCTATCTTAAAAGATATGCTTTTGAAATCAGTGCATATAATTGGCTATGAGCAAATTCGTTTATAATGGAAATATGGCCCGGTTACATTCATGAAATAATGAAACAGGGCTCAGTACGGTTAGACAAACATAACATGGGATAGAATAATAAAGCAGCCATTGATAATTAATTCAATTATGTATAAAAATAAATGATCAACACTCTACCCTCCTATTCGTATAGGATACAGAGCTATTTTGAGATATGTTTTGAACCAGGTTGCTGAATCAAATAATAGTGATTGACTTTAAAAAAATTGACTTGTATAAAAAGTATAACACGACCCCAATGGAAATCAGTCTTGTAACTGTTTGGGATTTTTCGACCGTGTATGAATAAAGATATCAATTCAATTCAATTCAATTCTATTCAATTCAATTCTATATAATCTTTTCAAATGTAATTCAATTGCAGTTATGATTATTGCTTTTCGGCCACTCTTTATGATCCATCACTTAAAATAAACGCCCCTCTGGAGTCCACTTATTGATGGGCCACTGGTTTCACAGGGGGAGGGGCATGGCGGACATCGGTATATAATGACATGCGAGAGAACAGAGCGATCAAGAAGGAAGAAGGTGTCGGAGGGACTTGATCATTATTATCCCCCCTCTCTCTCTCTCTCTCTCTATCTGTCTCTCCCTTCTCTCTCCCTTATTCCCCCTCTCTCTGTCTCTCTCTGTCTCTCTCTCTCTGTCGCTCTCTCTCCGTCTCTCTCTCCCTCTCTCTTTCTATCCCACTCTCTCTCTATCTCTCCCTCCCCTCTCTCTATCTATCTGTCTCTCCCTTCTCTTTTTATATGTTTTATTGCGCCCTATTTTTAGACGATCGTCTTTAATTCATTATGGCTCTTGTGCCTTAGCGCCATTTATGTATCGTAAATTTTGCGAAGGATTTAATATATCAAATTATTGATAGATTGAATTATATCATAATTGCAGCGAAATGCCGTATGATTACCAACATTATGGAGATGGAACTATTTAGAACTATACTGCGTGTAAATTTCACAGTGCACTGCTATAATATGTTCATTGCTATGTGCATTGCATTTACCTCTCAGTATTTAAAGCCCTACTGCACTACTTATAGCTACTTGCGCCCTCTACATAGCAAACAATGCCTAATCGGTACCCGTTGGTCCCCCATGATCCCCTTTTTCTTATGTTAATTGAGAGCTGATTTGATGAGATAACCACCTGTCAGTGACCTTGCAGGGAGGTCTAATCCCCCTTGGCCAAACTAGTACAGGCGGTCTTTAAATTACAAATAATAAAAATGTTCCACTGTATTACATGTATGTTTGCAATACCCGGAAGTGTTCATTAATTTCATTAACAGGAATATAAAAGTACTCTCGTACGAGACATAGTCTTTCATTATTCGATTTGTAATGTACTCTTGTTTTTCATAATATCCCAATGTCTGATTATCCTTCCATTTTTTGCCAGAGATATGATCAATTCCTGTAACTGTTTAAATTGTATTAAATAGATACCCCCGAGCTCTCATATCCACGTACACAATTCATTGGCTTGAAGCTAGAATCGCCCCATTTCTTTCCCAACAATACCTTTACAATACACTAATCGTTAATATATTTCTCTTTCCTCAATTTTGTTATCAGTATAATAAAAAAAGAAGCTATTTCAAGCGCACTCTTGCCATTTTCCTTCGAGGCACCAATTAAGTTAATGAGCGCGACTAACGCAGACAAGAGAAGAGACTGTTCAAAGGTTATGTATACAATAATTGGCAATACAATGGCGGCAGGTATTGTCCATGAATTCCATGCAACGCCCTCTATTGTCAAGCATCCATTCTGTCTGCAAGGTAGAGAAAGGTGCTCATGAACTATTGTAAATGTTTTGGAAACACCCAGAAAAAACAAGAAGACTTCTCAGAGTGCGAGAAATGTTATGTCGAATATCAAAAGAAATTATAACATTCAGTAACTTGGCATTCCTCCTTTTGTCATGATTAAACATTAAAGGTGATGTTATAAAATGAAGTACACTAGGCGGAAATTAAAAAAACGATGGTATAAATGAAAGCAACTAAAAATAAATGGTGTAGTGAATCGTTCCATTTCGGTGCCCTGCATATCTCAATCTCTTACTTTGTAGCATTGTAATGATTATGTTATACGAATAAATTTCCTTTCCGAAGCCAATCATAAGACTCTATTCAGTCCGTCTACATGGATTTTCTTCATAGTAATGACAATAATGCTCATCGTGGAATCGTGGATGTCTTGAGCCAATTTGAAAATTGTAACAAAATGAAATAAAATCTAATTGTATGAAAGTCAAAAAATCATTTCGCAGTCTATGCTCTAAGCTAGGCGGAGTATAGTAACAATGGCCACATACAATCACCATCAAAATGTTGAAATAACATTCATGCACATATCTTAACGTAACCACTTTCGCACATCCCGACCGGTGTAAATTCATGCACCACTCAACCAGGGAACCGAGATGCTGCTCTATGACGTCACAAAGGGCCCGAAGGCACACAATTTGCAAGGTCAAACTGCTGTAGTTGGTTGGATAGGGTGTGTACTATTACTAGCCTAGGAGATTGAATTAAGTAGAGGCTAGATTCAGTAGCCAGGGCCCCATTTCTAAATTTTCAGTTCTGAATAAAATTGAGCTCGTTTTTGAAAATACATTATTTTGATTAACCCGTCAGTCCTAATTTTGTTTTGCGCTCGTGAAATAATTATTGAGGTTGGGTCTGAGAGGAATGATGGATATATGATGAGCGGATATCTTAAGAATTCAAGTTATCTGTAATAGTGGCAGAGGGGGCGACTCCCATGACCTTTCACTGTATAAAAAGAAAAATGGAATATGTGTTACTTAATCTTGAATCATCATTCCATTATGAAAATAAATCTAACTCAATAATCAACGGCTTTGAACTGTGGAATATCTAGCTCTGCCCCTGAATCGGCAATGATAAAGCGAAATAATAATGAGACTTTTGAGTGTGATGAAATTACTCAAGCATTGCCATTGTACTGTATGTTTACTGGCAGAATGGCAGAAAGTTCCCTGACTCGTGAATTAAGAGAGGAAATCCGAAAGAAAACGTATCCGATGGAATGAATGTATTTCTACCATCCATCACGAAGATGAAGCTCGTATTCTATAAGCGTGGAAAGGTTGACCAATTTGAATAACTAGATTGAGACAGCTGTATACACAATATAATTTATTCCGAGAAATAAATATCAGGATCTACTTGGAAAAATAATCACAAAAATCTTTTTGGTTTATGTAGACCTGCTGACAAACGTACCATAACGCCAGTATGTGCGATAATGTTAACAATTATGATGATGACAATAATAATAATGATAATAAATAACAAATATGAAAACAACAGTAATAATAATTTGTTATAAGTTTGAAGACATTACATTTTGTTGATTGATGTCCTAATGTGTGTGTCAGACATAAACATTTATCAAACCTTTATGTGTTCAAAAAAGCAACAGTGAATTAGGCATCGCATCATGTATGATAAACAAGTCAAAAAGATAGAGCGATCGTCCCGGAAAACATGAAAAGGGCATTTCGGGGGGGGGGGGGGGGAGCGTTTCACAAAACTTGTCATCAGTGACAAATGACAGTTTTTGTTATAAGCTACTGAAATCCTTGCTTCCGATTGGTTATCAGCAGATTTGTCACTGATTTTTGTCATTGTCATTGAAAATGTTTTGTGAAACGAGTCCCTGATATCCATCTTACCACATCAATAATCTGTTGGAGAGCGATCCCCATCTCGACGCGGACGGGTTCGGAAGGGTCGTTGGATGGTCGAGTCAAATCTCGATAAGGGCAGTCATCGAAGAGGCTTCGGAGTAGATTGCGCTCATGAAAACCAGCTTTCGTTTCTGACAAATAAAATAATAAACTTTGATATTTGACGTTGCTAACATATCATTATATACACCATTGTCGACAAATTAGAAGACTTTACAACATTTTTTATAAGACGCCCAATGTCATCAATGATAAAAGATCCTGATTTACTGCAAGTAAAATTATGTTGATAATGATCAATATGAAATATTAATCTACACAACATATAGAACAGAAGAAATATTGAGTTGCAGATTAGATTGTTAGATCTGTATCTGAAATATTTAAACTGTCGAGAAAAAAAATCACCATAAAGGGGTAACATAATAGCCATAGAAACCGAATTTATTCCATATTTTGGCATTTCATATGCATTAACAGAATAGCTCTTTGAGTTATGACGCACACATACACACACGCACACACGCACACACACACGCACTCCCACACACATACAAATGAGTATAAATAGCATACTTACCAGGCTTTTCTAGTTTATCGGATGTTACTGTAAGAGAGAAAGGAGGAAAAGAGAAGAAAAAACAAAATTAGTGTAAATAGGATTAATATAGCTTTACTCTGAAGCAAAGTGAATTTTCCCCGTTCTCCTTAATTGATAAACAGAGAAACCCTGCCACTTCTCTGAGAAGAGCATCCATCGCAATTCCTCTTTTTAGTATTGTTATCTACTCCAAGTTTCATTTTCTCTTCGATCAAGCACACACTTGAGTAGAAATTGCTCGGAGCTAAAAAGTGCACTCGACTCTTGGAATAATATGATTCTTAATTCATATATTAATCAGCCTCTTGCAAATTCGTTTCTCGCCGCGCCCTAATTTCATTCTTAAAATACGCTTTCCAGTCTTCTGAAAATACAACAACAAAAAAGGGTTGGCTTTCTAATGGTGTCTTTGAAGAGGAAAGCTGGAGCATGAGTCGATACAAATTCATATCATTTTCATTTGTGTAAGTGATGCGTTTAGTAAAAAGGTGTTGGGTGTATCAATTGCACAGGATATGACTGTAACGAAACGCAGGCGATACCTGCGTCTGGTAAAGAACTTTCACATTGGCGTCAATTTTTTGTTGTTGTAAATGTGTTCGAGAGAATGTCATAGATACATTTGTTATCAGTTTTCCATGTCTGGGAGATAATGTGAATGGTCATATTGGGCCTTGCCCTTTGAAAACTAGGTCAGTCATACTTACGTTTGTAATTCATGAAAAGTTCAATGTGTGTCAGGTTTAAATGTTCTCATTGAAAAATAAATAAAAGACAAGAACATGTGGTCGAAAACAGACGATGATGGACAAATACATAGATGAATAGACGCATCATGCAAATATAATTTTTGTATTGATATCCATTGTTCAATATATCTGAAGAATATCCTTTTTCACGTGTATCTAATGGGGTTTTGTGTGTGGTCATGATTAGAAATTAAAATAACCATTATTAAATTGTGTATCTACCAAACTATTCATGAGGAATTTCGTTTTGATGATGGAAAGTATTGATTATAAGGCTCTACCTAGAGGCCAAAGTCGCTCTCGCAAATTTCTGTTAAAAAAATGTTTTGAGGGAAATATGTATGATTTAATCAAGAATTAAGACTTGCAAATTAAAGAAAAAATGGACTAAAGACCGCAATGGGTTTATTGATGCCTTGTAATATGAATTTTGGTGACACGATTTTTATTCCACTTCTGGGTCAAGACCACATGAATTAATGTATTACTCAAGAGAAAACACTTTCTAAGTATAATCCATTCTGATACGATGTGTGGTTAAAGAAGCACACAGTTGTATACAGAATAATTGACTTGGATGGTCATGATAGTTATTAATATATGAATAACATAGCATCGGTAAAACGGATATTGGCGTACGTACATAAAGACCAAAGCGTCGCATTCTCGCTCATCAGTATACAACTCTTTAATATGGAAGGAAGAAACCCCGACCTCCAAATTCATCGGGAGTGGTAACACCACTTAAAGATGTAGATAATGTTTGAAATACAAATACGTTTTGGTGGCTTGGGGCTATTGGGATGCGCAGGTGACGGGTTGAACGTGTATTATATTATGATGGGGGTCCTGTTAGGATATACATCGCGTCTTTATCGAAAACTAAGGGTGAGCACACCACCATCATCAAATTAACTTAGTGATATATTAGCGCCCGATAACGGGGTTCTAATGGCGCCCCCAGGCTACCTGCAGATGAAATGACGACATCCTAGGGATGGGATGGGATGAGGAGGAAGAGAGGAGGAGGGAGGAGAGGGAGGAGGGAGAGGTGAGGAGGGAGGGGTTGGAAGGGGGAGGGAGGGGAGGAAGGAAGGGGAGGAAGGGGAAGGAGAGGCGGGAGAGGAGGGAGGGAGAGGGAGGGAGGGAGAAGGAGGAGAGAGGAGGAGGGATGAGGAGGGAGTGGGAGGGAAGGGGAGGGGGATGTAGGGGGAGGGAGGGAGAGGGAGGAGAGAGGAGGAGGAAAAGAGAAGGATGAGAGAGGAGAAGGGATGAGGAGGGATGGGAAGGAGGGAGGGGGAGGGAGGGAGATAGAGGGAGGGAGAAGGAGGAGAGAGGAGGGATGAGGAGGGAGTGGGAGGGAGGGGAGGGAGGGGAGAGAGGGAGAGGGAGGAGAGAGGAGGGGGAAAGGAGAAGGATGAGAGAGGAGAAGGGATGAGGAGGGGGAGGAGGGAGGGGAGGGAGGGAGATGGAGGGAGGGAGAAGGAGGAGAGAGGAGGAGGGATGAGGAGGGATGAGGAGGGAGTGGGAGGGAGGGGAGGGAGGGGAGAGAGGGAGAGGGAGGAGAGAGGAGGGGGAAAGGAGAAGGAGGAGCGGGAGGAGAATGGATGAGGAGGGAGGGGGAGGGGGAGAGGGAGGGACAAGATGAGAGAGGAGAGAGATTGAAAGACAGAAAGAGAGAAAATTAAAAAAAAAAAGATGATGAGAAGAATAGAAAGATGTTTAAGAAGAGAGAGAGAGAGAGAGAGATGGGGAGGGGGTGAAAGGGGCTAGAATGTTATGGAAATCATACATGTATATCATACAATATTTACTATTTTGATTTCATTAATACGTTTAACCCTATCATAATCATTTGATTTTTTTTTTCTCAAAATGCAAGAATCGTGGGGCTTGATGAATTCCACACCCTTCATTACGAAGAGGTATTAAGAAGGGGAGGTAGAAGAAAAAGAAGAAATAGAAGAAGAAGAAGAAGAAGAAGAAGAAGAAGAAGAAGAAGAAGAAGAAGAAGAAGAAGAAGAAGAAGAAGAAGAAGAAGAAGAAAAAGATTCCTTTTTTTCTTCGGATTTAACTGACACCGTACATTTCCTTTGTATAAAAGAACACTCTCAATCTCGATTTGGTTTGGAATGAAGTTGCGATTTGGTTGTTAAAAGTGCAAATGTAATCAATCTAAAATGCAGAATAATTTCCAAATTTCAAGGGTTACAGTAGCTAGCGCTGAAGGACAAATTCTGAAATCAAATTTATTTGTTGATGTATGCGCATCAATGATTTATGTCTGATTACAGCTATAGCTTATTGCCAACAACGTTGATTTCGATTTCGGTTCTGTCCATCCGTTTTTTCTTCTTTTTTAGGATCTGTATTAAACCAAACATGCAATCTTTTCTGGCCAGTACAGCATTGCGGTTCCCTTTAAAGCTATCGTTTAAAACATAGACTGTGTCTGAAAGTATCACTTATAAGTTTGTCTTAGAATGTGGGGAAATATCACTGAGAAAGTTGTATGCCCCCAAAAAAATGACATGAGCAATTAATGAAAATTAAACGAATTCCTGTTAAAAAAAAAATAAAATAAAATACGAATAGCCCTAAAAATCAAAGATGTTATCGTATCCAGAAGAATAATTGTAAAGGACTTCGAAATCATCGTTGCCATCCATATAATATGGCATGGTATGACCAATTCTTAGTAGGTCCATGGTATGACAGACTGCACGACTCCATGCCTTCATTTGGACTGATTTCACGAAGGAGGTGCGTAGACAAACCTACATTGTAGGTTTATGTGCGTCATATCACGCGTTTTGACGCGTTTCAGACCAAGGTTTGTCTGAACCTCGGTCTGAAATACATAAAAACGCATCATATGACGCATATAAACGTAGGTTTGTCGACAAACCTCCTTTGGATCTATGTCTCTAAAATAGCGACTCAATGCTTTCAATTTCACAAGACCATTGTTTCAGCTTCAACGATTGTAATCTTCACAAACAGACAAAATATTTTAAGTTGAAAGCATCGTATGGTCGTCTGCTTGATCTAAAAACATGTGCAGGTAAAGGTGTTACTCTTCCCCACCTTCACAATACATTATTAAATATGCTAAGCAAATTAGACTTCAGTCATCCTCCTCTCCGTGGAAAAGAAAAATATCTTGTCTCGCTACTCCTGCAAACTCGACGTCCGATCACATCATCTTCAACGGGGCACAGTCCCGACAGGTTGTGTTACGCGCTGTTTGTTTGAGGACAAGCGCTCCAAAAATGTCACAATCAATTCTGTCTTTCGTGAAGGGGTCGAATCTAATCGGCAAAGAAGCTTTCAAAGAGAACATTTCTTGAGTTCAACCTGGTTAGGAGACACCTGAGATATAATCTTGAAACCTTATCTGTGTATGTTTCAGACAATGTGTATTGCGATGTTTTGCAACTGAAGTCAAGATTAATTTTAATATTAGAACGATATAGAAATTGAGCAACGGAAGACGCAAGAGTACACTATACGACCGGGGTGAATGAAAAGTACAGATGTCTGAGACCTGGGAAAATTCTCCAGGCACGCCTCATTAGGCATCTTTTTAAATAAAATCCTAATCATGAAAATGTGCGTGAACAAATAAAACTAAAATGTTCACTAAAATAGTGTTCATACCCCGAGAAAATGAAAAGCACGTTTTGTGCCATTACCTATCAGTCGATAGTGTCTGATTATTTATCTGTAAGCGTGTAATTTCTTCCATTTTATGTACTTCAATGCAGTATCATA